TATATATATTATAAGAGATATTACGAGGGTTTGTGACAGGGGTACGTTTGCTTCCGCACATCTCCTGGGGCAAAGCTGTTTGAATATCCTTCTAATGTTAAATGGCGATGTAAATAAAGAAACCAATTGAAAAGAACAAAGATAACCTTACATATGACGTTTAAAATAATACATTATTTAAGAAGAAAACGGACACACATCGAATTAAATGAAGCTTTTTGGTAGCTGTGCAATTAATTATTCAAACGACAACTTGATCTTCGAATGATGATCGAAATGATGAGCAAATATAGCGACTAACAACTCGTATTTCTACCTACTCCGACCTTGAGTAAGTTCGATCTGTTCTGTCTCTTCGTTTTAGTTTAATATATAAAGTTAAAAGTATTATATACGACCGTTGACCATTATCGAACTACTTAAAGATCCGGATTAAAGCATACTGTGAAGTTAACCGTTGAAAACTTTTTCAAATCAGTTGGCATTAAATCAGCTTACTGAATAGGAGTTGAACTTTGCTAAAACAATAATAAACTTGAACGTAAACCTCAGCTGTTGAACAATAACGCAAGATAGCATAGAAGCTAAGATAGGATAGCTCATCAAAATAGTCCGCAGAAAATTGAGACGCCAATCATCTAAGGCGATACTGTATTACAAACATTTTGGACGTACTTATTCCAGATAGCATTTAAAGTAAACTCGTTCAGATGATTCGAAATAGTCTGGTAGACGAAAATAATATACAAATTGCTTAGCAAATCACATGGCGGCCGCTATGTATGTAAGTTGCAGTTTATTATCGGGGCACTATTCTGCTTTCATATATGATCGTCACAAGAACGTTGGTTTTACTGCTATTGTATTAAGTTTTTCGACCAATAGACGCAAAGGATTTATGTCCTTATTCTACTTAAAAAAAAACGGACCATGACGTACTTCGCGATATGGTAGCACAAAAGCCATGTAGCAACTATTCAAGTATGACCTCTTGCAAAAGCTAGGCTGCCAGTAAAAACTGCTCATTTGAATGATAATAAGCTCCGTGCGAGCGCCTGGGGACCAGCATGACGGGCGATTTATGACCATGCGATCTTTTTTTGCGTAACACTGTCAGTGAACGACAAACTTTTCGTTAAGTCACTAACGATCTGAATCTCAGGGAACTGACTTTGTTTAACTCCATTTGATAAGTTCACTGCCAACTGCACACAGCATATCTAGTAGCGTAAAATCCTGCGTCACCTATGTGAAAAAGCCTGCTAGATCCTACCCTCATTGAAGTTTCACGGCATCTTTTTTTATAGTTGTTATTAACTAACATGAAAGAGGTTCAACAGAGCTTAATATACTACTTGATCATTATTATCATCATGCCTGTGAGGGCCGTTTAATGCCTACGTGGCGTAACTATGCGAGGGAAAATTTAGCAGACGACATTGACATATAATCATCTGTTGCCCGTCAGACAAAGCTACTTTATAAAAAACAGCTGGACAGTTTGTGACAATCGGTTGAATGTTTACAGACCACTAGCACAGAATATTGTAGATATACAGGCCTGGTTTCCCTTGACATACTTCGTTTATGTTATACTGGGTAGTATTACAACTGTAACTTCCATTACAACTGTACAGGTTAACGTAATTTGGTACTCGGTCTCAACAGGTTTGAATGTAGCAATCCGACAGGCACTTTGCTGGGGGTTCGTGTTGACACGTGGCTAATTTATCTATTGGAACCCTCTTCGCTAACGCTGGAAAGGATCCGATACAAATAAGATATATAGGCGATTAGAAGTCGTCAGCTTACTCGTACTCTGTCAGTAAGTCAATCAGTCTCTTCCGCAATCGTTAGGGGTTTTTGTTGCCCAGAAAGGATCAAGGAACTATTGTCTCTACATTTTTAAGAAGGATTTACGGACAAAGGCTAATAAATGTACATACATACATAGCAGCAAAGCAGGAGAAAAGGAATATGGACTACGGGCGTCCTTTTTCCTCTCAATCTTCTGGTTGGAAGCGAGAAATAATGAACTACTTGTTGCTGGTAAATTTGCTCGTAAACAGAGGAGCCGGCAAAGTAGGAAAGTTTGTGAGGCACTCGAAATGGATATATATTCGTTGTAAGAGGTACATTGCTGAAAATACTGTACTGTTGCTCTGACATAGCCCTGTCGGAACTATCGGCTGAATAAACTGCAGAGATTTTGCGAACGCTATATTCGATTTAACTCAGTTTCTAATAATACACACTATGTACTGAGTGCATCCATCTTTAAATGACCTTCGAGACTCAAGTCACACTCCTACTGAGACCTTTTTAAAATTTCAACTAACAAATTAACGGCCTCGAGTTTAAGCGTCTGATCTTCTAAGCGGATCTACCTGGAGAATCTCCAAAGTCAAAACTCAGACCTGTAACATTGACGAATGTTTATTAAGCCAATAATTGAGCCCTTTTTTGCCACCCGAAATGTTTATCGCGATCAGAAGAACCAAGCACGCGTGTTTACCTGATATGTAACTTTGTGAACTTCTTCCACTTGGTATTTCGTACCATGGTGTTGTTGCTGCAGTTGTTTTGCCTACTAACCTAAATCCTCGTACATTCATCCAGACAAATGACCTTAACGCCTAATAAACAGCATTATGTAAACAGTAGATGTAACAAGTTGTTCTAATTTTATCGTTGTTGCTGGTTATATATGTTTTGGTGTCCCGTTTTCCAGCGAGGCACCGCTGAGGGCGACAGCGGATGCGGCGTGACCGCAGGCTCAATAGTAACAACGACAGCAGCGGCAGCAGCAGTAATAGCTCCAGAAGGCGCGGAAGCTGGCATGGACAGCAATACTAAGGACAAGGTTGGTGACTCCCGGAAGGCGTCCTCGGCCACTCCCGCAGCCGGGGAGGCCAGGGAGGACGGGGTCACCAGCCAGGTACTGCACAATGTCGAGAACGTGTCGCATAAGGCCATGGAGGGGGCCAAGTCGTTTGGAAGCTTCCTCTTTTCTGTCGCCAACAAGGCTGGTAAGACCGTCACCGAAACGGCCACGAAAGTCAAGACCGCAGTCGAAGAGAACGTGAGTACTTAAGACACCACTTTATATATATATATATAAAAATGGTGCCTTATATATATATATTGCACAAATAATGTCAAATGAAGAGCTTATGCTAACTGTAATATTATACTTTTTACGAATATGTACGATAACCACTACAAGCTTGACTTCTACGAGAATACTATGTGCTATATATATATGCTAGTTTAATTTAGCTTCTGTAGATAATAAGTTTTGGCGAATTTGTTCGAATTATCAAGGGCTAAGTTTTGGAGAAATACAACATTTTTTCTCACAGATGTTTTACGAGAATACGTATCTAGCTTGGAAGTCGATATACATATATAATCTAACACTATTTAAAAGGTAGTGGAGTCTAATAATTTAACATAAATATCGCACTAGCTTTACCAACCGTCCAGTTCATAAGAACTAAGTGTCAACGTACTAGGCTTCTAAAATGTCTGTTCTTCAACTGATCAAGAATCAAATTTTATGTCTTTTCTACGTTAAACGTATATTAAGTTAAACACCGTTAATAACTTAGCGTCCATATACAAATCCAATCCCGGGATTATCTTTGCTTTTAAAAAGACATCTACAAGATACGTTTGGATTTATATCCGAGTTCAGGTAACAACATCTGTCCAATCCTTACCTAAAAAAAAGTTCCTCCAAGAAATACATCTGTTTTTTTGCAAATTCAGCGCTGAGGGAGGTAATCTGAAATTCGCGGGAATAGTTTAAAAAAAAAACACAGATTCGGCCTCGCCACGTGTCCAACTATCAAAACTTATTTTTCTGTTGTCGTTATGGCAGTAACAGATGTTATCTGTCTACTCGAAGCCTATTTTCTCGGATAAAATAAAGTTGGCCATCCGCTCGATTTAACGGTCTTTTTCGGGCATTGCGTATTCGTCTACTTAGAAAAATTTACTGTTAGAAGCGGAGTTTCAACCAGGTTATCGATTGTATATATATAAATACATACGAACCAGGTTATATATGTATATGTATAAATTGAAAATCTATGCCGGTATAACCATAGTTCCAGAGTCACTCACGAATACTTTTAAAGCTTTTACGGGACTTCAAAAAATGTATTGATCGTTAGTATAAGTGTTTGAAACAAATTTTTAAAAATGTATCCTTTTTTTTTATAAACATTTTGGTTATTATTGACCTGGCCAATAAAAATTTCGAAATTAATTTCATCACCGCTAGGTTGTTTTGCTTTATTCATTTGATAGTCCTAAACATTCTCACCATCACCCAAAATCCTTTGGCCGTACATAAGCGCAGTTGCAGCCGACTGATTGATATTACGAAAACAGTAATTTGGGCTTTGGAGTACGTTGCAAAACTAATGCCGTCTGGACTACGAGAAACTGCATCAGCAGCTTTAGAGCAATTAACACTAAGAAGGGGTTTGACAGAAAGGAAGAAGAACTATGATTTTTTTTCACAATCAAAATTTCATAAGTAAGGTGTCCTTATTTTTTTTTTAACTAATGGCTTCACTAGGCCAGGTATCACAAGTCTGTATCGTAGCTTTTTGCCGCTTTCAGCATCACTGACAAGCTGTGTGGCAGCAACGAAAAAAATATACGCGTACCTCATCACGACAGCCCGCCACGTTTTTTTGCGCAGCTGGCTTAACAATCTGACTCCAGTAGGACAAAAAAAGCTGATCTGAGTAAGTTTAAGGACTGATGCTACCGCTCATCTCTCCGACGATTAACGAAATGCCATTTCTACTACTACGTATTCGAGGAATGGAAGAAGAATTGAAAACGGTGTATCAGCTGTCTGACTTGATAGCCTACGAGTTGGATGGGTGCACAGGCAGACGTAGGTAACGCTGAAGATTAGAGAAATCTCTGTGGTATATCAGATAAAATGGCCTGTTGAACAGGCCTGCTTGCCGCCACAGCCGCTATTCTAATACTGTCTAGTACAGTCGATTACACAGCAAAAGCAGTAGAAACGGGAGGTCAGGAAATTGAGGGTTGGCAGAACAAGGGGTAGATTCTATCGCAGAAGATGTTCTTCTCCTGTTTAGTACGGCTACCCCATCTTCTCCGGAAAAAATCACCATTTCGCCATCTGCATAGATGGGTTGTACGATCTTGAGTATCGATGACGACAACGACAATAGCAATGAGAACGCATTCCCCCATGATCTTTCGACGAGGGACGCAAAATGGTTGAAGATGGCTGATGGGTGAAATCCTGTTAATAATCTTTTTTTTTTTTGAGGTATATCTTAGACTGGACGGCATGGTCTTTCGCTATTTTAGGAACGTCTTTTTTTCAACACATAGCACGAGCTTTGTTTGTGTGATAGAATGTCTTGTCCTGCTTAGTCCTTTTTTTGGGAACTCGTTCATTTTTAATTAACCAGAAAGGGGCAAAAGAAGCATCCGTCGGATAAAAAGAGACTGCCTCTTTATTGGGCTATTACTTGAATGCTACAATGCCGAAATTGTACTAGTGACGTTTGCTGTGGAAACTAACTGTGAAGCTAAGCAGGGTCAAGCGCTTCTAATGGACGTGCAAATAGATGGAAAAATTGTCGAATAATACATAACAAAACTATCTCGGAAAAAGCGGGAAACATTGAAAATGAGGCCTACGTCCAACTAGAAAAAGCAACCGTGGGCTGGGCAAGATACGAGCGGCTTGCTCTTAGAGAGCATTTGGCTGCTAAAAAGCCAAGTCTGAAGACAGGGCAGCACTCAACTCGTAATGCAAAGGCGCTGAATCGTCAATATGGAGATTTTAGCCACAAAGCCGCGGTTTGGGATTAAATATGGGATCGTTTTTGCCAAACTGAGGAAAGGAGTCAGCGGAAGCGAAATTAAAAAAACAATTAAGGATTAAAGAATGTAAATGATATTTTCATCGCATGATCATTTGAAGTCACTTCTGTATCTATCTCTACACGTCTTGTTAAGAGATTTTTCCATGTCACCCCGTATAATTGACTCTGATGATCGCTTGGGAAAATTAGAAATTGGAAGACTACTTTTATTGTATTTTCGGTTTTTTGTAAGCAGAATATTATGCTGGTGCGGGCGGAAGAGTAGCGAACTTGCCCCAAGTGTGCAGCAAATTTGTAAAACGAATCATTACTTCCAGATCGTTGTTTATTTCCGGGGAATAATTCATTAACAATAATGGGTGTACCAAAGTTAATTTTCGAACAAGAAAGTGAAAAATATTATGCAGAAGCACCATGACAGTATCGCAGAGAATTTCAGGCAGATCCACCTATGCAGCTTAGAATTAAAAACAATCCTGGATGTTATATTGTAAATAATTTAGTCCCTCAAATAGCTTAAGTTAACTTTGGCTGGCACAGTTCGTTACGATGTTCTTTGCCCACGTATCACGGCGATGTGTCGTGGTCGAATTCACAGGAAATAAGTATCATGTAGTAATAACAACACCCAATAGAACTTGTCACATGCAGACTCATCTGTATCTTTTTTAGGTATGCAACAGCTGGATTGTGCAGCTAAATAGGTAGCCGGTTACAAGGATTTCACAATGCCTTTATCTATTCGATTGATAACGATTAATACCCAATTAATGCGTTTTCCTCTTTATTAAAATGGGAAGTTATACTTCCCTTTACATACACACGCACGTACTGGAATCAATATTGTGGCGTCGAATAATTTGGAAAGCCCCTTTCGTGTTGAGCAGATTTGATCTGTCCAATAATGTTACGCTTATTTTTTTTCCACAGAGCATCCTGGCAGACTTCAATCACGAGCAGGCATCGTTTTTGGCCTCGCTAACGAAAAACTCCGCGGGCGCATTGCCATGGACCGGCTGTGAGAACCCTGAGGAAATGAAACAGCAAATTCTTTCGCTGTCCGAAGACAAACGTACCTTTGTTAGAAACCCACCCAATGGTATGTTATTTAACCCTATAAATATGCTACTCTTATTTCGTCTTCGTTTACTTTATTAGGCTGTTTCAGCTCATCACTGAATTATAGGTGACAAAATGTATAAACTTTGTTAAGGGTGTTATTGTCTTGCTGGATATGTGCGTTGTTGCTTTGTTGAGATGCTAAAAAAAAACTGTTTGATGAGTCATATGGTGCGTACAAAAAAATGTTGGATTTACAGAGGATATGTATTTGATTGCGTGAACCGTGAACTACGTTGACATCAGGTCTAACTCAGATGTCTCTGCATTTTACTTTAAACATGAGCATTGGCCGGATCTAATATACTGGCAAGGCATAATGAGACTGGCCTTTCATATGAGATCCACGTTCAGTTCAGGTTGCCAAGTTAGTATGCTTGCCACAGGAACAATCTGGAGCCGTTTTCAGTTTTCAAAGAAGAGAAATAAGCTTTCCACGGGTGCTGATTAATTAGCGTTATTAAATAACGTTCGTTCAGGTTTGACTATAGTGATTTACTGAAGGAGTGCCCGACGTTTTTCGTAACCCCTTAATTTCGAGATCCTGGGGATCATCGTTTCGGTCGACGATTCGTTAAAGCTACACGCTCTTCATAAACGCCGCTCACCACGAAAATCTGAATTGCCTTGGCCAATCGCGTGGCCGACGGCCGAAGTCCTTATACTTTTCGGTCAACACTTTGCTTTTCCCGTTGGGTCAAGCCGCTTGGGATGTCTTCGCTGCCAAAGCAGCTAAGTATTCATATTGACCCAAGCATGACGATGAAAGGATGTAATCATTACCGTTACAAGAACGCGTAAATTACGAAGTACAAAGGTAACGCTCGATCAACAGGTTCGAATGAGTGATGTGCCATTAACATGAGACAAAGTGAGCTTTGTATTTTTTAATCGGCCCAAAAATTGGACGAATTTGGGGCGTGCACTTTTTTATGTACGGGGACAGGTTCCAACGTTATTCTTTGCACGATTCAAAAGTAAACGGTAGGCAAACATGAGGGGCGAGAATAGGATTAATACGCGTATTTGGTACATAAAGCTAAGTAGAAAAGCGACTGCAATTTTGTGTGAAAGACAAGCCCAAGATGAACTTCCAGTCCTCAATGTTCCAGTGGCAAAAGGAACGCGCTTCGCTCCGTTAGACATCCGGCTAGAAATCTATTACACATAATATATTAGTGAATATCAAGTTGATTACATGCAAAGCTAGTCGGAAAAGCTTTGCAGATTGCTCCAGGACATTAGAAATAATCATTTCCGCATATAGCCAGTGTGTTCCGCGTAGAATTTCGTTGTTAAGCATACATTTGAAAGAAATCGTGCACTGCATATATACTAAGGAGATATGGATTCTTTTGTGGGGGGTCTCAAGAGAGTCACAAAAAATTGACCAGTTTTGTCTACCATGAGTCAATGGCGACAATGGATACAAAGAAACGGGCCTATAAATTTGTTGACCTCAACAAGTAAGACTATACGTAGAAAATGACAGGGTATATAAGTCAATATTTACCTAATGCGAACGTTGAAGAAAAAAAATTACGTCTATCTGTTTACTAGAAATCTCTAAATCCTGCGGCAACGGGGGTAACTTAAAACGCTGTTTAGTTTGAGGCTGTTTTACTAAATGTAGCTATAGTGAGCAAAGGTTTTTTTTATAGCTCAATAAACAAATCACAAACATAGCTTTTAGCTGGGGTTCAAGCAGATCGAGCTTTTGAAATTTGGTCAGGGAAAACGGTTATGCGGATTGCACCGAACTTCTGACCCGTATATGTCTCAATAACGCCAAGAGTTTTTATAAATTTTAAAAGTTTTTTATTGAAAACAAATGGTGTGGCTTAGACAGCCTAACCATTCTTTTCATATCACAATACCAGATATCGTACCAAAGTATGCCTAAGACAGCCTACATAAATTTGGGAATACTTGGAATAATTATGCTCGGAACTTCTACAAAATAGACGGTCAGAGCTTTGAATCTGTGATAAATGATGAAAATTTTAGTCTACCATACGGGAGAATGACTCGCGCTTATATGCACAGAGCTAACTCGATTTATTAATGCTACGCCATGGCATTATATGGGCCTGTTCCAACGGCTGCAGTCTTAAAGTCGCTAAAAAACACCTAATGGGAAAAAAATATTGGAGCATAGCGACATTCTCTTTCTGATATGCTAGCAACTAGTACAGTAAATCATGCTGAATGTCAAAAATATCCGGCAGACGCGTCTAAATAGATGAATTGGTCGGGCCTGTGAATGACTGCACGTACAGCGAATTGTAGAGCATTTTGATGAATTAAGGAGAGACTAAATTGATCACTTTTTCGGGTTCAAGCTCCTTGTTTCCTATGGAGCGCGTTATTTTGTAACCATTCCTCGCTTACCTTCAGACACTTGTATTGAACTCTTCGTGGATATGTTTTCAACGGAAAATCAATAGTTGATCTGATTTGACGTCCCTAACGTTACTGTATCATGCTTGGAACTTATTTCCTGTTGGTAGTGTCAATATCATGCGTAGGACGCAATCCAATAAAAAATCCGCAGTTGTCTACAGTGCCCTGTTCCAACTAAATTTTTGTCGCAGAAGCCTTGTCCTAAGATTTAAATGCGTTCTTATCACACTTGCCATTCGAAACGCGCAACTATTTGTGCGCTTCCCAGCATAAACGTTTTCACCAAATGGCGCGGCTCATATCATTTCCGGCCATATCCTTTTTGTGTCTGAACAATGCAAGTAAGTGCCTATTGTTCCAGTTGATTACTACGTTTATTTGCCCCCTTCTGCAATGTTGCGTATACTAAAGCTAGACCTGCTAAGGCGGTGACTAACAAACCTGTGCCCCGAAACGTTCCCAGTGACGGTTTCAAGGGTCTCGACAACAATGGGTCGATCGATACTGTATATACAGTTGTATACTTAATACATCGCAGGTATTAATGAACAAACAATTACCCATTCCGTCTAGCGTGATGGTGATGCTTATAGACACAGCAGATGCAGTGCATCATTTGCCAGGGGGTTAGAAAACCAAGCTAGCGGGGGCAGCAGGAAAGTGAACGCACTTTATTATTGACATTATATGCGACTTTACTCGAGTAGTATATATTATCGTAGGGATAGCAGCCATTATTTTTGACGTAGATGAACGTAACAATGAACTACAGGACAATGACTCTGCAGGCCGATGACGTTGTGTTCTGACGTCTCGACCGCAATCTACGTCGAATCCAACAACAGCGATGGGGAAGAATAATTAAACCGCTTGCCTATGCTAGTCGCTATGCGCCTATTTGGTTGGTTAAAAAGAGGCTGCCTTCTTTCTCAGTCGAGAAGGCTTCGTTTCATGCTGGGAGCTAGCCATCTGTCTGATGGAGTGCCTAATAGCCATATCCAACGTAAAACGATCTGTTGAGAAAAAAAATTGGCTTATCAGAATGATATTACTGTTGCTTTAGCAATGGCCTTAAATTTTGAAGTGGATAAGAATTAAATACTGTTTTCGTATTTGATTTACGCTACCATTGGTCAACGAGAAATAGCTCGGCTAAATCAAATGGTGCAGCTATCTCTATGTGATCGTTTCGCAGTAACGTATTTAGCGAAAGAGGTTGTTTGGGCTCGAAACTAGGCGATGACAGACGGTTTCCTGTCACGGCCCCGAAAGCAATGCTTAACGGCAGTGGGACTGAACCTAAGATCTTAGACAAACTGCTTGAAGTATTTTACTTACAGCACAGCAGACTTGTGCTTCCCGATGGCTTTCAGCATAAGGAACTCACTCAAGTAAATAAGTTACCTAAAGTATAATTTTTAGATTTCGAGAGCACTTGTTGATCGCCTTTCATTTTATGCTACAGGGGTACAGTTTGAGTTTGATCTGGAAGGACAATACGCACCCGTCGCCATGGCCATGCTTAAGGAGGATCCACGCCTCGAGAAAATGCGATTCGACCTCGTGCCAAAACTCATCAGCGAGCAGGTACAGATCGAAAAAGTACATAATAGAAAGGATTTGTTGTCCCTTTTAATACAGCGGCTTCTGGAGTCGATTAATGAATAATTGGTAAGCAATTCATTCGTTTTTTTTAAATATCATTCCACGTTTTTACCCTAACCCCGCTTGCCTGCAGTTGTATTCAAATTGTGAAATCAAATGGAAAAACCTTTTTCTAGCGTATCTATGCGGGTACCTATTGCCCGACACGGTACATTCAGTTGTTCCTTTTACCATGCATATCCTACTAAGAATCTGGTAAGAAGATGGCAGCTAAGCATCCAACAAAACCAATAAGGGAACCATCGTTCTTTCTGTTGAATATATAATCGTATTTTTCACTTCGCTCTAGCGACCCTCTCAAACTGTTAAAAAAAAAAAAAGCTCTTTTAATCGTCGTTAGAAATGCTGGCCTGATGGTAATGTACATGTTTTAGAAAAATCTGAAATAGATGAATTTTGTATGGTGACGCTTATCTATCAATCTGAAAGTTTTAATAGTCTTATTTTAACATTTACCATTATTAGCCAATGGTCTAGCATATTCATGCTTAGCAGAGTATAGCGTTAAAAAAAACGTCACGTTGACTTCTCCATTTTTTACCCTTTTGCTTATTGAAAAATCTAAAAATTTCATCCAGGAGTTCCGAGCCGGGCGGTCGGGACTCGCCTAGCTAGAGGTATTTCGTTTTCCCTTGGGGACCTCTATTTCTGGCAGAAAAATGAACTCAACAAAGTGATCCTAGTAGAACAAGTGACAATTCTTCTTTCTGAGTGAACAGCAATTTTTCGTGATATTCAAGTCATCTGGCGGGTCTAAGCCGTGCACTAAGAGCTTCTTTCAAAATCTAACTCAAAACGGAAAACCAGATGATTGAAATCCAGTTTAAAAGCGAGAAAACCCCAATAAAACTAAGTACCGTATAGAAAAACAACTTTTTTTGATGGCGGCGCCCGAGGAGTAAGCGTTTTCAGATAACGGATGGAAAAACAAACGAGAGTTCGTGTTCCAAGAAAAAAGCATTTTCAAAACATCCGTAATGGAACACATTATTCTATAGAAGCTTTATATGAGTGTGAAAACTTAACGCGATATTCGCGGAATTCGTTCTGCATGAAAAACATGGAATAATGCCCAGTTGAGCTAGCATCGCTCGATCAGTTATGTCAAAGGTAGTTATTCACCATTGCGGTAGCTGATTAAAAATAGTATGTCTGCATCAGTAGCTCAGGAAGGCAATAGTCAATATCATTAGTGAATGACCTAGTCAATCAAGGCAGAATCGTCAAGCAATTATACTTATTTTTGTTTTGCGTAAAAATTGTAGGATAGTACCTGTTTACAGGAAGACCTGTTTCAATTGTACGGTTCCGTTATTATCCACTATCATTGCGCCATAATAATCGAAATAAGTAAGAAGGCCGCCCGAACGTTTAGTATACTCACCGAACGAAAAGTTTTTACCCGACCCGTTATCGGTGCGGCTGCCACTACTCTGGTGTAGTTGAACAGGGACCTAATCATAGAAAAGAAGGATATCCTATAAATGCCGAAACGGTACTCAAACAATAAAAAACGGAAATACACATAACAAGTACGCCGTTCGTTGAAATAGCCTTTCAAAGTATTAAAAGCTTTAATGGACCGCGCTTCCGGAAATAACGGTGCAGTGGTGTCCCTTCGCATTTACACTTTAAATACGCCCTTGACACTTCGAAGTTTGTTCTAGCCATCAATAGACAGTCCTGCGCTGCAAGCAGAACTCAGAACGTACAAACGAGCCGACTGTTATGATTTTCGCCATCAATGGTTTTTGTTAGTTATTAGCCGTAAGTCATCATTAGCCCGGAAGTAATGATTGATAGACGATGATTTTTCTGGATATCAATGTTGGCCAAACGTTTAAGATTTGCGTGTCTTCGCTGCGTAGGTGTATATCCCGTGAATCAAATCACAGATTTACGTATATGCTCACTTCATAGTGATCAGCATCTTAGTAAAGCGTAGAGACGAAGAAATACTCAGAAATCTTCAAGGGCGCAACACGCAAAACACCTGAAGACCTACAGAGCGCAGTAAGGGCCGCTGTCTCATTTCGTTTAAGGATCTTCATATGACGTTTTGCTTTATCGCAGACATCGGAACGTGCGAGCAATATATTTAAAGTGCTGTAGGTTAAAAGTCCACGCAATACAGTTGTGGTAAATTAATCTGCACATTGATGGAGGGCTTATGGTGGCTGTACAGTTTTTGTCCTATTGTTAAATGTAAAAAGCACCACAGACTAGTAACATGAGCATTGTCAATCTGAATAGAATATCTCGATTTTACCATAAGGTATTTATTTGCTGACACTTTACAGGATTTTTGGCGCAACTACTTCTATCGTGTGTCATTGGTCAAGCAGTCGTCGCAGCTAAACTCACTTGCAAAGAGCGGCGGCAATGGAGAAGGTAGTACCGACACGTCAACGGCCGAGGGACCGCAAACACCTTCGGATGACGGGAAAGGTACGTATAAGTTTTAATTGTGGTGCCCTTTCGACTGCGGTACTAGTGCAACGCAGTTATAATCACATACCTTAATCCATAATACTGTGGTGATAAGTAAGTGCTTATACGAACTTTTTGTACATCTAGATTATTCCTTCATACACATTAAATGTTTACCTCACACCGAGAAAGCACATAGGAAGAACGTTTTTGTCTTTGGGAACAAATGTTTGTATTGTCTAGTCTGGTTTTCATGTTGTGTAAAGAAAAATTGCGACAAGCGCGCCCAGACTTTTCGTAACAGACTTATCCAGGTAACTTCCTACGAAACAAGAGCAAAAACTCGTTTTATTGCCCAAAATGCTCCCCAAAGCGTCCTGGCATAGATATGTTAAGAAAAGAGACCCTATCTATGCGGTTAATTTTTCACAGATTTTAACATACATTACTTAACATGTTTTGGCATAATATTATATGCATGTAGAGAGTCAAGACCTATTCTCTTTAGTCAGCCTGACAAAATTTCTAAGTAAGAAAAGGATTGTCATTCATTCGCGATCAGAGATCGCTGTCTGAGACGGAGGTTCACATACAGCTTAAATGCACTATCTGAAAATAAAGGCAAACACTTCTCTATCATCTCGTTCGGATTACCTTCTTATTTTTGCAAGCAACGTAAGACGTTTGCTTGCTGGATGCAAAGCTTGAATGCTTGATGGATTTAAAAGGAAACGGTCAGTTTATAAACTATACCACCTGGAATCGCTTCTCTTCAAGTTCAGGCCAATGATATCGCAGTCGTTTGACAGACTGTAACGTTAGTTGTTGAATGACCATTTATTAAAACACCATCAAAGACTTTGTTACCTATCTTTTACATTGGATTACTGTAGAAATCGAGGAGAAACATCTCTAAAGAGGATAGTTCAGCTCTGTAAATCTTTGTTGATGTTTTAAGGAGGGCACGTCGAACCGTCCCCGGTGGTCCCCGTAATAGCTTAGTAGGTAACATATTTGCCTACTAATTTTAGAAACATATTGTGGTCAAAGTTCGAATTTGATAATAATAATGGGCTAAAATCGAAACATTTTACACACAGGTGATTAACAGGTCGCACTAGGTTTACGGTTACTATTTCGTGGCATGGATCTATCCCGAGGGGTTGAAAACGTACTACCCTTTGTTGGCCAAAATCAAAACTCCTCCGCCAACTTGGTTGCTACAGTCTTATCGGAAAACGCCAAACATACCCTCTTTCGATAACGCACTCTCATACAACCACGTCTCAGTAATATATGCCATTTCGCGAAGAACGCGATAAGGCATAGCGCCATGTCGTCTTAAAGGGCGGATGCTTAATGCGGCAAATGGAGACATTTTGTATCAAAATGCCCCCATTTGCCATATGCCTGGTATAAACTTATCGTCGACAGTTCATTGCCCATATTTAGGTCATTTTCAGGAATCTACAGAATGTGGAAACCGCATAGATAAGAATTATTCAGCGGGCGTATTAACAATTAAGATACGATTTCTTTTTTAAAAAATGACACCTGTTTGTATTATTGATAGCGTTTTATCTATATACTTGATTTATTTATACAGCTTGGTGTTGTGAGAGTAGCAACCCGATGAAGTCCATGATTTATTTATCAGCTGACTGCAGTTTCAAAGGCTTCATCCGCGTCAAGGATAAAAGTTGAGAGCTAGCTTAGGATTAGCAAACAAATTGCACATATTAAGGGAAGCACAACGTTGTCCGATTTCGCGTCATTTAAACGAACGAGCGGACGAAATAAGGCCATCATGAAGCTTGCCCCGGCAAAAAATTGTTTATTAATATAGAACCTAATGCTAGTCTCTCCGTAAAGTGAATGCAGATGTTGCAGCACCACTTGCTGAGTAGTAGGGTAATCCTACGCGAATTATCTGTAGCAGAACAAATTGACGGATAAGTTGTGAAATTGATGGGTATGGTTCTAAAAAATTACTACTTTTAGCTGTCGATCGAGTTGGGCTAGAAGCCAACTCGATTGAGTTGTGAATGAAAGTGAAATGAGTTCCGACACGCTCTGTCTCGGTCGCGAGAGCTAAACAAAATACTATTTTCCCTTAAGCGAAAAAAGATGCGAAGTTAAGCGTTAACAGTGGCAATCATATCATCGGTTAGCTCACCAGCAACGTCATAGCATTTCGAAGCCCGAAGTCATGCGGTTGGTTCTGGAAGCGCCACTCGCGTAGGTAGATGCCATCTTTTTTTGAACCCCTTAATAATTCAATGCAATAGAATACTGTAAGAGCACGCTACCCGGTATTAATTTCTATAGCGGTCATGGTTATGTAGAAAATGCGGTTCAAAAGGATGAAGGTTTAATAGGGACTTAGCCGCAAAAGAAGCGGATCAAGAAGCCTAAGAGGTTAGGGCCATATCAAAAATAGCAGCAACAGGTTATGAACCGCGACGTTATCGCGCGAACGCCTCAATATCGAGCGCTCCCTTTGTGAAATCTTTATATTTTTGGTAATAGCTTTATGGAAAGCCACATTAGACCAGCTTGGCCAGATGTTTCCGTATGCGTATGGTTAGTGAAAGTCCGCAGTCCAGCTTCTGGAACGAATGAATCCAAACGTTTATTTGGCGATTGCTGAAGCCCTTTAACAAATGCAGCGCTCTGTAGCTACCCATCTTCTGAATGAGATGCCCACAGGATTACGTTGTCTCGCTCGCATTGTCTTAGGGAAACATTTTGCAGAAGAATTGGTTCGAGGTAGAGGAAAGGCCTTTCTTTAAGAAGCTACCTCTCATTGTATCTGACCGATTTGAGTTCCGGTCGGTCTCCGTTTCTATCGGCCCTTAGCAGTGAAAATTCATCTGGGAAGACAAACGATAACGTAGCTTGGGTCATGATTTGATGTAGTTTTGAACATGAGGAATGTCAAGTATTCACTCAACAAGTTACTATTACTCTGCATCCTCTTTCAGTTTGCTTCACGTCGCGAGAGAAGTCAGAAAAGCTATTCTATTAATAGCAAACTATTAGTAACTAACATGTTTAACGACGCTTTGCCATTTTGTGGCTTGCAGAAGATGACGGAGCTGATAGCGGAATACCCTCTGATTTCGTATCCGACTCTTGTGAAGGCAAGGTGAGCCGATGCTGTTATTCGGACCAACAGGGATTTCATTGTTTTATCAGTAACATTACCCTTTCCATGTACATAGTTCATCGAAGGGAAGTTCACAGTGTGTGAACTATTATATACATATATAGTCAAAAGTTAAATTTAATGAAGCGATTACGTTTTAAATAATTGTTGCAGTCATATGGGTGTTGGTGTTTTAAATAACCAATGTAAACCTAGCTGGTCTTCAGTGATCATAAAAAAGAGTTTGGGTTAAGACAACCCGCTTTGAGACGTATGGCAATAAATGCATCCCATATGTGCTTAGTGTTTTAATGGATATCGATTACGAAGCCTGAGACACGCACATGCACGTATACACAAACCAACATATATCGAATGTTCACGACATTATTGGCCAAAATCATAGCCTTCTGTATTGGTAATCACGCAAGATATCTTTTTTGCAGGTGAATGCCGAGGATCTGGCTAAGGGAATGCAGCAGCTTGGCGTAAGGGGAGGCCGTAGCGGTAAAGGAGATCATGAGCTCGAACAGGAGATCGAGAAAGAGCTTGATGGCTACGAAGTCGTTCAATCAGGCAGCACCGGCGCTGGCGTCGCTGATGACGACGACCTCGAAAACGAGATTCAGAATCTTCTGTCAGCTACACGCAAATAAGCGCAGAAACGCCAAGCGAAAATAACAGCATGAACTCTCACAGTTACTACTTGTCAGTATAGAATCGAAGCCGAAAAGCACCAGCCGAAACAACGTTGATCACAGGACAGAAACAATGCGACGCGTAAATAGTGATGACAATATTAAACACAACAGCGACATAGGAGACAACTAAAATATCATATAATTTCTTACGTTTGGATTATCTTTATTTACATACGCATGTATCCACGACGATTAGTTAGACAAGTTGACTGAGGAGGCGCGTAAGTTAAGAAAATTTGTTGTTTGGCTATGATATATAAACATAACAGCAATAATAGAGAAAGAGAAGCTGAGCCGTAAGCGAGTCCATGAAAGCAGAAAAACATCACGAGAACAACTGACGTACAGAATACGGGACATTGACATGCAACCGCATTGCACTAAACCGATAGGTATAGATGAAAATTGGAATTGTTGCCGGAATTACAAGTGAGATGGGAACGAGATAACTGCGGAAGGTCAAAGGTAATGAAAATGTCAAAACTCCAAACAGATTAGAAGAGGTATTATTTTGCACGAAGTTTGATGGCACATATTAAACTTGCTGTAGACTAACCGACAACTTTTTTTGTTTTTTTAGGTATTTTCATAAGATACGAGTACCTCTTTGTCAACCCTATAATAATAACTTAATTTTTCATTAATATAGATGTATCCGCAGCCTAGTTACACGATTAATACATAATTACGATTGGTATCTAATGAATATGCTAGGGATCCATAAGCGAGCTTATTCAATTTCTTGAAGAAACCCAATAAGTTTCTATTTGTAGTTTATTGTCATAATCCATTTTACACCACCACCAAAGATAAAAAGCAGTTATTCACCTATTAAATCAATAGCTCAGTTGCTCTTCTCCAGTGGAAGAATCAAATTTTTCGGAGAAATTTGTTTACGCATTGATCCAATTTGTTGGCTTGGCCAACTGTACCTTATATACGAGATCCATTTACTTCTGCTCGATAGGACAGAATAATAAGCTGTGGCAATTATCGCCGCCTACTGTGGAAACCCAGAATGTTGCTATAAAGGTGAATAAGTCCGTTGTACTGATGTAGTGTTGTTCTAATCTACATGCTTTACTGATTTGGTACTTACAGGTGTTTGGGAGTTGCGTGCGGACTTAACCGTTAGTCCGTTAACGAGCTATGCTAATCCGTTGCTCACTTTAATTTCAAAATGGAGACAGATGTCATCGTGCTTCACTTAACACTACTTCAGGAAGTTGATCATATATATGTGGCCATCGTCATGATGGTGCCGCCTGTATTACCCAGGGGGTGAACTTTCTATGCTCTGCTCTGCTCTACTTCGTATCCGATTCCAAGGGCTTCTTTCAAGTAGAAGATAATCTGCTCTCCGTGTAAGTCATATACTTTGATATGCATAAATAAAAACAAACGAACAGATACGAAAAGAAAAACCGTTGCCGTTGGACGTCTGTATCGACGTGTCATATATATGAGATACTAGATACTGATGATTCTGTTTACACCGCAATGGATGGGTGTCGCAAAGGGCTATAGTAGGACAGCGTAAACTGGCGTAGGATAAAGAAAAGACAAGCGTTTATCAAGACATAATAAACACCATACATGCTACAACAAGCCAGACCCATGTCCTATAAAAGAACAGAAACGTCACTAACTATAACAGCCGGTATCCATATACACAAGTACATCTAGTGCGAGCCATATATAGCGTTACAAAAAGCGATTAGTTCTAGAATAACAGCATGTAGTCTTAAAACGAACCAACATAACTAAAAATTTCTATTAGCAGTGTAAAAGGTAAACACCCGTACACACGCTCGTTTCACCTGCAGTCTCTCACCCCGGTGACAAGGATTGAGAGAAAGTTAAAGAATGACGGGGTAAAGGAATGAAGAAGGCATAATAGAATCTAGCTAGTTAGTAGCGGTTCGACTGACAGCTAACAGTCGTACTGTAGCCTACAGGTATTACGCTGGTAGACGTGAAAAAGGATGTGTGTGAATATAAAACGATCCTTACATATAAAGGGACAAAAGGCCAAAGACCGAAAAAAAAAATGTTATCTAAAGCCTGACAAATTTGGCACACTGGCATAAATGGGGAAACAAAGCTGTCGAATTGACGTCGTAAATAAAGACGTGGTAGCAAGATGTTACATGAAGACTGTGAGTTTAATACAGAATAAACAAATGCGAACGCGATGCGCAATGATGGGATACATATGCGGACATGCGATAGATGACACTCGAAGCAGGGATTTCGGAGAGATAGCCTACTCCACGGACACACGCTAATGTTATTCGGCGAAACATATTGAGACAGATGGAATAAAGATCTTGAGGTCTTTTTCGCATGATAGAAGGTGATAAGCAGAAGACGTTAAACGACTATACTTAATATTACAGATAGATAGAAACAGAAGATATGACGTCTGAGTAATAGACGGCGCCTATAGGTAACATGATGGTTGACTGGGCAGGGGTGTTACGAACTCGGGAAAACGGATCCAGGGGGTCTACCTTGTTGGTGAAGTGGACCGCGGAAGTAAAATTTTTCGCCTGAATGAAGAAACTTTCATAGTTCAAGGGGCCCGCGACTCGTTCCACTCAGGTTATGTCTAGGCTTTGCCACGGCACCTCTAACAGCGAAGTGCGTCTTTGTCCACTATATCTGTAATTATAAGAAAAAAAGCTTTCAAATCTCGTATCTCTTCGTCTCGGCTATGCCAATCTGAGTGACTGGTCAGTGGTGAAGTTCGTTCGCTTGGATAAATTGTTTACGGTAATTCGAACCGAAACTGGGTTTCTTGTGTAGAAACGTCAAGGAATCTAGTACAGCAAGTTCGAACAAACAGTCCACCATTTTTCATAAGGGGCATCGGGTCCCTTGACTATTACTAACACAGTAATTTTTATTGTATTCTTTCTTTTTCTGCTGATTACGCAAGAAGAAGTAAACAAACAGGGACAAGTAAGCTGAAGCAGGTTGTCGCTTGATTTGCTGGTGACGAGTAGTTCTCAAAAGCGAATGCCCTTGTGTATTTTTGCTAGGGTGTAACGTGGAAAATGAATAGATGGCGATGACACTGGTGATGACAGAGACGTAGTTAAGACATGCGCGGACAAATGACTAGAGGACAGAAGGCAAAGGAAGAGAGGGAGGCGACAGAACGACAAAAAGAATTATCATATTCTTAGCATCAGCGTCCATATTACGTGCCTATAACGTTTTGTAGTAATGCGGAGACTATTTATCTGTGGTTACTGTGCAATTAAATGGTTTGACGGTGACACGTACTTTGCAAAAGGTCGTACTCTCTATAGTAATACGATGTATATGGTTCGTCTGATAAGGTCCAAAGTCCGATGTAGACCGTAGAGAAAGATAATCTTATGGTTACTTGTTAAGAGAATTGGTTAATTGTTTACAATCGTCTCTCGAACAGTGAAGAACCAATAAAAGCGCGATATGGTAAAGAATTCATCCGTAAAACTTTTTACACAATTGAGGGTTGTCGTATAAGTGAAAAATTAAGCAAGTCTTCGAAAAAGCAACACCGTGTACTCGGTGTCGTTCGTTGAATTGTCCGAAAATTCCTGTTCACTTCCCGCGACGTTGACCTTTCTGGTCGATATAATTATTACAGAAACATTGACTCAGACGTTCATATGCAGAAATCCGAAAGGTCATAAAATGGGTTGTGTGTTTAATCTATGACTGACGGGTTGATAAATAGGTTGGTCATTGTTTGGTTGACGATAGCTAAGAAGAACCAGTAAACGTGAGTTATTTCTTACTGATGAGTATTGACGATTAACTGTTTAAAATACTTCGAAGCAATCATCGTTGCTACGATTATTAACGTTATGATGATTGAAAACATGCATAATAACGATAATAGCCCATCGTAAAAACGACGTAACATAAACGTACTAATTTTACGCAACAACGCTGGCATCTCTCACATGTCATCAGCTACTAAGCGCGAATGTTAATATACGAGGTGGCTGGAAGGAACACTAGAGAATATTTTACATCTCCGATTCATGCCGTGATATCAGAACTTTGCCAAAAATAATAATTCAAACCAATGTCAATGGCTGCCGCTGAGTTGAGCATCTCTACGTCCAGTGATCCAATCGTATCTGAGGGTCGTTTGCGGATCGCAAACGCGACCCACTTAAGCTAAAAAACGAATCTTCAGAGGCGTACTTTTACGTTACAGAACTCGAGACGCTGTCTAGCTCTACTGTTGATAAGAGCAGTTGGCAAAATACAAATACGGTGGTTTTGTTCTGTGCTCATTATATTAAAGGAGCGAAAGACAAAGTCTCAAGCCCAAGCGAAGCCACCCCGTAAGTCGCTCGCAGTCGAGTTGCAACGTCTTCTATTATGCGGCTGTGGACGCCGTACTGTAATTGTCTAAGCGACGGTAAATGGGCACTTGGTAGTGTGCAACACCGAGAACATTGGGTAGAGCCGGGCGCTAAGATCTATGAATCATGTATGGTGGGTCGATGATATACATGGGACATGTGTCGGGCCAACCTTTCATCGGTATGCCCACTGCAGCGGAAGCGACAAAATAACAGCTATTACGATTTTATCAGTGAATACCTTGACGGTTGTAGCCAATCTTGCTACCACTACATGTACATGCATATACCAGAAATGTCACATGATACATGTTGAATTTAGGCCAGACAAATGAACGTTACTGGCATGGTTTCATTGCTAAAGAAAGACGTGAAACCTTTTATCGTTGGCTTCGAGAGCACAGTTAACCTATGCTGCCTACTAACAAATCGCTCCGGATGGTTTCAAGCCGAAGCAGTTTCTCTTTAGAAACAGTGATGGCTACCCACATCTACAGTACGATCTCGGGATTTCAAGCAGAGATTTGTATGGATTTCCATTATAAATGGGCAGTATGTAACGTGCGCACAGGTGTACACATGCTAAGCGTATCCAAGCTCCTTCCTGTTCAAATCGCTGATACAGCCACTGAAAATTATAGTAACCATAGAAAACAAACGTACAGACACTTACTAAACATGCACAAACATGAGACGAGAACAGACAACCAAAAATAACGCTTCCGTTCCCTCTAGCGGTATCTGAATAAATGCGTCAATATACGAGCCAAAGCAAAGGAAAAATATTGAAAATAACCAGCTAGAAGAAAACAGGTCTCTACGTCTTCTGCAGTGATTCGGTAGGGCAATCCATGAACATATTCAACTGAATATATTCATGAAGGACATCTAATCTAACTAGACGAGATCTGTCTCACCCTAGAAGACCGGGCTTACGGACAACTTCTTCTGGAGTAGCTTGCGCAGCCGAAACACAAAATCAAATAATTCGAAATAAGCGTAAATGATAGTCGGGAGAAAACGAACTCTCATGATGCAGACAATGCGGCTCTTGGTTATCAGTAAGCCTGCAAGAAAGCGAAACCCTTACGATCGATAGCATTTCTATAATATTTCTAACCAATCATCGTATTTGGCTCTAGATATTTATGTCATTTTGTCGATAGCAGAAAAGTGAAAACGAATTAAGCAAGAAAAACGAGCGACCATAACATACAAAGCTTTCTTCTGACTTGTCTTATTGACGTAAGTTTAGTCGAACTGTTCGCTGCTTGTGCAGATCACTGTGGTGAAGTAGTAGAAGAAGTCAAAGAAAAAAAAATAGCAGTTACCCAATTAAATGATTTACGATGGAGCGCATTATTACTATTATTCTCTAAAAATTATGATGTTGTACGTAGAATAGTATATATATAGTTGTCGCGCTATATATATATATATATATATATATGGTCGGCAGAGCGCACAGCATCGGCAACACGTCGAGTCTTGCTGACCGTCTGCGGTCGTAAACTGCCGGTTTACCCCCTGCTAAAAATAATGACGGTAGTTTCATGACGGATAATTTAATGATCATGTTAATTATTATTACATTATAATATTTGATGTGAGAAAAAACAAAACGGCTTTAAACGAAGAAGTTAGTTAATCTAATACATAGACTAGTTTCCTGCGTTTTTACGTTATCTGCGTTGGTACATACGGGCTGTCAACTGGTCGAAACTCTGAGTACATTAGTTGATTACTACGTGATGAAAATAATGATGATTGTAATAATATAGTAAAAACAATATTAAGTACTAATAAATGGACATACGTGAGGTAATTCATCAGTGTCGATGATGAGGCCAGCCAACAATCGTGATTGACGATTATATACAGAAACAACAAATATACGAAGAGACAAATACTAATGATGATGACGGCGTCTAGAGATTAAATAAATGTAACGTCAGTCAAGACGTGACCCTATCTGTTGTTGTTTCTTCTGTATTAGTAAGAACATTCCAGTTACATAGGCATCGGCGGATTTACCGGCTTTCAGAAATACATGCGTTATTCAAGCATCTGAAAGACAAGGCTTTTTGCAGCCACCAGGGTGAGGAAGAAAGCAATCTTCTTTCTCTGTCCTGCCTCATTGGACTGTTAGCTTAGGCTGGTAGAGACTAGCCAGACTGAATCGTATTCAGTTGATTATGTTTGTAGTACGTAATGCTAATATCGTGTTAGACAATGACGTCGATCCGCACCTATGTAAAACATAAGGCAGATCAATATTTAACATGTCATTTTTGCTTCCTGTTCAACTAGGTAGATAGATAGTCAACTAGGTCAACAAAGTCAACTAGGTAGATAGATATTTTGAGTTACAGATTTCATGAATGAATCAAGCTAAATTATTAGGAACATTTTCATATCTATTTATTTCAGTGTGATAATTTTTGTTTCATTTGTGAATTGAGTCAGTATTTCCCAGGCCAGATTTTGATTAGAGAAGTTATCTATAGCAGCACAAACTGTCGTTCGCCCCGCCGCACACCTTCGTTCGCTAACCTCCGCGATCTGCCTTGCCTCTTTCTATTATTGCATTTCCCATAGCTGTCTTGTTACCTTGACCAGCCGTAGCAGAGCGCCTGATTCGTCTTGATCTCAAACATCGTAACGACCCCCCGGTAAAGTTACGGCAGTGACGGTGGAAACTCCCAGAAACTTTTTTATGTTGTGTTAGTCTCCCCCACCGCTATCTAAGTACCATCCTTCATGTTGCTATTGATCTCACGTCAGTTCCATGTCGCTGAAATTCCCGCCACCACCGCCACCATTGATAGCAGCAATGTCACAAGGCTTTAATCTTTATCGTTCGGAATAAACCGCCCAATCTCCGCTTGAACTACCTGCCCCTAGTTTGCGGCCACTAGTTAACAGCCACACTATTCATTCACATAAGTATAAAATAGATAAAGAGGGTTTTGTTGTTACCAGAAAAGGTTCGAATTCTCCGGTGATCGGGAAAGCGTCGACGCCAGCAGTCAGCCCATATCTAGACGCGTATATATATATATGTGTGTGCATATGTAAGCTGTTATCTCTCTATTCCATACGACGAAAATGTCGATGCATACAGTGGAAGCATCCCATTTAGGTAACGTCGATGTTCGGCGTTTTCCAATCCGCTATAATCAGCTATGGTGTAGCACTCGTGTCTTTGTACGGTTTTGATTTGCTCTTTTTGGTACTTCACCACGTATTATGGGCCGTGCATTACTTTAAGGTGGCAGAAAGCGACATTTGGTTATGAAATATAAAGATATCTATTTTTAAAAATCAAACTAGCTTCCGGGGACTTCTGTAATTCAAGTAGTTAAACTCTGTCCAACTCTCGCCATAGGCAGGCATAGAAGACATTAAGTTACATTTAGAGAAGGGAAGCAAACAATAAGAGGGATCCTGCTAGAGTGGGCTTCAGTGGAAACGGATCATAGTTGTGTTCCTAGCCGTTTCCATAGAGACAGAAGGACCGGCGCGAAACAGTGGACGGTAGAATGCGGTGTGCTCGTCTCCGGTGGCCGGAGAGTTTTTTTTGCTACTAGAAAAGGTTCGAATCCTGCCGATGATCGGGAGAGCGTCGACGCCGGCAGTCAGCCCATATCTAGACGCGTTCAATATGGTTTCTGGGGGATCGACTAAACGGTCCTCGTCAAGCACGTCTGTTCGAAGCGCCAAGCCGCGAAGTGCTCCCGGGACCCCAAAGCCAGGTACACCTTCCACACCGCGACGAGCCCGCACCCCAGGCGGCAGTCAAGAATCAGGAACAGTCTTCACACTTGAGTTTAACGGTGGTCTAAGAGGTGCGAGTTATGGAATGATGATTAAACAGCAACCTGCAGGTGGGTAATATTAGAAGGCGGGTTCGAAAAAATGTTAGGAAACAAAAATTAAAAATAGAGATTTGTCGCTAAATAAATTGGTTAAATTCTATGTAAAAGATTGAGCGATCCATTAAAGACACTCGTTGGACTACAAACGTTTGTGTATACTCACAAGATTGCGGATATAATTAAAAACTTACATTAGGACTTGGTTCTAGAAATAGGACAACCTGCTATTATTACGACGAATATGTAAATCTAAATGTTGATTCCACCATCTCCCGTTTACGCATTTTTATATTTACGTCTAAATTTATGGTAATTATTGAAAGTGATATTTTCGCGTGAAATTCCAATTGAAAGATAAACAGGCATTAAGCTTCTAAAAATATTAAGATAGATTTTTGGTTTATTATAGAATAAAAGCAGTTATTAACAGTTCTGTGACAAATCTGAAAGTAAAATATTTGCTCTACACAATGTAGACCCGCAAAATGTGAACCTTCGATATCCCCATTGATTCTATAAACGAATTTGTTTGACGGCTTTAATTCAATTTAATTAAACTTGTTTTGCGCGACTTGGCTTCCATTTGCCCGATGTTTCATCAGCCTACTTGAATGGACCGGATACTCTTACCTCTCTCTATGCAAACCTATTATATTATGACCAGTATGCTGTATTATTGTGTAAGTATATTATGATTAGAATATATCAATATGGAGCCATCTGAATAACGTGATATTTATTCTATTTAAGAACACACATAAGCCCACAGATTTTAGGCATCTGTAGGATACGATATCTACGATAATTTCTAAAATTATAAAAATTACTATTTGTTTTAAACCTACTTCAGGAGGTCGAAATCCGGTAATCGTCTTCACAGGAAGCGTATCCAACAACGATAAATTTTCGTTTACTTCGAAACGCACTCCAGGGCAGAATTTCAATGCAGTGATTTACATCGATGGATTGCGATATCATCAGCTAAGCGGATGCTGCGAAAACAGGTTCCTTTTTCTGATCTATATATACGGACTGGTGAGTTCAAACTGGGGAAAACCTTGGCAGACTGTTTGTCATAGCGCGTTCATCCGCTACTCCTGACACCGGACAGAAACCAGATATTTATAGAACAGAACAAAAACTCATCATGCTACAAAACAGTGCGTCGGGTTCGGGTTTTGAGCTAAGATCAGCTATTATCCAATCTCTTTACGTTGGAAGAATCTTCGAGAAGATAAACTTTTTTTTTTTTAAATCGACAGTCTTTAACACTAGTTTTCATGAGTCTACTGAGAAATCTGAAACATTCTTGCAGGAGCCAAACCGGGAGATACTTGATAGGATTTAGGTTGAAAGGGCTCGAGAATTCATCAAAACTGTTCAAAGCTATTTTTGGGGCATTTAAACTTCTGATAGAAAAACTGAAGATCGTTTCAGAGAAGATAATATCAATTACCAATTGGGCCATTTAGATAAGCTCCAACAATTAGTTTTCTTGAGACCCTCTGCACCTTTTTGAATGTTTTAACCTTTCTGAACCCTTGCACCTTCGAGATATTTGGCATCGAAAATTCTATTCCGTAAGAAATTTTTTGTGTGTAGCGTATTTGAGAAACACTTCACGCCTACAAAGAGCGTATCTAGACGTAATGATTTAGGTTCACCACAATTGTGAATCTCGACTACAGGTAGATTGCCTTTAGCTGTATGGTCAACTTACGAAGATAGTAGAAGCTCACATCATTTGAAATCTGCTTTACATTAAAGCCTCAAAATATTCGGACCAAATTAAATCTAGTTAATTGAATCATGTTCCTCTAGGCTGCGGTTGTGCTTTCTCAATATCAAACTATTAATTTTCACTCAGAATAAATTACGAGCAGCATCTGAGTCGAGATTACAGAAGAACGAAATACAGCACGTTTTGACATTTTAATATAATTAGGGACAATAGTCTACGACAATAATTTTGTTTTGCAAATTATTATTGGTTTTCCAATAAACAGAAATAGTAACGTGGAACGCTTTCGGCCTCAATTAATAGATACAAGGAAGGATCGAGTTTTGGTAACCGGTTGACTATTCAGAAGGTCGAAGGCGCCAAGCCATGCTACAGATGCCAGTTCGAGAAAGAACTCAAAAAGCAAAGATGACACCTCGACTCGGCTGGATGATTACAGATCCAGGATGCTACACACTTCCGGACAACACAAGTGTGCCACCTGGAGGTCTCTCTATGGAAGAGAGCATCAAGGTTTACTGTTACCCTTCAGTAAGATATATCGTCACTTATCCAGCGTTCCAGGAAAAACTAGCTTCAGTGACGATATAAGTTCACGTGAACATGGTATTTTAGTTTTGGCTACACGAAACATCGTTGTAAATTTCTTGCAGCGATGAAATTACAGTTCGCGACTTATGCCAAAGTCATGACAATACGATTAACCCAAGAGCCTAGTCCCATGCATGGTCGATTGATCATGTTGAGTATAGTTTCGTAGATCAACAGGAGTCGACCGAGGAACTGTGGAGGGGTAAAAACAGTAGCACTCGTTTTTGACAAATAAATGCTCTTTCATGTGCTTTTATTGCTACGTGGGTATAATCATTATATGATTACCTACTTACTGTATAAGCTTCGATGTACTTACATGACATGCATAAATCATTTAAGCCAAGTGATAAAAAGTTTGTTTGGTTTCCTAATTTTACAATAATTAGCCACAAAAGCGTAAGAATATGAGTACGCAATTTCTACAGGTGGTCATTCTGAATGACTCGTTACTTCGATGGTATTAACAAAGAAACAGGAACAAATATCCGCAACCATAAACACGCTCATGATTCCTTACTCCTCTTACATATATATTTTCCAAAAATAATCTTTGCTTTGCCTAAGAGTCAGTCTTCTTAAAAGGCGCAGGTCGCACGTCCAAGTTCGTTAATTTCATATCTGTATATTTGTTATCCCCTATCGCTGATCACTTCAATGACGCTGTGCTCCATAAGCACAGGATCGAGACATCGGTGTATTGAGCTTGACACTATCTCGTCCAGTAATGCCAAAATCACCTGCTCGTCTTGAACAAATCTATAAAAACAACAAAATAGCACAGCATCACATTAATATTATTTAAATCTAGTATAGGCACAAACTCTAAACTATATACCTGCCGAGATCTGAATACTATGCATAACATTCATAAGTAAAATCCTGTGACTAATTTGTGACTAATTTGCCAGATCTTCCATTTCTACGAGATATGATACGTACATAATGGCTCATGAATCAGGAGCAAAGCATTAATTGCATCTAGTCAGCATTATTTGATGTCGTATACGAACATCACTTCCTGAGAGACTGTAGTGGTAAACTCCTAAAGTATAAACGTAAATGCACAATTAGCCATAATAACTTACCGCCAAAGGTAAAGATGCAGGTAATGTGCGTCCACCTGCACCTGCTGCAAGCCAAATCTGCCAAATGTCTTTAATCGAATGCATTCTAGGAGCGTCTTCAGCGAGATCTTGATGACTCCTGTCATCACTGACACGCGATTTGGTTCCACTTTGCTCATAATCTCGATTTTCTCTGAGAAAAGTTTGTTAAAGTTAAGGTTAGGCATCATCGAGCACTCCGTATGCCCAGTGGAAGGGGGCCCCCAACGTTGCGAATACGGATAGGTTCTTCGACTTGAGTCGCTGCTACGTTCACGACGGGAGCCTTCTTCGTATAGTTCACCTGTTTCATGTAAAATTAAATGCATGATAAAGCATACAGGATCTAATAATAAGAACTCGTTAGTAAATATTGAGCCTAAATAAAAGTAAATATGAGCGTTGAGTAAATATTGGGGTATTCCTATTTACTGTATTCTAAAAACAGTTGCGTAGTGGTAACATAATTTTCATTCTGATTTTTAAAAGCTGTAGGACAGCTAGATACATGTAGACTTTGTATGGAACGCTAATCAGTTAAATATATTGAACCATTTAAGAGCAAATTATCGACTGCATAGCGTTAATTTCATCTGGTTGCTGAAACGTTGTTGTTGTTATTATTGTGAAGATGAAAACCCTGTACAAACCGACGTTAGCGTCCAGTTGCGTGAGATCTTCGACAACCCTTTTCATAACCGCTCGTACATTTCGAGGTTCGGCACAGCCAACCCAGTTTCGGGCATCGACGCTTTTTCGTAACATATTCGAAATCACGTCACCAGAACGTACAACAAAACCTTGTAGCATTTCTTCAGCTAACGATTCCACGGAGCATACCAGCTCCTGAACATCAGCCGGCAGCCTACTCGAGGCCATCGATTGCGTTTCGAGGGCGTCGTCACACATGCGAAACACCTGTTTGACTAGCGAATGCCTTAGATCAAGGCACAGCTTCGATAAAACCAGCTGAACGAGAGGGTTGCCACTTAAGTCGCAATATTCATTTCGCATTGTATCGGCCGCGAAGGAGATAAATTTACCTAATAAACCGCGCTTGATCAAATGTTCCGAAATGAAATTGCGCAACTGACCACGACTTGCTGCAAACGTGACGTCCTGTGAGACGAAATGTCGCATTTCCCAAAGGACGCACTTGACCTTTTCGAGTACAGCTGCTTCGAGATTCACCAGAATCACACTAAGGCTACCTTTAAATGGCTGAATGAGTTCATGACGAAGCTCAGCTAATTTATTGACAATGAATACCTGCATCTCCTCTAAGTAAAATTCTACTTTGTCTTCTGCAGCCTTTTGAATCATTTCGTACACTTTCGTATTAAGGTCCATTTGTGGAAGTAGATTGTTTAGTGCTTGCACTCGACGGAAAGTCTTATCTAACGCTTTCACGCATACTTCTGTGTTGTTGTTCCGTTTTTCTGCTTCAATACGTTCCGCGACCAGCCTGAAATAGTCCTCGATTAGGCTGCGTACAAAGTTTTGTTGTTGTTCCATTATTGTTGTGTCGACCTGAGCACGTCCACTAGACACGAAGAGCTGGGCGTACGAGGCAATGATTAACGATATATTCCCAAGAAACGAATTACATGAATGATCAACAAATTGCTGTACATCCATTTGCGTCGAATGGAGCAGATGTAGTTCGGGTGGTAGACCCGCAGAAGCAGGCGAACTATCGCCCTTAGCCAGTGACACCTGCCGAACTAAAACAGTCAAATCTCGGTTAAGCGAAATAGCCGCTTGTTCCAAATATTGCGCGCAAAGTTTCTCAATCGGCTCGTGGAGCGAATTGAGTAATTGCACTGCCTCCGAGAGCTCCTTAACGTTGACGTGGCGTTCTTCAAAACGTTCGAACAGCTTCGCCTTGATCTCGTCGACGATCGCCAGGCATTCGCTATGGATATCTTTAAAGCAGGCAATATACGAGTACTGACTGAGAATAGACTCGGCTGAGGTAAATAATGTTACGGCTTGAGCAAACTGTCCGTTCTTTTTGTGCTTTCGTAAGTTTTCCGGCAACTCAAACACTCGCTGCAGACGATTAAGGAGAGTTGATGTCGTATTCAGATTGGCTACCTGCTGAGCACGTTTATGCAGTGCCTGCGATACATTGCCTGAATATATAGATATTTTCGACATATTCTCAACAAGTGACTCCATCTCTTGTTCCATTGTCTGAAAATCGGTCTTCATTTTCTTGATCGTGTCAGTAGCTGAAATAAATTTGTTGTAGTTATCGTAGACGAGTCGTTGCATCTCCGAGTCGAGTAGCTGAATCTCACGATGAATCTGTTGTTCACGGTCCATGATTTCCGTTAGACGGTATTCTTTAAACACTCGTTGAAGATATAGGTCCGGATTAAAGTCCGTGCTGTTGATATTGTATGGGTCGAAATCGCCGCAAACGGCACCCGCATCGTCGACGCTTTCCATCGCCACGCTAGAGCTCAAGACGGCTACAACATACAACAAAATAGTTTTCTAAAATAGCTGGTTATTACAATGTTGATGGCCTCTTTCAGTTATTTTATGAAGAACGCAACACTAAACATATGCATCAGTAAAAAGCTAACCCTTCTTTTGGCCTCTAATTAAAATTTAAGTCCCTAAATAATTTACCTGATCGAAAAAGTTTAGAATTCATTTTTTATCTTATATATATATATCGTTTTATCTGCATAAAGTTTCCTAGCAAGCTCAATCATTAGTAACAAATCCGTTTGCTGTATCTAGCAGGATCCAGTGGCTTTTTTTTTCATTAAAAAAATGCAGAGTTTGCACTCTATGCGCTAAAATGCTCTGCATTTGCATGCTAAAGGCAAGATCAGGTTTTGATGACCTGCCGTCAGTCAACATTGTGTACACACAACGTATACACATAATGTTAGTGTTAATACGTTACCTATTCGTCTGACGTAACTGCAAAACTTTTGTAAACCACAAAAAAATTTACTGAACAGTGAAGTCAGTACTAGTTACGTGAGCACCACCACTCCACTCTATAGGTCTTTACTCTAACCATGCCGTCACTCCATGGCGCATCTCTCAGCTGTTTCGACCAACCAATATGGCAAAACACAATGATGACGTGATCAGTATATGTACACAGAAACGCCTCCGGGCGATTGCTTAAGCGGCAATTTCCCAGAGAAGCCAGACGAACCGCCGCAAACGTTGAAAGTGATTGATTGAAGCGTCGATTTGACGCAGAATGTGTCTGTAGAAGAATATCATGCATAATGTGAAACTTATGAATTTTTAAATATACTAAGGGCCAATAACAGTGTTAGTGTTTATTAAATGCAAAGCATTTTTAGATAATTTAGGACATATCTTGTAAGCTGCGTTTATTCCCTGAAATTTGGTCATTTGAAAAGTTAGGCATACTGGCATTAAATCAAAAAAGAGTTACGTAAGAGTTTTCCTGTAGCTGACTGCCAGCTGCCTCTTAAAAAGTGTATGTGAAAAATGTGAGCATTTTACGAAAAGTTTCATTGCAACGTAACACTTCTTCAGTGTTCTGTTGGAATGTAAATGCACGGCTCAATGTAAATCTGTCGCCGACCTTTTCCATTCCTGAAACCCTTCTCTTACGATCAAAATTTTTCTACTGGTGAGTTTGAACCTACAACATCTATGGAACAAGCATTGCTTTGTAAAAGGTCGCGTACGCTATGCTGGTGACTCACTGAGAAAGATCAAATGAAATCCTTTAAACGCAGTTCTTATGAAACCTCGTAGTGTAAAGCAATGCTGTTTAATGTAAACGTTCTTTATACATTTTTCTAGTACATAGATGTTCTTGATGGCTTTTTGCTTTTCGGCTAGCGAATAATCCAATATTAAAAATAGTATCTAACCCGTTATTTATGTGTGTCACATTTTTATGTCCCCTATTTAATGGTAGGTCGACTAAGTACAGAATCGACCTGCAATTCACCAGCGCGCATTGTTTCTCTCTGGGTGTAATTTCAGTCGAGAAGTATTTTCTAATGTTTCGAATTTCCATCAGCTTTTGACCTTCCATGGCTTTACCCTACTGTAAAAAGCTTTACTTTTAGGTCCCTTCCCGCAAATTCAATGGGACTTGTGCTAAAACTAACAGACAGTCACTTTATATAATATTACTATGTACAGGGTTGCTTTGTGACATATAAGACAGGGCTGCATCTGCATGCATCCTTTGAGATATTATACGATATTTTTGTAGCCGGGGTGTCCTATTCGCCCAAGCAAATACAATACGCACTCTGAAGATGTAATAGTTACTATAGTCGACTATACAAAGTGTGCAAATCGCCTATATTTATACCGCAGGGAAGACACCTTAGAACCAATAATGCGGCGATGGTATTTTTGCGATACGTACACTATTTAGAGATAGAAAAAGGCCATAGCTCTCGTTCGATCTCTTGTTTACCTCCTAAACTAACTTCAGACTTTGCAGTTTGGTGTTACCATTAATACGAGCCGCATGTTGCCATGCGGCAACCTCACAATTTTACGAGCCATATCATCACAGTATATTTGTCCCGCTTCTTATAAAGAGAAGTCTTGCCAATAGACTAATAAACAACAAACCTTGCCTGAATAAAATTGATGTTTATATATTGGCGCATGACAATTGTTGTTGCATATTCTCATTAGCGGCTTTTTGCCCCCACGTGTTACTCCGGATAGGCTACATGTATCTGATAAAAATTGCTTGTCGCTTCAATTAACTGGCGCAGATACTGCCAGAGAACCACTCTCTGGTTTTGTTTTGATTTAAATAGCCCATTTCTTAACGTGACTCTTACAAATGGAAGAAATCAACAGGGTGCAGATTTAGGTTAATTGTGTTGCACCTGTTTCAGTTTCCTTATCCTGAGAATTTCAACTGAGCATAGTGTCAAAGCACGTTAGAGCGAATACTTTTCTTTACAATGTTCATGTCTATAGTCGGTGTTAATACTAGTTACACAGGCAATGACGTACAGTTGTACGAGAAGCAACATAATTAAGATCAGTTCATTTAATTTCTTCGATGATCCATATTTATATAGTTGAATGGCATTTCCATTCACTTAAGCGTTATACTTTAACCTGTCAATAACACTGCTTACCTACGCGAGGCCGCTTGCTGAAGTGGCTCCTTCCATTCTCACTTTTGTTTACGTTTTTTTTTTATTAATTGTTGACAGTCTCATTCGCCGGTACCACGATCATCACCATTTCCGCCGGTGCCTCACCTTATCGCTTAACGAATGAATAAATAATAGACGGGGCATCCAGCATCTAGAAAGACCTCTTTCAATTCGCTTCGTGTAGACCTGTTTTGAATAGTTCACGCATTGTCCCTTCTAAAGTGAGCCGCGAGGATACCATAGAATTTATGTTTGAATGATATTATATATATATGTATATATATATATCAATGGTGTTATCTACCACATCAATAAACGTCCATCTACTATGTCTATTAGCTCCATTTACTGCGGCAACGTAAGATTTTTTTCGTCGTTGTTTTCTGTTTGTCTACCTAAGCTGCATTCGTTACTGAGTGGCTGTTGCACTACCCATACCGTGTAGTTTTCAACTACCTGTTATTCAACGCCATTACAGGCAATCATTCGGAGTATATCCACAAATTCGAGCCAAAAAAAAACCTGAAACACGTCTATCTTATGTTTTTTCGCAAAATTACAGCAGACTTCGCTGCTATAGGAAGATATATATATTATATATATATATATATAATATATATATATATTATATATAGAATATATATATTCTAGGTATGCGTCTAACAGGGCAGAATAAAAACCAAATTTATGGTCAACCACCGTATTAGTAGATAGACAGAGGGATGAATGGATGGAACGAATTAAGTGTGTTTTCATAAGGTTTCCCCTAGCGAGTTGTCTGTTCTGTTTAGCCCCTCAACTACTCACTATTGACAGCCCATCATTAATAGATAGATAGACTGAGACTATTAGCAGTAATTCCGCTTTTCACACTTCGTCAAACCGATACGGCACGTTTGTCACAACATCATAAGAATAGGATAATGCCCCAGAATCATCGTTATCCATTATCACTGCGTCGGTAATGCTGGTGATAATAAGGGTGATGAGGGATGCAAAAATCATCGTTTCGGTTTCTTCGGTATTGCCCATTCTCCGCCTATATATCTACTCCTTCACTCCCGTGACTCGTTCAACTTAATTCGGTGATATGATCAGGCTTGAGGCCTTGCGCGTGTCGACTCCACATCGCCGAAAAGAGATCTTCCAAATTCTTCGTGTAGTGCTTAACATCGAATAGTGGCGACTCGTTCTTCTGCTGCCATACCTTGGCACGAATCAGCTTGAGGTACTGCTTGTCCCGACCGAGGCGAATAGCAATGCGTTCATAATCTTGCCGATCATTGGCTATCAATTCTGGGCAGCCAAGGCAATGTAGCTGCGAAGACGCAACTCGACTAGCGAGCGTTTCGAGAGGTAATGTTACCATGGGAGTGCCCGCCCAAAGGACGTCCATGCCGGTCGTGTGGCCGTTGCAGAGTGGTGTATCAAGGCATACATCGGCCAGCTGGCCACGACGGACGTGCTCCTCTTTGGCGGCAACATTCGAGAACACCACCCGTGATCTGTCCAGGCCTGAGGCTTCAATCTGGGCCAGTACCTGCTGCTCGCCAACGGCTGGGAAACGCAGTAGCCAGAGGACGGAATTTGGAACCGCCTTTAAAATATTCGTCCACATACGAAGTGTATCGGGGTCGATCTTGTATAGTTGATTGAAGTTACAGTATACAATGGCGTTCTCCGGGAGACCGTATTGCTGTCGAGTAGTGACAAGAATGTTGCTGGGAGCCTCTTCACCGGTGGCCTCTTTGGGGTTGGATGTTGCAGCCGCTCCACTTTGTAATACGACGCCATCAACATCTGCGGCTTCCTCTTTACCAGCGAGAACCTGTTTCAAGCTAGCGGAGGTCGTCGGAGGAAGGTCAATAATGGTCTTTACTACTTCTACGACCGTTGTCACAACGGGGGGAGCTGATGCCTCCAATGCCGTCGAAACGAGGGCGACCTCCTTAATCTTTTTCACGTCAACCTTCTCAATAATCGGAGTCAGGTCTGTGGCGTTGACCACGCTTACGTTATCCTTCACATCCGGATTATTGATGATTACTCGTTCGATTAAGTGTGGGAACATCTGTTTATGATCGCCAACAAAAAACGTATCAGCCATATAAGCCAACTTTTCCGTGTACTGGCTCGCCAATTCAATGGGTGATGTTATTTTGTCGGTAATGATATAATCCATGAAAGAGGCACCGGATGTACCTGGATAACCCAACCACATGACCTGTATGGGAGCAGGACGAAGGGCGAAGATCTCGTTTCGCGCACCTTTCGTGTAGCCGTTCATGTTGACGAGAATATGGATTCCGTCTTTGTGGATCATATCAGCCGCAGCCCCAACACACTGCACGGTACTCAGGTCAGTAAAGTGCTCGGATTCCTTAGAGATCTTCCCTCGGAATGAAGTACCGTCATCAATTGATAGCGCATAGCAGAAGATTTCTACCTGGCTTCGATCGTGCATCCCGGGCACACTCTGCATAAGATGCGAGGTCGGATGGTTTCCGAAATCCGAGCTCACATAACCGATGCGCAACCGTTCACCCTTCCTCAGCTCGACGGGATAGCTGTATAGTGGCTTGTGCAGCACCTGAATCTGCAAAATGAAAATGATCAAAATATTTAGACAAATTGCATGTTTCCACCAGGTCGCTTCAAATCAAGATAAAACGATGCCACGACTCCCAGATTTTACTTTTTAGCAGGCTTAAATTCACCGTAGAGCAGCGTCTGACAAAGTAACTAGTTCGGCTGTTGTTTTAAAAAAGTCTATCATACAATAAACATGGCTTTAGACACGCGAAGAATAACGTAAAAAATCATGATGCAACAAGGCACTTATCTAGTCGAGAAACAACCGATAAAGCAAACTTGTCACATACATAAATCTACTTTATGCGTACCTTTTCAATGCACAGATTAGCGTGTCTGGCAGCAATTGCCTTCCTCTGATCATGGCTAAGCGGATACAACATTGAATGATGTGGATGCACCGACGGCAGCCGGCCTTTTTCAATCTGCTCCCTCACAATTGCTACTAGCTTTTCCATACGAGTACCGTAATCCGACCAGTCGCAGATGATTTGTAAACAGTGCGCAAGGTTACAGAATGCGTCGGGGAAATCTGGTTTCAGCTTAAGCGCGGTTCTGTAGCTCTGTATAGCTTCGGGTATATTTCCGGAGTCCTTATGAATTGATGCAAGATTTGAATGGGCATCTGCAAAGGCCGGGTTGATGCTAATGGCTCGCTGATAGCACTGCAAAGCGCCCTGTACATCTCCGAGCTCCTTAAGTGTGTTGCCCATATTCGAATAGGCATCCGCGAATGCTGGCGAAATACGGATCGCTTCACGGTAATGACGCAAAGCATCAGCCAGTCGACCCTGCTGTTGTAGCACTGATGCAAGATTTGAATGTGCCGCCGCAAATTCGGGCAATACCTCGAGGGCCTTTAGATAGAGGCGAGTAGCCTCCTCGACGAGACCTTGCTCGCGTTTAATGTTTGCCAGATTGTTAAGCGAGTCGGCATGGTTCGGCATTAGTCGGAGCGCTGTGTGGTAGCATTTCTCTGACTCAGCTACAAGTCCCTTCTCTTTGAGTGCATTCGCCAAATTGCAGTATGCATCCGGAAAATTTGGTTGTAGTTCGATTGCTCGCCGGTACGTATCGATGGCAAGGTCAATCAACCTGTAGAGCAAAATTCAGATACACAGGACCATAAAGGTAACAGCACCATAGCAAACAGGAATTGCGCGACTGCAGTATTACTTCAATCACAAAAAGGCCTCTGCAAAAGGGTTGAGCCTGTTTTTCCAGAAATCGAAATAATCCACGTTCTTTTTTTGTATGAACAATTAATAGAGATAATTTTTTTGAGTTAGAACTCATTAATGAGCCTAAACTGCATTTTTATACGTAGTTTGGAATATTTCGTCCTTGCAGTTTTTGCTTTGGCAGTACGAAATTCAATTGGTAGTACTTTGTTCCATTTACAAAAAAGCTCTGTACGCCTTTTTAGCCAACTTCTGAAACGCTGAATGTGCTTTTCATGGGTATTTTGTCATAATGTGGGACGTACTAAGATAGTTCAGAAATTATATGTACTACACACTATTGACGAAACCCTTTTGCACCGATCATTTTCCTATATACTGCTAACGTTTGGTTAAGTTCGTTCACTGCTCCATTGAATTTGGATTCAATTGGCCGTTCTATACACACGTTGTAATAATATGAACTTAGCTACAAATAAATCAGGAATGTACACAAACCCTTGTTCATAGTATACACAAGCGAGATTTCCATGGACAATCGCATTGTTTGGAGACAAAGACAGCGCTCGAAGATAGGCAGCCACCGCCCGATCGAAGATCCTGGCTTCCTTCAGTACATTGCCCAGATTGATGTACGCGTCCAAAAAGTGAGGATCTAACGCCACCGCCTAACGGTCAATCAATGTATGTTAATAAGTCGTAAAAGGAAAAAATCTCCACTGTCTTTTATTTGCGCGTAATAACAGGTGAATTGGTCATTTTTACTAAACAATGACACGTACCTTCTCAAAGTGGTGTATGGCGAGCCACACCTCCCCCTGTGCGTTGAACACACATCCCAGGTTGCTCCAAGCCACGGCGAACGTCGGACACGTCTCGATGGCCTTCAGATAGCACGCCTACACGCAGACAGATGGTTTGGTTAGATTTCTTTTATGCCCCCTCATCGGAAACGCTGCGCGGTTCGATTGCCAGCCAAGGCACTCTGCAACGGTGCGCGCGCGGCTCGAGGCGAATAATGTTATTCCGTTGGAGTTCGGCGGCGCGGTCAAGGAGCGCAACGGAGTAAGGCAGTGAGAAACGCGCGTTCCTCTGCGAACGTCCACAGATATCGGCTCACCTCTGACTACACCACAATCCGTGTTCGAACAGTGCGCATACCCTTCGCGCGACTAGATCAGAAGTAGCAATTAGCAGAAGTTTAGGACGCCAATGCTTATGAGCATCAACGTCTCCGCGCACGCAAACTTCGACTAAAGCGCATGAAGAGACATAACACTGTCAAATCAGGAAAAGTGGTGGTACCAGATAGTGGTAGAGATGCACGAAGCGGCGCTTTGTTTGGGGGGAGAGCGGGAGTGCTTCGGAGGTACATCGCAGCGCAGGGGATATCGCAGCATAGAGCTAAGTCGCGGCGCCTTACCTCATGTTTTGATTGAGTGATCTATGCTTATCGGCAGGATGATCTGTTCGTCATCATGTGAATTCGGTGAATCAGGTAGCGCGCAAGCCAACTTAACTACATATTTATTTTTACCGGTACCTATTTGCTATGGCTACGTACACCCACTATTTATTAAGTAAAATTTCGCAACTTTATTGTCATTGTCATCATCGTCTCATCATCATCGTCATCACTGTCACCATCTTCTTGATGATCTTCATCAACAACAACAACAACAGCATCATTTCGTTGTTTACAGATACGCGATGAATGGTTTATAAACGACGGCTATGAGTATGACCGAGGCCAATTACCGATGTAAAATGCGGCGTTTTTATTACCCAGGACGAAATAGCAAAACAAGCCTAGAAATCGGTACAATGCAACAACGACCCTCCACCTCAAATAAATCGTTCAGTTACCGTTTGCCGGATGTTGCACTCCCCCAGAGAAAAGTGCCAGTTCTCTGTTTCCACATTAGCTCTGACAACACGCTTCTAGACCCGTGCGGCAATCCTAGCCGATTAAAAGGCGTGAGGTCGATGGCATGCGGCAAAAATCGATCACGCACAAGTTTAGAAAAACACACCGAATCCTACATACGCTGTTCGTGTCTGTGCGTGTTACTACTTTTTATTTGTTGAATAGCACCCATCGTGTTTCGATTGGGCTAGCGTATTCCACACTGCATTCGCAACCATTGTGTATCATATCGATCTCAAATCATCGTCATCGAAGAACTCTAGAAAGCCGTATATATATATATATATATATATATACATATATATATATATTTTTTTTTTTTAATCCAGCAGTTCGACATGGACTATACAAAATAATTGTACCGATTCGCGCGTATCAACTAACAACGCATTATTACTATTGTTATTATCATTATTATTATTATTACTATTAGTGATAGTAGTAGCAACAGCAGCTCGAATAATGAAATGCCGTGTATGAGTGTATTAAAATAAACAAGTGTAATTTTTCTGATTCTTTCTTGACGTTTATTTGTTGTGAGAAGAATTACCTAGGTTGTACGCTTGCCTTTTAAGTAATGAGAGACTCGCACGACGTAGACATGAATGGATGGGTAAGAAGGTCTCATGCAAACCCATCCTTCGCTTCGTCCAAGGCGCGATGCTGAGAAGTTGGCGACCACCTGACACGGTCGTTGACATCATCGACGCTATCTGCTCTGTGTATGACGCGATTCTATCGATGATCTTCCCTGCTCTCTGAAGTACGCACATTGTGAAGTGTGCAGTTCATTCACGACATTGGCGAACCGCGTCGCTCTTCCACTCAGGTGGCCCGATACGCTGCGAGCTGTCAGGGCGGGTTCTGCTAAAGATTAACTTGCTGGTTCACAGCGTGACATGTGTTCTGTCGTTGTTGTTGTTGTTGGCACGCAAGCGAATACGGGGCGATGCCGCCGTCTTACGCAGCGGTGACACCCGCTGCCTAAACTGTGCGATTCACCTATTGATTGTTTGCGGATTGTCACAGGTCCCACCGAAAACCTTAACTAGTTATCTAAGCCTAGACCGCCCGCCTGCTTAAAATAGCCTACAACTATATTTTATATCCTGGGGAGCATCCATAACTAACTAAAGCATCTATAAGCATAGCGCAAATAGGTACTCATATAAGAACAATTTAAAGAATATAATCATAGGAGCCACGGTCGTGTACAAGGAGCAGAGTACTACGTATACTACATTGGAATTTTCAAGTGAGTGTAGAACAGTATGGGTGGGACCTCAGGACCAACTACAAGGTCATCAAAAGCGTCACTAATCTGTTTAAGTCCGCTTCTTGTACGTCGACTGCGACATCCATGTACATCTGTACAAACGTTACCCTTAAAAAAAGCCGGGCTCCAAAAGGTATCAACAAAATGTTTCCTTTTCATTTGGACGGAATATATCCCTTGAATTAGTTGCTGGAAAAGCAGTTTACTGCCCATTACGTGAGGCACAGGAGATTGAAACTATGGGAAAAGCTTTTTTTTTCTAAAAATAGTTATTCTGTAGATCAATAAGCACTGTATTGTGTTCGTCCAGTAAAAGTTCCCGTATTAAAATGCGTTTGTTTGGCGCGGTCACAACGAGTGCAGGCAGATACTGGACAAAATACCGAATAGAATGCTAGCACCTCTATTAAAACATGCCGTTAGAACTGTGACTTAGAGAACCATAATTGGCTTCTTCGCCTACCTAAATATCACATCTCCCCGAAAATTACGACTGATGTTAGGCGAGTTCGAATATTCCTTTTGCTACGTATTGAAAGGAAATTGAATCTTAATACAAACCTAAGATTATATAATAATAGTCGAACTCGAATAAGAACAAAAAGGAGGGTTCTTCTATATAAAATATAATTTTAAAAAAATCAAGAATTGATTGAAAATCTTTCTCTCTCGACAGTCTAACGAACGAACACGTCTCGCCATAGCGTTTCATATCATGTCTCTGGGGGGGCTTCAGTAGGGTTTATCGCACTGATTACATTATATATAATAGCTGCGCCGCCGATACTATAAGTACATACACATACATATATATATATATATATATATATACACATTTATTGGGTCTTGTTTTGCGCTGCTTCGCCATGTGATCAGTAGCCATTGTTTAAATGACCTACCTTTTCATCACTATCGAAACTGGCAGGGCGAAAGAAAACTCATTATTATTAAGTTTCGTTCTGCTTTACTCAGATCGAAACGTTTAAACAGTCACTATTATTAAAAAAAAAGTCACTATCTCAATATTTATCTGTAACAAACCAGCAATAGCTTTTCTAAGAAAAGACAAACTGAACATCGAATGACCACATGGTTCTGCTGTCGAGTATTCGCTTGCACTTCACATATCGCGTAAGGGCGTTCTTGTACGTCTCGACAGAAGTCTAAATTTTGATCACGTACGATTATCAGTTCAAAATATCTAATACAAAATGATAAAATCTAATTTAATTAATTTTGTAAAAAAGTATAATCAAAGTCGAACAACGACGAATTTTCTAACGTCATTCGTTTTATTTTCACGTACAAAAATTCCCTTTTTCAGGTACCCGCCGCCGCCACTGCCGCTGCCCCTGCCGCCGAAAGCTCATTTGCCGCGCGAATTAATCAAAGTTTGCCATCTTTATTTACCACTGCCGCATAAGCCCCATTGTGAAATTTTGGTCGCAAGCGCTCTATGTGTTCTTTACTTAACTGTGTTCTATAGTGTGGTTATGCCGCTCACACGCCGATCTCATGGTGTCGCTGCGCCCCCGTGTTTTCCACCCTAACTTCTATACTTGACGTGGAAATTAAACATATCCACGGGCTCAGATACTTCTAAACATTTTTGTTCTAACCCATTCTCCCCGCCAGTCTTGTGACTGGAGGGTACGTTCGTCAGCTGCGCCGCTGCGCCAACTCTCACTCGCAATACGTCGCTGACGCCGTGTGGGTGCCACAATAACCGTGAAAAAAGTCGCACCTTGTTTATACTGGATGATACTGCCTGTACCTTTACCGACAGAGACCGTTTTAAAGCTCCGTGAAAATTCGAATGTACACTGGTATGCGGAGTAGGAAAACACCGAAATACAAATAATAACCCAATCTCATATTCGGAGTTAGCGTAGCGAATCAGGCACACCCTTATCGGTGAGTAACCGTTCAGCAAAACGCTCTAAGAGTCAAGATAAACGATGGTAATAGGAAGAAGGTCCGTGGTAACCCTGATATGACTTGACTCGCAAAAGTGTACATGTACGTGGCACCCGCATGTGTCAGCAGTTCTGCCATACTGCCGCCAATTTTGCCATGCACGCCGCGCAAGCCCCCAAAGAGACACTTTCAACTCTTGTTCTGGGGTCACTCTGGAATAACTTTACAACAACTGAGGTCCTCAGATGACCCTATCGTTATGTGGAGGGTTGAAAACCAGCAGAACTTAGAAAACACAGACTTTGCTACAATTATCGCAACAGAGGGATGACATTAAACGTCACCGTCGAGCAAGAATCGAGAATAATAAGAGACGTGTTCAGACGAAGTCGTTCAAGAGATTAGAGAGGAGTGCCTGACAAACAAGCATTCCTTCCAGTACACTCACCTTGGCCTCGTCAAGTCTACCTAACGCCTTCAGGAGATTGCCCAGATCCGAACGCACGCAGTACAGGTCCTAAAAATAAACAACTTTGTAACGACTCTATATAGAGGTCGATAGTTTACTAAGACAAAGGTGGCTCAAATGATCTATATTCTAATTACTACTTAAAATATAGATCAATGTTAACAAATCATTGTCGTGTAAACCGTTTATATTTTTTTCAAGCTATGACTACAGTACTAAAAATGCATTGAAAACAAATCAGTATTAGCAATTTGCGGTTACCGGGTTGTACTGTAGAGCGCTGACATACGCCTGCACTGCTTGCTCCATATCTCCTGCAGCCACGAGAGCAGCTGCGAGATTAATATACCCATCGATGAAATCTGGTTTTAGCCGTACAGCCTGGCGATAGTTGTCTAAAGCTTCCTGTAGAAGGCCACGTTCCTTTAGTACATTGCCTAGGTTTGAGTAGGCTTCTGCCAGGAGCGGGTTCTGTTTGATCGCAAGGCTGCTGAATTGTGCCGACCTGTTATTAACAAAACAGGTCAGTGTTCAAAGACAACGAATGCAATTATCATCAAATCAACTAACTATATTTGAGCCGCGAAAGATTTATGAGCTGCATAAGTAGTAATGCTATTGCAAACTTCAACAAATTAATAAATATTGATATGTAAATTTTGTTTCATGACAGATCGATGGGCACGTATACGGATATTCGGAACACATTTCCTGTCACTGGACTAGCCAAAGCCCCGTTAAGTTAGGGAATAACCCTATCACTATCTATATCTTCAAAAAAGCTCTTGCCTCCACGAGAGAAACTGACAGTTCCGTTTGCATCTGGCCCAGTCAACGCTATAAAAGAGGATGTTCCCTAAACACTGAACTGCGTATGTTGCTGTTATTTACTATAGTAAATTATAAATTTACTATAAAAAAAAAAAAAAAAATTCTTGAGACTGTTTTCAGCGCAAAACGAAGCGTGATTACGTCCTAACCTAGCTCATGTTCTAAGTTAATTACCATTGTATTTTCATGATAATGAACGCTTTATCGGTGAACCCTGGTGAACTGAATTTACCAACTAGTAGCTACCCTTACCCGCGTTGCGTAAACTTACGGTAAGTTCTATATGTATATTCTCGACTTTTCACTTCACTTTACCGAAGGCACAAATCGAAATCATAGTGCCCATTATTTTATACCTGAGACCGGTTTCTAGAAACCCAAAATACTTCAGGCTGTTATCTACCACCAGTAAGCAACATAGGCAATTCGCCCAACTTCTCGACAACTTGGGGGCCGTGACGTGTCCTAAAAGTAGCTTAGAACATTGTTCAACGCCGGTAGATGAGCACAGAAGCAAGTGGGAGGACGTTTAATTTGACCGTTTTTTTATTTTTCCATTACTGAACCTTTTGCGACAAAAAATCTATTGTTCAATTTTGTTATGCTGCTAGGCTGATTTCGCATCAACGTAGATCATAACGCAGGCGCCAATATTCCGCTTAAGTCCGCTTAATGTATAATAATTTCGCAGTTCATCACGCCGTCACAACCGTTCAGTTGATTTGATAAAGATTATATAACTCAACGCCTCATCAGCACCACTACTGAACACCTGCATACATATATATATAACCGCTGCTACTGTTAACTGCTAATCCTGTCAACATATACCTAGAGAGTTTTGTCCTGTTTTACGTGTCTGTCAGAGCCGCATCGTACATGACTAGTTGATTTCACCAAAAAAGTAAGATTTCTTTCTTTTTTGGTGAAGGTTATTTTGCAAGGCTTTGCATTAAGGACGACAGCTTTCTTACACTAAAAGTTCCAGTTCTTCTGGCTGAAACGTCTCTTTTTAAGAAATCCCATAGCAAAACTAAGTCGATATTGAGTAGATTTTTAACGAGTGGATAGCCCACAAACTGTCAATCTGGACAATGCATGTTACGGGTTGATCAAACGGACAAAATTTGTTTTAGATAATTGAGAAATTCTATGTTGAATTCTAGAAGAGTACTACAAGTCAATTCGATCTGTCAAAGTATAATAATGCGCATATTAAAATAGCCTTAGACTAAATACTGTGCCTGAGTAAAGTTGCTTGTAAGGAGTTTTCGGGTATAACTAAATCAATTAACATTAATGCAGATTAAGAAATAACCACTCGAAGCACACAGGCGGTGATCACATAGTTGGACTCACTTGTCAAGTCGTCTGCATTGAAAATGAATGCTACTGAGCAGCAGCAGAACGCCAGTGTTGGCCGGATCCTGTCTCCATAACTGCATGCAGTGACGCTCCGCGTTTTCATAATCACCCGACGTGTATTCCCGGTGCGCCAACTCCGCGAGGGCTGAATTGTCGTCACAGCGAAGAAAAAAATTATCTGAGCTAATAGCTAAGATCACTTATCCATCTTCGCAAAATGTACAATTGTGTCCGATACCTGATTGACAATGAGTCGATCTTAGATAGCACCAATTCGCCTGTATCGTATTCGTATTCAGCTCCACCTGAATACCTTCCTTCCTATTGGCAAAATTTCCTTTATAGATTAGACATGAGTAAACAAACTAATCGCTACGGCTATATTACGGAAATTTAAACTTATTGCATTGAACCTTAAAGCAGTATGCTACGATATGTTTCAAGAGGCTCATACAAGCAGTCAGTCAAAGCCTTAGATAAATCTTAGATTAAATAATCCTGAAAATTGCCTTAGCAATTCAAATCACATTTGTTATCCACAAGTCGGGATCAATTTCATACGCTGAACTTAACACCGCAATGCGACTTTTTTTCAATCTATCTAACAAATACAGTTGTTTTGTAATATGAAAGTTACACAGTTACCAGCTGAAAAGTCGGACCTCCTAAAATCAAACTGAACATCAGATCGAATCGAGCACTTAGAATACAATGAGAGAATCTGTTGGAGACCTCTTCCGGTAACAATTCAAGCCGCACTACGTGACGCGAAATGCCCAACGCGACCACTTACAACGTAATAACATTACTGTATAGCTTTCCTCTATATAGGAAAGCCGACTTTCCATATAAAGTCGGCCAATCGAATCGGCTGACTATATGTGTAAATTCGTATACCCGTATTTAGTAAGTTTCAACTTTTTTCTCTGTGTATGGAAAGTCGGCAAAATCACATCGACTTAGCGTCTAGTTGGCTGCCATCATCATTCATCTCCATTAATAACTTCAAAATCGTATGTTGTAATAGATGCGTAGATTACAATGTGCTTGATTTAAGTGAGAGAACACAGTTAATTCATTACAGCTGATTTCATAAAAGCTGCAGTGAATTACAATATCTCTCAGCAGATAAACTGATGTTTTTTTCGATAATATGCCGGTAACCAGGTGAATCGTTACCACTGACAGAATTAGATGGAATCTGTTAGTAATCCTGTTCAATTGTGTCGGCGTAATAAATGTTCCAGCAAAAACTCCGCGTCTTTCTCCTATAAGTAATAGAAAATCTACGTGCTCTATCATATGACCCAATCGCACGTTGGCTGCACAATAGACAGCCCAGACAGGTCGCTTAATAACGACAAAAGTCAACAGCATGGACTACTCGTCAGCAGCGTTAATGTCACCACAGTTCAATTTCTACCAAGTACTGAGAGCTGATAATACTAATCAGATATCCGATAAAAACCTCACTGTGACAACTAAATTGTTTAATAACATATTTAATAACTGATTCCTAAAAATATCAAACTGTTTCAACTCTGAACGTGAAAAGGTTTTGTTTATAAATGTTTAGTGGGCTTAATTGGGTACTCTTAAAACCAACATCGAGTTGCAGCTAATACAGTTGTTATGATACGTACCGCCTAACGAACAATGTTCAGATTACACTACAATACAGCAGTCTGTAGCTTAGGTACACCTTGCAAACAATCGTACCTTTTCCATGCACTGCACTATACATCGTAGGAAAATGTAGTAGCAAACAAAGAATATTGCGATGTATATCCGCAGATGTCGAGGTCAAATTTTTGGCCACCTAATCTGATAGGTCTGTATTGTTCCAGTTAACAGAACACGCTGCCGGCTGCAGTAGCACTGCTTATTGATAACGAAGTTATATTTCCCCTTCCCCGTATCCGTCTACATAAAAACAAACTTATACTAGATGCTTTTCTTATTCCTTTCGTGGTTATTGAAACTCACTTTGAAGGGCCGCAACGGAAGACGCCATCTCGTGTCGACTACGTTTATGCCCGCCTACCTGCTGGCCAGAGGCTGCTGCTGAAACAAATCAAGTCGATAGTTCGCCGAGAAATACCGGAAAAAGATTTTCACATGGTTAGGGCGAAGATATACAAACTATCCATCTAATAACACCGTTATGTGGTACCGTTTTAGCTGTGAACATTCTGCCTCCAGTCTGTACACAGCCATGTTTTCATTATTAGCGTTAACTACACCATGGGCTACAGCAACCAGATGGACTACCAGCGACTGAGTTTGCTTGGCGTTTATAGCGTCGTACGCTGTACATTAGCCGAGGCATCCCTTTAGACAATAACGCTAGTGAATATCAAGACATTTCTAGAAATTACGATAACGGTTCAACACATCAAAAATAGTAATTGGCTAACACGACTTTGATCCCACACTAACCCAGCACAGGCTTCCTTAGGACTCCTTTACGGAGCCCCAACAGGCAAAAAAACAAGCAAACACAGAGCGGCCGCTATAGCAGGGGGGGGCGAACAACGTTAACAATGAAAATAGTACATCACTAGCGCCACGCAGTCGATGAAAAGATGGTGCATTTTCTCGTTGTTCATTAGAAGTAAAAACACAGCAGGATGGTCAAAACGGTGGATGAGTGAGCGAGCGAGCGATCGATCGATCGATCTGTGAAACTAATGAATTTCTCAGCGACCACTCGTTCACCGGAGAAGCACCACCGCTGCAATGAAGTGAGTGTCCGACTGTTCCGAAGTCCTTAGCCAGCGCCGACATTAGCCTGGCTGGTAGTAATGATAATATTAGTGGGTTGCCGTAATGTCTACAGATCAGGAAGGTCAGGGCAGTATTGACAACGATGCAGGGAGAAAGCGATAGTGCTAGCACTAATATTTACAAGTACCGTTTAATGTCTCCTGGGTCAGCGTAGACATCCCTCGTCGCATGCAGTGACTACAGCCATGCACACTGTCAACGAGTTTCTTCAATAAGGACTTAATAGAGCGATGGACAAACAGCCGATTGCTAAGCCAAAAACACACGCAGTGAATGGTACGCTAACGCGGAGCATCGTCGCACGCTCGGAGATTCTAGCGGACGATGGTGGCTATATTGATACTGAAATCGTGTATAAGTTTTAGCGAAAAATATCCGTCCGTTTATGTCGACTGCAGAACTGCGTCTTTATGGAAAATTTAGCTATGAATACTTGTCGACGATTGTCTAGCAGAGCTCTCTAGACGATAGCCACCAAACCTCATAATACGACACCATCCTTGCAAAGCCGCCGAATACCCGGAAGTGAGGCAAGCTTCGACCATGAGCTTTAGCGAGTGGAATAATGTTAAACAGAATCCTCGTAATCTTCTATGAAATACTGGGTACATCTTAGTCTATCACTTGCCTGTCCAAATTTTTACTTCCTCAGCCCAAACGAAATTTTTGGTGTTGCAGCCCGATCAACTTCCGGGTGCAGCCGGGTCATTACTTTAAGTGCTAGCCAACATTTGTCTCTGATTCGATCTCCTTCCTTGCAAATCAAAATGGACTCGTAGAATTCGCCTCGAAGAGAGATCAAAGCACTGGTCGTCTCAGGTAGGAGTGAGCGACCTCGGCCTCCGAGTGCGGTGGTGGTCGCCCTGTGGAGCCGAGGAGGCGACGAGGACGATCGCGCCCACGGTGACTCATTCACTTAATGATCAGCCTGGCGGTAGACCCCTCAGACGTTGCTTAAGGAGATGTTCGTTGAATGCACACGCACTGTTGTTGGCTAATGATTTAGCAACGGCTAGTTTAATCAGCCAGTTGCTTATCGAGCAGTAGTTGCTGCAAAACTGGTGGAGTCATAGATCGACTAACCAACGAGAGTGGAGGCCAGTGGACCTAGTTTCAGTAACGGCAACGCACTCGAGAGTCCAACAAGGAAGAAGAGCAAAGAAACGGCCGCGCGTAATGTTGATAGCGCGCCCGTTCGCCAGCCCCCCAACTCGCAGTGCTGCCACAGTACAAGTAACGATTGGCGATTCCACCAACATGTGGAAGAGGCAGTACGACTTCTGTAAACAAAAAGAAGATGAGCTTTGTTCTGCAAGAACTATGGCTGGTGCCGCTATGACCGTATAGCACTACGACAATTACAATAGCTACTAATAGTAATAATAATACACGATACACAACGAGCAATCGATAGAAGAGCGTTTTGTTTATCTGGCTGGTAACCTCAAGCTGGCCGTTCAGGACTAATTGTAACTTGTGCAAATTAGTACTTATTATTAACTCATTAGTTGAAAAGAAGAGTAAAGGGTATCGGCGGACGGATGATTCTTGATCGGCTCGTGGTTTGTATCGAGTTTTATCTACAAAAGAACAACGAGACAAGGAAAAATCTGGCAGATAAAAGGAAGTGCGAATTATTGTTATGAATAGCGTTATTCATTAATAGCTCGTTGTGGTTCAGGTGCAAAAAATTTGCGTCAGCTTGAGCAAGAAGTCGATCAGTAGCATTCGCGTGCGCAATTACTGAGAGACCGTCATAGTCGTGAGAGGAAAACACGGAATCTTTTTGTGTCCTATTTTGGACTGAAGAGTGTATCCCTGGATAGAAGGGCGGTTATATAGAGAAATAAAGAAAACCAAGCACAGTTGTTTCATTAAGAATAAACAGTGGTACTCACAAAAAAAGAGAATACTAAATATCTATCCGTTGTCTCCTACTGCTTCTGCCGCTGCTGTAATTTTTATAATCGTTGTGTCGGTTAGTGTGTCTGCGCGTGTGAGTTTCTGTAGCTAAGCGTGGCTGAGAACCGCTTGTCCCCCTTACTACTCGGAGTTGCTCTGGCGACTTTGTCTGATCTCTCCCGATTTCTCGTGCTGCTGTTGCTGCTGGTAACCATTATCGCCGCGAGCGGCTGCAAAGAGGCTGCGGCGACGATTGGGAGCTGGCAGAGATAAACGGAGATGAAGACCTAGGCTACGTGCCACTGCCAAAGATTAAAGATTGTTGCGGTGCGCGTACAAATTGTGGTGCGGCGTCCATACGGGGGGTTCGCGCACTGCACTGATCCGGTGTCTTGTACCTGGCTACTAGAACTACTACGACTACTTCTAATTGTACGATCGTAATTACAAATTTAAAGACCACAATTTCTTGGCTTCTGAAGGCGGCCATAGGCGGTGGCGTTCTTCAGCAGCTGATCGCTTTGATCGCAGCTGATTCATTATCATAATCGTGCGTGCATGCGTCAGCTACACCAGAAAGTGGCAAAGGCCGCGTTCTGGTACGTCGGTGACCCTTAACGAACGGGTCCAACGGTGACCACGAATTTACCACAAAGTTACCATATATTTGAGGAAAAAGTGGAGCGTTACTTTCTGCCGATCACCTTCTAATTCTCCCTTTGGTACTTTCATCACAAAGGACGGGATTAAATGAACTCGAGATGGGTGTGTGACAAGTGATGCGAATAAGTGATCGGCGTACCCTCGGAAATTTGTTGGGGAACCCGATTCTTTGATTGGTGGGAAAGTACGGCAGCGAATATTGCTCGCGCTGGAAGTTGAGGTGGTAGGCGTCATTCTGGCTTTGAAAAGCCTTGGTCGTGGCGAGGTGACGTGCCGCGCCGCTGAGCTCTAGCTGCTTCGAAAGGACAGACTGCTCCGAAGGAGGTAGCTAGACAACAAAACTATAGGGCAGGTTGACAGGCATGAAGCTGTTCCTTATAACGGTTGTTTTCTTCGTGGGCTGTTCGCAATGGACGCTCGGCCTACTTAGCGACCCCTACAAGATACTCAACGTCGCACGGTCCGCTTCGGCTAATCAGATACGACAGGCGTACAAGGAACTCGCTAAAGAATGGTAAACAACATAGAGTAAAAGCATGTTCTGACAAACATAGTATGGTCTTTGCAAACTGTAGGAGACGTCAAAGAAATCTACTGTCTTGAAAAAATTATTATGTGTGAAATTGTGTTCTTTTCTAGTGTAATTAATATTCTACGGGGATAGGAGCGCATTAATGCGTCTGTTTGATGACTCACGCATAGTTCGAAATTCGAAGATGTTCCCTCTCTATGCTATGTTAATTGCATTTTACTAGAATCAAGTCAGAATTGCAGCAAAAAATGTAGCGAAATAGGGAAGATATTATTTGTCGGTTGTTTTTGTATATGTAACGTTCTATTACACTATATGCTCTCATTTTGCCAATCCGAGTAAAAAAAGCATATAATCGTGCTCACAAATACGCTAACGATTTACAATAAAATGCCAGACTTGCCAAATCAAATTCTGGAGACCTTTTAACGGCATATCCACAGGTAGGCCATATAAGATATAAATACTGTAAGTAATTTCCTTGGCGCAGACATGTCGTTGCATATTAATTTGTCCTTGTCAGGATAACGATTTGGAGACGACGCTAAAGAGGAGATGAGGTAAAGCGGAAAGTATGACGTTCAGTAAAATAAGAGAGGCGTTTTTTCCGCTGTATTCCATTCTGCATAGATAAATTGCGACTTCTTATACCATCGAACTTGTACAATTTCAAGGGAAATTGATGAACCTATACTCTTGTAAAACAGCTGACACTGGCGTGGTTTGTGTCGAAGAAGGTGTATTGCACGAGCACCTTGTTGATCGCTATAGTTGTTCCAAATTTGTTGTTTAAATCTGTCAAAAACTAACAGTGAAAAGGCAAAAAATCGGTAGAACAACAAACAAACATCACAGTATAGAGGGGTTTTATATTTTCAATAACACTTTTAATGCTTCCTACGACCTTTCTGCCCCAGTACAGTAGAGTTTACTAGATCTAACCAATATCCGCTATAGTTATTCCAGCTTCATCAATGACTATTTCCGACTCAGGTCATATATACTGCTCATAATACAAAAGGTATTAAGAAATGTGTTAAAAAAAATGTTTAAAGCGCCTGATTTGTAGCCATAAGTCCATCGAGTTTGCAAATATAAGCTTAACACACAGTTACCTTTCACTGGTGTCAGTATGCGCTAAAAATGCCGAGTGCGAATGTTATTAATAGTCCGTCTAAAGGATGTTTATAATCAATTAAAATGTCACCGTTAACAAAAAAGATAATAAATAAAAAAAATTAAAAAAATACGTATTTTAGAAACGTGTTTGATATCGTTTGTGCCAAATAATTCACATTTTTAAGTTAAATTGCATTAAAAAAGGCTTTTGCTATCCTTCCGTGAATTCTTTACTAAATCGAAAAATGCTTTCGTTTGTAGCGCAAATAATTTTCCTTGAAGCTTTCCAGTGTTTAGACTTTTTTCGAAAATTGATCCTTTGTCTCGTTTGTGAAATTCGTTCTTTACCAACGGTGCAATTATCGAGAAACCAAGAAACTTGTATATTTGAAGGGTCTGCGAACTTTTATTAAGATAGTCAGCGGCGGTTATTAGTCATATCGATCATGGATCCGTAGATCAGGCTCTATTATATGATACACAAAAATATTTTTTTAGCCAAATGCTTGATTTTTAGCTATCTAAAAATAAAAAATATTAACAAATATCAAATGTTTTTGAGTACTCAGGAGAGTGGGAACTGTGGTCGGCTAGACTTTTTCTTTGGTAAAAAAAGAGCATATCGATTGTATATTATAAAAGACCAAGCCACTAACAGGAACTTCCTTTAAAGCTAAGTCGTAAGTAAGCATTATTATGCCATTGAATCTGATGGTAAGGAAGAAAAATCAGGCGTGGATGGTAGGTAGTGTGAAGGTATGCTCTCATATTTGTCCCCACTATGCCACTGGTAGGCTTTCGGCGTCTTCACCGGAAAACTGACAAAGTTTATAAAATAGCCTAAACTAACCAGGAAACTAATTAAATCTTTAAATAGAAACCCACTTTTTGAGGCTGCTAATCTGCTTTCTTTCTAATACCAGTTTTTGTTGTTGCGGTTCCAGGCACCCGGACAAAAAAAAAGAAGACCGCTCTGCGGAAGGAAAGTTCATCAAGATCAAACAGGCCTACGAGCTTCTCATGGATCCGGAACGACGAAACGAATATGATAAGCATGGTTGGACTGAAGACACACCCAATTTCCGCAGGCGACGGGCCGCTTACGCCCATCGGTACGCACCAGCAGTGCAGCCTTTTTCCATCTCTCCTGAGATTTTGACGTAGTTCTTATCACGTCTGCATACGCGCCTGGGTCTTAGATAATTTTCAATAATGCTAATTATAATAATAACTAAACGTAGTAACTTGTCCCAGCATGTCGTTTTTACTTTTCCGCAAAACTTTGTACAAGCAACTCGTGCTTGGCTGGTACTGTTATGACGAAGTTTCTTACATGTGTCATTACCTTACAAAGTGAATACATTCAGTCGTGCTACATTCAATGATTACATGAACTCACTGTAAATTTTTTCTATGGTTTTTCTCGGTGTATCTTAGGTATAGTTATGACCCGTATGAAACAATGTTTGGTGCGGAGCGTCCTCTACTCGCCATCTACCATAACATGACGGTAACCACCAAATCCTATGAGAATAAAATTGTTCCAGACTCTCACGCGCGTATTTGGCTGCTTCTTTTTTATCATGACCAGTGTTCACCCTGCCTGCAGGCAGCGCCAGTTTGGCATAGAATACAACAGGTTAGTTGGGTTCTCTGTAAGGCTGCATATTTTCTCACACACATTCATACGTAATCATATATCAGGCTGGGCTTCTTTGCAACGGCGTATGAAGATACTACTTGAGGAATGATGAGTTCTGCTGCAGCTGTAAAGAGTTAAATGTCTAAGTAACAGTGAGCAAACTTCAGCATATATGCTGTCTGTTCTTTTTTGTACACTTTTTCTTTTTGTCTGCCTGATGGTACTACGTTAATTCTCGATATAACTTTACTGCTCTGTATTTAGGAGCTGGAACCGATTGGTATCGAGTTTGGTGCCGTACACGCCGAACATGAGGAAGAGATCCGAAAGAAGTTGGGTGTGGCGGCCTTGCCCCATCTTGTCGCCGTCGTTCAGGGTCGGATAGTGCATTTTCGCGACGAGCATTTGTCGCTCAACAACGTCATCAACTTTGTCCGACGGACCTTCGAGCTGAAGATCATTGAGCGATTAGAGGAACGCAATCAACTTAATGCGTTCTTGTCAGGCTGGAAAAACGACGACAAGGTCCGCGCCATCTTCTTTTCACAGACCAAACAAATTAAGCTCCGATACATGCTTGCTGCGTTCAAGTTCCGTGACTATATTCACTTCGGCTTTGTGTGTATCGAGAATAAGCCGGCAGGGGAGGCGATTCGGCGTAAGCTAAACGTCCTCCCAAAGAAGGAATCACTTCTCCTCTTTAATGAATATTCCTCGGCACCGTTCGCCACAGTGGCGATGCCCGAGCTAAGCACACAGACACTGCACGACGCCCTTAATGCTAACAAGTTCCTCATACTACCGAGAGTTACGTCGCAGCCGATATTCAACCAGCTCTGCCCCAATGAATCGGCGCAGAAGGTGTCCCGACGTCGACTATGTGTGATCTGGGTGACTGTGTCTCATCCAAGCAACCTCAACGAGGATAGGCGGGTGCAATTGCGTCTTTACGTCAAGGGACTGAGTGCTCAGTGGAAGGAGCGTGTGTCTTTCATGTACTTACAGAAGGATAAACAGGGCGAGTTCGTCGAAAGTCTTATGAACGGCCCGGGGGTACCTGCGGAGCCATCTGAGCACTTTGTGATTATCTGGCGGCGCACTGATCTTGTCGTCGAGTACCAGTGGATATCGAAGCCTTGGTCGGGTGACGCCACGCAGATGAACGCGAGTAAAGAAGAACTGAACAATGTGTTAATGCGTCTACTGCATACGGCAGAAACCTTAGCGTGTGGTCGGGCTCGTCTACGAACACTTACCGATGAGCACGCGCAGGGACTGTTGACACGTATCCTTAAGCGACTCGCCCTGATGGCTGATGCCATTGCCGATAATGTGTCCAAATATCAGGTGTTACCTGTTATCTCCGTAGTTGTCTCGTTTGTGTTTATAATACTCATCGGCTACCTTATGTCCTACTTGGTCCAGCTCGAAGAGAACAAAATACGGCAACAAGGAAAAGGTGTACACGTACCAGGTGGCCACAAACCGCGCAACGAGTGCAAGCTCAGCATACATGAACTGCGTGGAGAAACCTACAACGGTAAGCGATTGATCTTCGCTAGATGAGCTGCAGTATTGTAATCCTAATGCTTAAAAAGAGTACGCATACAGCCCATATTTATTACACATAACGATGCGGACATTTTGTAAAGCGCTAATCTATCACCTATGGGTCCGAAAAGTGGCGGAGAAATGCATTGTCTATTGTTGCTGTAAACTAGTATCTTTAGTAGTAAACGACATGAAGCTCTAACACATTATCAAATACGCATACTTTGCTTTACAGGCCTAGTGCGCTTACTTAAGCCCGGTTGCCGTACGGTCGTACTACTTGTGGACAATGATTCGAAACCCAAACTTCTTCCGCAGTTCTTCAAAGCCGTATTTCCCTATCGCAAAAATAAGACGCTCATGTTTGCGTTCATGATGCTTGAGAAGAATCTTGAATGGTACCGGCGCTTACTGCTACAGACCCTCGGCGAATCATCCCACAGACCACTCAACATTAATCCCAAGAACTGTATTGGGACGGTTAGTGCAATTGACACCAAAAAAAATAGAACTGCCTGTTAGATGTCACCCTCTAGTTTTTTTTTTCCGAAGATTAGAAACATTCATATTCTAGTGCACAGTTCTACGTCCAACACTACCACTAAACATTACATCAGACAGCTGGCTCTCAGCACACAACAAAGTGTGTTTGCACCTGGTCCTGCTGCTAGATTACCTTACGTATCCCAGAACTGAATAGGCAAATGCTTTACCACTACATCATCACGGAGACTAGTTGTTCAAGGTCTAACTATCCTATTCGATCCACCGCCCATGCTACCTTCGCGTCGTTCTACGACTAACTGTCGCTATTGTTGTTGTTTCTGTCGTTCTTACTTATGTATATCCTTTAGGTATTATCTCTGAACGGTCACCGTAAGTACTTCTGCGTGTATCACGCCAAGCACCGCGAGGAGGAACCCCGGAGGGATCGAGACCGGGATCGGGAGCGCGAGCGGCGTGGGACGTCGATGGGTCCATCGTTATCTACCCAAACCAATCATGGGGCGAATACAACAGGGGCGCACGGGGCCTTCCTGGGGTTTGACTCCTCCGACTCGGAGGCCGACTCAGATGTAGAGAGCGGAAGACTAATTAAAGGTACGTGATCAACATGAAAATTAGTTAAAATAAACAGAACGAATCAATAAAGTATCAGAGATAGTGCGACAGAGAAGATGTATTGGGATTTTTCTAGACTAGCTACAAATGAATGCATTGAAATCTACATTTAGTGCCAAGTCGATTGATGTTATAGATGACCAAATTTTTGTATCTATATATGCTTATGTACGTATTTGTGTTAAAGGCGGCTCGCGAGGCGGCGGCAGTACGAGTACCGGCGGGACAGCGTCAGCATCTGACAGCGGAAGTGGAGATCTTTATGGATCAATATTGTTCGAGGAGCATCTCCTTGATGGGCTTTCGTCGTGGCTTGATAAGCTCTTCGAGGGCACCACAAAGCGCTACTATATACAGTACTGGCCAGAATGCATGAAGTGAAAAAGGATAATAATGATATTGATAATTATTGCGTTACGATGCTTTGAGTACAAGAAAAGAGTTGAAATATAAAAAGGTGAGAGATTAGGAACGAAGAAGAGGACGCAAATGAACGAAGGAAAGGATAAGCAGAAAAAACGAAATAGGCATTAAATCCAGATGTGGGACAACGAGAGCGGCCGGAGTCAACTCTTCTGTCTGTTTTCCCCAAAACAGTGCCATTGTTATTATGCATCATTGTTAACTAGATTCCTGGCCAAACCAAGCCATAATGTCATGCCGTATGCACTTCTACATTGGTTTTGGACGATTGAGACAATGCGATAGTAAATGTCGACTCCGACGAATAGAAATACTTTGTCACGAACGTCCTTCTAGAAATTTCGTACCAACTAGGCACACACAAGACAGGACGCGAGCAGCAGATCAAATACAATCAATTTGTGGACGTACTAAGTACCGATTGGTTAAAGGATCTTGCAACGATCGGTGCTTACCCGCAGATTACCTATCATATGCGTATGGCCATGATCGACCGAACAAAGCCAACAGAGTGCAGCAGCAACAGCAGCAACAAGAAGTTGAAGAACACCGACGCAAGCGTAACCCCTAAATTCTGGCCTTTCCGCCTTCGACGTTACAGCGCTGTAGTTTTGCCCCTTAGCTTCCTAACCGTTCCCCATCGCAGACTTCGAGTATTCCTCTAATTTGACCCAATGTCATTAACAGTTAATTTCATCAAGAGTCCAGCGAGCGAATAAACAAATTAGATGCATCTGAAGCAGCCAACGCAAGCTATGATGCAGCCGCCATAGTTGCAATACATAAATAGATGACAAAAATGCAAAATTGACATTTTATCAGGTCTCGCACATCCCCTAAGTGTGCGTAAGTTGTTTGCTGTAGTTGAGTAAGTTCCAGTAGAGCAGTGTTTATACAGTATACTTGAGATATAAACAATACAGTATGAAATTGCAATGGTCGTGCGAAACAATAAACGCATAAGGAAACGACGCTACCCTCATGATGATATGATGATTATGAGGGTTTTACAGAAACTTATAAAAAGAGATCATTTTGGCAGTGATATCGTAAGCGAGGAGGAAATTAACAGATGTCACGATTAAACATTGATGTCTCATTTCGATGGGGAAGGGCCTCTCGCGAATGGTAACCTGAGTGGATGGTCTGGCCTACAAGAGTATGGACCATGCCCCATGACAGATCGAAAACGTCTGCCACTGTATTTCAGCGCTGCGAAAATTACAATTGTTTGGTTCAGTCTGCTGCTTTTTTTTAAAAGTTTCGCTCAGTTAATTGAGTTTCGTTGCCTATACTTCATACCTGGTTAGTAAACATCATATCGTAAACGGATTATGGCCTTGTCCGCTGAATGTCAATCAATTGAAGTCGCAAGTGACTACCTGATTGGCCTATTTATTTGATAATTTAAAAACGTTTGTTGACAAATTAATTGTTGGTATCGAGCATCAGCACACCGAGGCTGACTTCGTGTGCTGAGATCTGGCGTGTCCTCAATACGAAAGGTTGTACATATTGGAATTCTGAATGTTTGTTAAATGCTATACACTAAGCCCTAGAACAGTGTTACGTAGGTAAGGCTATGCTTATTTTGCTACGAGAGCATCGATACAACAATTAACGCGGCGGAGGCAAGTTTCTCGTTGAAATTATTTGTTATACATAATAGATACGGCCAAGTTACGCAACGTGCCACTTATTCATAACCATAATCGGAATAAAGAAACGAGTTTTGAACGAAAACGAGCGAATTGAATGCTGTATGATTGACAAAATTGGCTGGCTAGTTAAACGTCTAAATTTTAAACTTGATCCTTTGTTGGCAGAAATCAAATGTTGGCGAATTTATCAAATAATAGTGGAGCATTACTTTGCTCACTGACCTGCCATCGTTGAAACAAATAGCGAAAAGATAGACGTTAGACTCATTTTTCATACCTCCTCTCATTGTTCTTAAAACCACGTCCTGCTGTGTTTTTCTCCAATATGGTTGTTATGATACGCTTGTGTAGTATTTTAAAAATTCGAATGAATGATTTGTGTGATTTAAGAGAAGTACCGTATCTGTCATGTGATAACCAATTAGATCAGATTTCTGTACGTTATCTATATCAGCGTCTTGCTCTTTAAACAATCGATCTGAAGGACTACGCCTCACGCAGCTTTCCTCCGCAGTGTCTTTTCTTTTTCTTACTCTTGTTGGTATGAACTCTAATTGTCGGTGGTTTAGTTGCAAATAGATGTATGACGATTGATGTACAACAATAAATACGATACGTATTGTATATCGGATACGGGCCAGAGGAGTCTGGTCTAGTGACACGTACTTGTTAAAAGTTACACACCGGTTATGATATCGCCGATCATTGCTATTTATAATAATAATAGTAATTATAATTATTATAAATGTAACTTTCACTATGGGCAGTTTACAAGGTTGGAGCTATGCGAAAAACATACCAAGTGAAGCCGACTATATATATAAATAATATAATACGGATACGAAATGAACAGTGAGCCAGACGCCGAATTAGAGCGAACGTGAAGTGTCCGAGAAAAAGAAACGTGGGAACACAAAAAGGAAGAGAGTCGAAGATCACGAAATAGTATATGGCCTTTGATGAAGATGATCATTGTGAAAGCGGTACGTGTTTTAACTGTTTCATGCAAAAAATATTCTATTTGCCTGGGTGTGTTCGGTTGCGCATGAGACGGGCATCCATCTCACACTTCATCTTTTCTACGACCAGTTAAAATAATGAAATAATAATATTACTGAATTCTAGTATTATTATTGCACACACACTCACACACACGTGTATATACATGCATATGTGCGTGTGTATGTGACGCGCTATACATATATAGCGCGATATATCATTCGCAATCAAACGCTCGTTAATAGTAATGATGATAATTACATTCGTATGTATCACTGTTGTTGCCCACCGGCAATATATTCTACAACTTCTCATGCAACATTAGCAGAAAAAGATAACGTTCCCCTTATTCACACGCGACGTCTGTTTTTCATGAGCATAAACCGGCAGATGATACTGGGTCTTCTGTATCGTCTTATGGACAGCTTATTATCCTTGGTACTAAATAAGACATAGATGTAAATTTCTAGCATGGAAATTGCATTAAAGATCAGCGGGTCCGATTTCCACATCGTTGCACCGAAGGCGTCTTGCGTGTCGATACCCAAATCGCTCATCAATACTCCCCTTTTCGTTAATCGATAGAAATACTGTGCTGAGCTCATTTTGAATATCCATGTGCCATACCACATGACACGATTAATAAGACAGAGACCATCACAATCAATTTATTTGCACTCAACCCTTCGAATTAACTAAAAGGACATCGCCGTTTGTCAACTTATTGTATCGCAAATTGCATATTGCCAAGGAGAAAAACAATAATACGACACAGAATATAATTAAAAAAATAGTAGTTCGCTGAGCAGGCTTCTACCGCTGTCAAATATGGAAAAGCGCAATGTTGCGCGCGGGCTACTTGAAAATAATGATTGGGCATAACAGCATCATAAATGATAATATAAACACTGTGCACAGATACAGTATTGACCTATGCTGACCTACGAGCACCTTGCCGTAGCAGGGCGATAACTCATGATACAATAATATAAATGCTGGGATCAAAACTTGCAGCTTTAATAGATGGGTAAAGAATAAATTTTCAACTAAGATTAATCGCAGTGCGCTTGGATTGGTTATGACAGAAGCGACGGAATGGGGAAAGTCATGGTTTACTAAATGGGTAAGCTGGAGGCTGAATTAATACAACTTGTGGAATCCATCAACTTCACATCTCAATATCATTCAAAGTATCATTCATTATACACACATACAGACGAATAATCGAATACTGTTTTTGGTATTGATAAGGCGAAATAGATAACGGGCCGGACGCAAAAACGTCTTGCATATTGAGTAGAAGAGACTTTTGTAAGCAAAAGTACACAAAGCATTGACATGAATAAGGGTAGCATTAGATATTATAGGCTCCACATGAAGTTCCCTTGCAATTCTGAGTGTAACTGGAGGTGGCCCGTAACTCTGAGTTGGGAGCATCATTTGAAGTGTATCTTAGGCACACAAATTAGTTAATCGACTGCCATTAGTTTTTATCTATTACGGGAAGCATAATAAAAATGTGTTCATCTATAAACATAGGTCATTGTGTTGGAATTGCCTGCCAATTATATCTTAGCACGATATCGATGGGCTGAACCGAAATAGTAGTTTGCTGATTCCCTAGAGATGTTAGCGTCGCAGGTGTGGCCAAAGCATTTAAAAAGGGAATGCAGTCAGAAGATGCGCTGAATGCCGGTTCATAAATGGTGTTTCACCGTAGCTAGTCGAGTCCGTGAATGACTGTAGAGTTTTTTGAAGTCTCCTATTATTAATTATTGGTGTTACTACTACTGACTGCCTTTCGTATGAAATGGAATAGAGCACCAAAGGAAGGTTTGCTGAACGGAGTTCGTGCATTCCGCCATTTGTTAGCATTCGCGCATGTCAGGTCAATGCTAAGACGTTTTTTTAACAAAGAAATACAAATAAATGTGGACCTCCCTTTTTGACTGTTTAATCTATAGAAAGGGTTGTCGTCACGACAATGCATGTTGACAAGGTTGTTTCGAAGCGATTGACTAAACATCAGTGAACATCAGTATGGCTGAAATTCGCCCTTAGAAAGGAATAGATTGTTACAAGGGCAGATCTGCATTGATATCCAATACGAACCTATATGACATGTGGTGCAGTTATACCTTGTGACTACGCATGATCCACACAGATGTGGTTTTTGAAACTTGGAACTTTTTGGGAACAAATAACTAACCGTAATAATAGGTTACGTATGAAACCCGACACATGAAAAATTCCTAATTATCATTAGGATTATTAAATTATCTATTAAAAATATCAACGGCAATAACACTACTAAAGTAAAGCAACAAGAATATCTATGTCAATACCATTTATACTCAATATATATGATTCCTATCAATAACAAATACATAGGAATTATCGATTATCGATTACTAGCATGAAAACACCTGAGAACCCGGTCATGTCGCTTATAGCCATATCTGTGTTTAGTTTTTGACTATTTTTGCCAACGGGGAGCTTTCACAACAATGTGCCCACGGCCCTCTTGGCCTATTCCTTTTTTACTACAGAGGTGAGTGGTTGCATCGTATGGATAAAGGACAAAAAATGACCAATAGAATGCTATAATTGTGAAAACGCTTAAGAGACACACTGCAATAATAAAGTTTCAATATTTTAATAAACGATGACCCTAATAGTACACTAAATAGAATCTTCTACAATAGATGTCACAAGACAGAACGTGCTAACTATAGCAGAATAAACAGCTGTTCATTAGATGCACACCACTGTTCCTCGCGGAGACACGAGACATTACCAAAAATTGTTATCAATATTTCCATAAATATAATTGTCCTTTTACTTCAATGTATAATGATCACTGTTTTTGTATTATTGTATTATTATTAGCATAAATTAGTATGCTTAGCAGACAAGCCATAAGAAACATAAATCAAAGAAGCCACCAGATTACTCGTCAGAACATCGAAATCGAACCACAGAAAAATAAGGGCCAAGTCCCGTTTTCAGCCCCATTTCGTCCAAAGTCAATGGAATCTTTCCATATTACACTACTTCATGTTAGAAAAAAAGATGCTCCACTGTTATAATTTTTAAGATTTCAAAATTTCAACAAATTTCAAGGCTGTGGCGTCTCATGCTTCGCTACTTTGTTGCGTTCTATTTACCCTTCATAGTGAAGCTATACTAGTTGACCGAGATTTTCTTTATAGCCATACCACATCACGGTCGTTATTGCTGCAAGAGCAGGCACTTACAGGTCCTGTTCCAAAACCTTCTAAATGTAGTCGTTCAGAAGCTAGGACGCGGAGTAGACGTAGCACAATTTCGACTGTTCCGTATATATGGGAACAGCAGGAGTCTTGAAATGATGTTTGAGCAAAAACAACTTTGTAGTAGCACTACCAGTAATTGCGGCTGGTATTAGGGATAACACATTTGAAAAATGGGGAGAAAACTTTGAACCATTATTACACGCACGGATACCGAAGTGAAGATGGCAATGGTAGAAAGCCCTATAAAGATTATGCCTATATAGATTTCATGATTCAACCATGATAACGGTGTATATATATATATATATATATATATATATATATATATATATAACGGTATGAGTACACTGAAAAATAACTGACAAGGAATCAGAATAAACGAGATCGCGAAAGGGAGCGACAAAGGCAAAGAGCAACGACCAGGATGCGGGTGACAATAATAATACTGGTCGCGGAATCAATTAGTTGAACAGTAATTACAACAGTTCATAATGAAGCGAGGTGGATAATGGGCGCGGACGAAACAGCAGAAATGAAAAAGAAATGTTCATATAGCGCGTGGCCCCTGCGGTGAAGCTACTTTTCATAACTTATTTGGCTTAATTGTTTGCTATATAAGTCAACAATGTCAACAACAGCACTTTATTTATTAATAAATATATTTAATAAAATATCTGAATAAAAATACTGTTTTTACTATACATAGAGTATACAGTCTTAGACTTTTGGGCCTTTTTAAAGCAAAATTTTTATTTTTCGATTGCTATTATCATGTCTATTCTTTGCTAGTAAGAAGCTATTGCATTGACTTAGATGCACATATGCATCCAACGTTTTTATTCTAGGCCTTAAAAAAATGCGACAAAGTTCGCGAGCAGGCTACCACTACTTTTTAGTTTAGTTAATACATATTATAGAAATAAATCCTTCAATCAGCTATTATACTTCCATTAAAAAGAAAATATGTATTTATTTGTATGCCAGAAATATATACATCAGAGCACGCGTTTGACACTGATATTTATCGTTTACCCGCTCCAAGTAATACAGTAGACAAATAAACACTCTTCCATAACAACCACATTGTAGCAAACCTTTCAGTTAGTCAATAAGGTTGCCAGAATTCCAAAATACGTTTTTTGTGAAGCAATAAATACAAACCTAAGTTGCCGAACTTCTTGAAAATTACTTTGTGCATTAGCTATTTAAAAGGAACGAGCACGCATTTAGTTATGCCGGATGACACAGTTTTTGCTTAAAATGAGTGACAACCAATCGAATATCGACTATTATTCTGGAATATCAATGCACGAATCAACAAAAAATAGCATATGCTTTTCGCTATTTAAAAATCGGCGTCTAGTGTGAATACCTGGTCATCTTTGTTAGCCATAACACCCGCTTTCTGGTATTCACCAACGCGTTTTTCAAAGAAATTCGTTTTGCCTTCGAGGGAAATTTGCTCCATAAAGTCGAACGGATTCGTGGACTTCCATAGCTTCTGGCAGTTGAGCTCGATGAGCAGACGATCAGCAACGAACTCAATGTATCTCTTCATCAGATCGCAGTTCATACCCAACATAGCGACAGGTAATGCTTCAGTGAGAAATTCTTGTTCGATGGCAACAGCGTCCTTAATGATTTGATAGATTCGCGCTTCGCTTGGTTTGTTGATCAGGTGTTTGAACATCAGACAGGCGAAGTCTGTGTGCATACCTTCGTCACGTGAGATGAGCTCATTGCTGAAGGTGAGGCCAGGCATGATACCTCGCTTTTTCAGCCAGAAAATAGCGGCAAACGCCCCGCTGAAAAAAATGCCTTCGACTGCAGCGAATGCCACAACACGCTCACCGTACGCAGCCTCCTCGTTAGCGATCCACTCTAAGGCCCAATCAGCCTTCTTCTTAATGCATGGCATTGTCTCAATTGCGCGGAAGAGTCGATCACGTTCCGTGGACTCGGTGATGTATGTGTTTAGCAGAAGAGAATACATTTCTGAATGAATATTTTCCATCATTATCTGAAAACCGTAGAAACAACGCGCCTCGGGCACTTGTACTTCTTGGGAAAACCTACAAGTAGAAGGCAGGAAAGAGGTTAGTCAAAGGTGAGGCACTGGATACGTTGTACGTGTTGCGTATTAATTCTATTTCTGGATTTTCCATTGCAACTACCAGTAATTAATACTGGCAAGTCGAAGCTCACAATTCTGCTCCGTTGGAAACAAGTGCGGGCCAAATCTATCAATGTGGGCTATTTTTACGTAATATCAAGTGACACTGTAGCGCTTGCTTTTAATACGTAACAAGTAATTCAGTAGAACTGCATCATACTTTACCTGACGTAAGTCACAATTAGCTTTTACGATAAAATACACAGACTCATAGCGAAATTGATAAGCTTACCTACCTCTCAACAAGATTCTCGTTCACAATGCCATCAGAAGCAGCAAAAAACGCAAGAATGTGTTTGATGAATTCTCGCTCCTGAGGTTTCATTCGGTTCTTCCAGTCAGACATGTCCTTGCCCAAATCGACCTCCTCAGCGGTCCAAAAAGAGGCCTGTGCCTTTTTGTACATTTGCCAAATGTCGGAATATTCAATGGGAAAAAGCACAAAACGATTGGGGTTCTCCCGGAGCAACGGTTCCGAATCGTTGTAATTCTTTTTGTTGCGCGCCATCCCAAAGACTGCATCTTTTTTGTCCTTGGCCGCTACAGTTGATTCGATTTTATTGATACTATCGCCTGTCAAAATGTAACATACATGCCTTCATAGACTGTTCTAAATGCTAGGGTGAAAGAGAGCCAGCGGAGTAACCGCCCCCATGCTAATTATGTGATCAAAAACGCAAAACAAGATACTAAAAATAAACGTTTTGAATTTTACGTTCGGTAATATTTGTTGATCATTTTACATTTAAGTAACATTTACGTTTAAATAGTAGAATGAATAGATTGGGATAAAATCTATAGTCATATATTCTTTGTCGATATATTCTCAGTGGGCTTTTCTTGCCTGCTGTTATCGGCCTTTACAGCCCACCATGAAATAGACATCAAGTTAGTACCATAAAAAAATACAGAGTAGAAATTAGGGCCGCAGCAGTAAACACCGGAACTGTACCGCAGAAATCTTCGAAGAAATATCTCCAGCTCGACAAATACGCAAATTCTTTAGTCCAATTGCCCTCATGCATTCTGACAGAATACTAATATTACCATGTTAAAATGCAAAGTCCGTTACAAAAATTCACTATCTAGCTGGTTTGATTGCAGTGGTTAATCATGGTTGTATCAGCTGTCTTTACGCGGTATCAGTACATTGATGTGATGTCGACTCTAGCCGTTGGAATGGGTTTTATTTCCGGTCGTAGGACAAGAACTTAGTAAAAATGCGTTTCTCGCGCTTTTACTAAGTTTTTGTCATTACGAACAGAATGAAGATACCGGTTACATGTTTAGCGTGTACATCTACAATGACACACTTTCTTTGTACCAGGATGCGTAAATAAAACGAAGCTTCTCTAGTCCTGCTAAAAACTGATGAGACATTAAGTAATACGCGTGTGTTACTGAAACTGGAGAGTTCGATCCTTTCTTCCTTATGGAGCATAGCAAAAACCATATTATAAACTATTATAGTTGTCATTAGGAGTAATTTTACGTAAATACAGGGTTATTAAAGCTTTCTTTATTAATTATTCTTTATTATTATTATTCTTTATTAATTTCTTTATTAAATACAGGCTTTCTTTAAAATAAAATGTAAATACGAAAAGTTATTAAAGCTGATATATAACATGGCAATTATTACTAGTAGTTCCATATATAAGGGAAATATCTTTTGACATTTTTGCGAAACGTATGCTGATAAGGATTATAGTTTTTTTTGGCTTTTTGACAAAACGAACGAAAAAGGGATCTGCGTTTAAAAAAAAATTCATTTCTAACATTTTGCTGAAACGATCAATTGAGTTTTGGATGAGTAGCCTGCGTGGTAAGTGAGATAAATTAGCAAAACAAAAATATAGGAGTAAGTTATAGGATTAGCGAATCAAGATGAACCTGTTCTTCATTTTGCCGGAACAGTTATTCCTGTTTCGCATGAAAAATTCGGACTGTGGTCTGATTTATGGTAGAACTGAAGACATCACAAGTTGTTTAGCTGCTGAGCCCGCTTTTTTACATTTACAACCAAGAATTAGCGAACCATCTTTGCCTATATTGGAACAAACGTTTCCTTTCGTTGATTAAGCAACAACGGGACTTCCTCATTCAAATATACATTAAATTCATAAATTAATATAACGATTTGTCAATATTTGTACATTTAAATAAGCAACTCGCAAAAGCTTAGTTTTGCTGTCCATCGTATGCAACATATTAACTTTGGAAATGCGAACATTAACGAAAATGAATAGCAAAAAAAAACTCACCATAGTTCTTTCCAAGTGGCTTATTCTCATCTGTAATGATGTTCATATTCTTTTCTCCAAAGATCGACATACTGCCACTTGCATTAAAATACTAAGTGTTCCCTGGGTCGGATAAAAACTGCTACAACTGTACTTCGTAGAAGCGACGTAGAATCTCTAAGACGCGTTTTCGAGGTACAGCGTGGTATAGAACGGTGTCTTTCACTGTGGAGCAGACGCCTTTCTATAGTTTTTGGCGCCACTGAGAGGAGGGTTGGGAAAGCGACTACACGGACTGGTACTAAGGAAATGTGCGCCGAATTAGCGCTCGATTCTATTCATACGTCATAGCCATGGGTTACTCAAGCGCGCTAGGTTAGAATGATATTTTTGTCAATGAAACATTTTCTATCAGTGTATCACATAGAAATCAAGCACGATTCCTCCATGAATCCTGTAAAAAGATGTTTCATAAATAGCTAGCCTAGAGAATGCGCGTAAAAACAGTTATACAAAAAAACCAAAAGTTTATTTGTCTCGTATTTGCCAAACCACATAAGTTCCAATGAAGAATTTTAAGATTCACGTTTACCTTTATGAATAGTTCGAGTTGAGACTCATTGAGCCTTTAGTAAGAACGGGGAGGCGTCCGTTATATCACTATAGTGGTGGCGGGAGAATAAGAAGCCAACGATCTTCAAACGGACTCGCCCAATCAGGCCCGATCTACTGAAATGATAATACTCGTAGAAGGATACTAAAATCGTATGCAATGTAATATTATAATTTATTTGATTAGCAACAGAATTTAAGTAAACATTTAAGATTGTTATTGAAGCGTATTAATATTTTTTTCGACGAACTCATTTGCAGGTTTTGCGTCAAGCCTAGTTGGCAATTGATTTAACAAAGCTGATTCGGTAAAGTCACCCATACTCACACATAAATTATAGCTCTAATACCCCCTGCTGTGGCCCGCATCCTAACCCACTTCCCCGGGGATTGCGTTTTCTTTTTCGTCGCTCTGTTTCTCACTGATCGGTTTTATTATAAATTACCCCTAGACCATATGTATTCGGAGTAAGGTGGCACGATAGCGTGCGACGTAGAGACAACGTTTACAAACGATATCAGTGCGCCAACGGTTGTTACGTCGCAGTTATCGTGCTCCAGTTGTTTCGACAGTTATCCCATTGCTTCATAAGCCCATTTTTTATTATAATCCAGGTAGTCTATTTTTTCATGTTGCCTTAATGCAGATTTCATCAGCCTGTTCTGATATGAATGAATTTGGTCCGTGTGACGCTTCGTCTATTGCTTTGTCTTAGTGAATCAATGCATTATTTACGCAAATGCCTTTCTACTCTGTTCCCATGGTTAGTTGCATCCAGTGTAACCCAGAGCGCCACTACAATACCTTGTTGGCCCCGGTTTCCTGTTGGAATGCTCCCTACTGTTTATTGCAATTAGCTATTTTTCAGTCTCAATTGCCCCGTTCTCTCATTGCAATTAATTGATTACCGCGCAGCATGTACCCGACTAGCTAAAGTAATAACTGACCTTGACTTTTAAACTGAAGTAGCATACAAACGTTTGGCTTCGGCCTGTCATCAACATTTTATTCGACCCAAATTCTGGTATGGCTGGAGACCTGTTGGCTTGGAATCATTCCGTTGTTTTGCCAAGCTGTGATCAACTTTGGCGGATATCGAAAAATGGCATTCTAAATTTCTTGCAAGCAGAAAGTACTGCACGGAAGTATGACCACTGCCAAAAATAGGTATTCAATTTTTTGGCAAATTAACGGCGCAAGACAGCTAATAACAGAACTATACTGGCACACAAAATCAGATCAAAGGACCGACCCGGCATAAAACATTTCAAGAGAAACTCTACAGATACAGGGTTGCAATTACATAACTAACGGAAAACCACGATAAATCTCAACCAACAAGTCAGTATTCATTGAAATACTTGCAGATTTTATACAGGTTTATAGCATTTGTCAGATAAATGTCGTCAGATATTTGTATATTCGCTCAAATCAATCCATCCGGCGCTTAAGCACTCACGTTATTTCAGTTACGTTTACATTCAATTCAAGTAGTCCACCTATTTCAAATCCATGTAAAAACAAGAACTCGTCGTCCAGTTTGTTGGAGCAAGGACGTTTTTATGCTAAATGAGCGCAACCTTGCCATGATCCATGCATACTTAACTACTTACCTTGATAGCAAGTGTTCCGAGTAATTTTAGTAAGATCTTAGTTCATTCTCCATTGCAACCGCATGCGCCATTTGGCTGTAGATCTTAGAGCGGCACGAGAGCGCCTGTTCTATGATTATGATAGTCATGTTTAAAGCTGCTGGCATGTTTGAATTTCCCATGAATTGCACAAAAATCAGAATGCTGCTGCTTACCGTTTCAAAGCAGAACAATACAAGTGCCTAGGGAGATGTTGAGAGGTATTGCGTTTTCTGTCATTAGTAAAACTACCAGTGTTCAGACTGCTATGATGGGGCCATTTACAGTCCAGTCTGCAAAGTCTTCTTCATTTGTTTTGAATAAAATTTTTTCATTTGAATGAAAATATTGAATTTGACGGATACAAACAAGAAGGGCCAACAACGCTTGAAATTGGCCCAGTGATCCTCGCTAACTTGAAAACGAATTCAGTTAATATCAGTGGTTTTTGCACTTATAAAAATATCTTTTTCAGAGTAACTTTAGCCAGATAGGAAATAGTACCAAAACTGTGTACAACAGACCAAACAATCACAAAAATTTACTCAGTCGGCGATACTTCTACCAGAGAAGTATCTTTAGTTTAATCCACTAGGCCAACTTTTTTAGTTCAGCATTTCTTTACCAGGCTAAATAGAAGTCAAGACGTGAAAACTAGCTTCGACAGAGTTCTGTTATCAAGATGGCCTCGGTAAACTCTGCTATGGCTAATCGCTCGAATATAATTCTCTTTGCTCTTAATATCCTGGAAGTTCTAAGATGATATGACCGAATTAATACTGTTCACGTCGGGCGACGAATCGTACCATACGCGTACCAAATGTGCTTAGGGTGACAATGTAAATTTCAAACCTGAAAATAATCCCCGGGCCTCGCCTGCAACTTGCAAGTCACGGCCGTTCGCTTGCAGCGTTCATAGCAGAATGCCACTGGCGTCAACCACTCCTAATAAGGGCTGCGCTTGTAAACCAAACGGCTTACAGGTGAGCAAGTCGATCCGACAATTATGTGGTGATCGAGATATCAGCAAACTCTCTGTCTGAGGTGATCTTTGTTTCTGCCACCAAGGAGAAGACGAACCCGACATTTGACCTGTAATGGAATCAATGGCCGGGAGCTGTTAGACTCATAATTAATCGAAGGTGATAATGAGGTGCGATAAACAAATGGCAAAGAATTTTTACCCATCATTGTTTACTGCAAGTTTCCTTGTCATAAGTGACTAAAACCCTACCTGCTTTGGTAAAATAAGTCACTGCAGATTAACATCTTGGTTATTGGCATATGGTACAATTTCTGGTGTTTTAGTAGGAGGGTCCTACCTAAGATGCACATAGGATTCAACAATCTAAAAATTATTCCTGGGAAGGAATAATCCAATGTTCAAACGTTTATGTGAGAGTCAAGTGAAATGTTGTTTCTTACCACTTTTCAATAGTATAAAAAAAACTGCATATATAGACTGCCTGGCAGGCTTCTTTACACTAATTGCAATGAATAGCAGAGGCTACGGGATTATGCTCCAAACGGGATGCTGTTAGATTCGAGAGCCCTGTCTTGTGTCTTTTATGATTCGGTCATGTGGCTGTTTTTCTTGGGTTTTGTCCAACAGTGATGCTCTGTCGTGGAGTTGAGCGAATAAGGCTAGCTTCGTTTTAGTGGCAATGTGTCGTATAAACTTGTTGAATAAAACGGCGTCGAAGCCTGAGAACGTTGAGTTTTTTTTGTGGCAACTGGTTGTCTCGGCCAGCTAAATAAAAGTGTAATATATAATCTATTCCTCTATTTAAAAGTGACACGGTAGAAAACGACAAGAGATGGTAGTTATATAACAGAACATGGTTTGATTCTATTTTGTGTAACTTCTCGGTTCGATGTCTTTTCGTTAAGTGACCTTGTACAGAGCCATGGAACATTTATATTTCAACCCATGGACAACTAAGAGAACACTAGCCGTCTGATTTTTACATACACTAGTTGCGTGACAGACAGATATCAGCAGCGACAGCTCATACATTATATTAACTACGTGACTTTAATTGACATATTGACCGTGATCTCTAAATGCGAGATTTAGTGGAGCCGGTCAAAAGCCGACTTTGGTACTTTCACGAAAGCCGTCTTCGGTATTACATGCATTATGGACACATGCGTATACTCTGTCACTTCTGTTGTTACAATCATTGCTATGTAGGTTTCTACGATCACTAGCGGCCAGACTCTTAAAAAGCCTCGACACAACGTCAAACAGCAGTGATCCAATGGTGCTTCTATTCGTTCCCACCAGTAACAATATCAGTCCAAAAATAACAATGAAATTCACAATAGCCTTTGTTTGTCTTTCCTTTTTCTGATTGGAAAGCAGAAATGATGGAGGTTGATAATTCAAGACCCAAGTTGCAGTCCATCCATTAAATGCAGCTTGTTATTCATTGACTGTGAGACAATCCGTTTGTATATTCAACATGTTCGTTTCATACCGTATAAAGTGTTATACGCTCTGCCAAACGACAAATATAATGAACGCAAACAGCGAGCAATCGTCGCCATATTCTTATCATTATTATATTCTATTACATACAGTGGAACAGATTGTTGACCCGATAGAATCTTAGAATTAATTAGTCTACTTTTGACGTGGGTCAACTAATCCATAACTGGGTGTTTTACTTGTAAGCTGCAGGCGTCTGCCTATAAAACAACTACAGTTTGACTTGGCTATTGAATACGTACTTACACATTTTACTTATAGACTGTGAATTCGATACGCATATGTGTGTGTGTCTGTGTAATTGTGCTGGAATATTTTCTTAGCTAAAGGGTCAGTTATCTGAGGGCTTGGGTCACGATAAGTCTTATTATATAATTGAATATTCGGGTGTGCTCGATCACAATTTGGCGCTTGCCTGTTTGCTCGTAAGTTCACACATTGGCAAATAAATCATTTAAAACAAATGCGGGAAGACTAGCGTGCAGTAAAGTTAGGTTAATGTGCAATTGTCAACAATCCTCCCGTTTTCCACCTAAGCTATACGGTTTCTTGAACGTTAAATTAAACGTTAGATCCTTTTCGAACATGCTCTAATCAAAATTCATACTAAAGGATTCATAATCCGGTCTAATCAGTAGCTACTGTATCCGTAAGGTAAACTTTTTTATGCATGGAAGTATTTTTGGCTTACACGGTATTTCCATAATCTGTTGTAAGTCGATTAGCGTCTGGTTAAATCGTAAAAGAGGTAATAAATACAGAAACAATAAAAGATGAAAATGATGGCTTAATTTTTATTTTGGTTGTTTTCGTTACTCACGAGAACAGTTTATGAACGTGTCGAATGGCCAGTTGTTGTGAATTCTACGGTATCACATTGGTGTTTTTATGATCCGCTGCTGACTAACATGTTTATGCGCAGCAATCAAGAACAAAGTGACAGCAAACAAAATTTAAGGAAAACGTCTAACGTCTCGTCTCTTCGACTCTGATGGTCTGAAATGGAGATACTGAGTTAATGAGCTTACTATAGAGATAGTAAACCGAAACGTATTTTACTGTTGATTTGCTCTGAACACCACAAAATCGTCCAATCAAGCAAGGTTGTTGTGACCTGTTTAAACTTTCTAGCTAGTTCGTTCGCGCAGCCCGATTTACTACATCGTGATACCTCATTATCAACTCGCCAATAAATGAATTAACTGAAAGGTCAGCAGCTATGGCAAGTACAAATGCGCCAGCGTTCTCAGTCAACCAGGGTACCAACGAGGGCCATTAAAAGAATTTATGCCCCCTGTACTACTGCTGAGTAATTCCGGAACGGCGATTTTATAAGTGACACAGATGTGGTATAACTTTAAAAATTAAAGCAATTAGATTACCTGTTTAAAACAACTTTTCGTTTCGATTCAATTGGCCCAAAAAAACATGAGAATACACAGTGTATTAACCTTCTCTGTGTTGAAGATATGAACTTCGATATTTTAGCGAGGCCGTCATAACGCACATGATATATGTAAAGTTCTTTTAAATCATCGGAAATTTGACGAACACCATGAAGTTTGTTGTAGAAGCTTTTGAGTATGGTTCGTTCGAAGCTTGGGAAGTGAATGATTCATTTTCGAATCAGAGGTCAAGATCGAGCTTAGCGGTAAAGTACGTCACGGAAATATGATAGAGTTTTCGTAAATTTCTTATATATTCACGTCTTAGTTGCGATTTCAGTTAGGGTCTTCTCTTTCTTCATAGCGGGTATTGTAAGGCGCGGGCCTAAATAACAGAGAAGTACGGACGAAAACGATCTGCAAAAAATCTTAGTTAGTCACTGATGTGTTCGAGTATTTTATTGTGGTGAAAGATAGGTCTAGTTTGGAGACTTCAGAGTTCTAGCTTCTTGCGTTGGACACATTTGCACAATATTTTCGAAATTATTTAAAACTTTTGGATTGAATGGTCAGTGAGAAATGGTAGTCAAGTCATACAATAAAATTAACGGGCAACTTCAAAGCTACCATTGTGTGAACTACGTAGAACATTTAATTATCCACCTGAATCATGACATGCCGCTGTAAAATTATTATTACCGCACTAGTTATCCAAAGAGGAAGATAATATATAATCTAGAAGCATCCTAAAAAAGGCGTATGGTCTAGGCCTTTTAGATGGAATAGCGAAGCCGCAAAAACGGCTTCCTTTAAGCTTTAAAGTCAGTATTCATGTTTTCAGCGCTTTATTTATTTCCGGCGTCTAAAGTGAGGCCCTAGAGCTATATCAGCTGACTAAAATCGGATCAGAAGAGATTACTACTTACTGTATTTCGCAGCCCTTTGCTATTCGCTTGCGAAAAGTCACAAGACGATTGGCATTAAGTATTCAGCATTCTTCCAGTTTTTTCCGCATTGTCATTTACTGCACTTCGAAAACGTGACCTTCGGGACGACACGGCACATGTATGAGAACGCATCTCCGTTTATCCGACCCAGCTGCTCAAATTGCAGTACGGGATTAAAGTATGACATATAATTAAAAGCGTTATTGACATTACGGAACGTTGTGGGATAATCGTGCAGTCTGCACGATTAGCCCTTGAAGCTGTTGGTTTGAGAGGATTGCTACTAGATAGAGTTTCTAGGCTTGTAAACAGACTTACTCATTTTTCTCTATGTGGTTTTGCCTGCCTTGCAAATGTAAGGCTCCCATTAATTGATTCACTACTCGTTCATGCCTTGAAAATAAACGGGAAGAATGAACAGTTATATTGCAATGATAAGCAATACATGATTTGTCTGTCATCACAGTCACAATCGGACAAGATAGGTATACGTCATGAAGATCTCTACGTTCAGTGTTGAGCCCATACAGCGTTTCCACTGTAAGTCTAATTAACGCATTACTCATTCCTCAATAGAATGTATTTAGCAGGACGCCGTATGGTGTTTCTACCACATGCAAGTGATCCTTCTGGGTTCTGCTGAGTCTTCAACTAACTATAATTAAAAATAACAGAGAGCAGGAGAGAGAGAGGGTACAGCTTCACTTAATATTACCATTCGCATACGCACAATGTTAGTAATTTAATGTAATTTTGAAACCTCTTCTTTATTTCACTAAGATAGCTAACTATACAGGCTCACATAAAAGTTATATAAGTTTGTTGTTTGAGTACACTGTTTGTTATCTCGTTTTTAGACAAAAATGTAGTTAGATAGATATGCGTCGGTCTCTCAGAGTAGATCTGATGACTATTTTTTTTTTCTTTTTTTTACAAAAACAGTAACGCTGTAAGCGGACTCATTTAGTGTTAATTTAATAATTTATTCACTTGTAGAAACCCAGACAGCGGACAATTCAATTCGCCTTCGGACAACATCTTACCTCCGTCTTCCTCTTTTGGTAAACCCATACAATCAGTGTTTCTAATGGCTCCGCCCCGTCCAGGAGCAGCCCTCGCCACAAAATGGCGACACCCAGCAACCCGACGGTAAGAACCACCGTGTTTACTCCGTTCGAAACAACACAGTGAGCAGTGTGCATTGAGATCGAAACACCCATAACTTGAGTTTTCCTAGAATAGAAGGTGCTGTAGTGCGAAGCAGCAAGTAGCCTATTTGAACATTCAGTGTGCGTGTGACACTTGGCGTAATGTCAAAATGAGTTTTCCAAACAGTCGTTTTAATGACGTGTAATGACAATGCCTTCCACTGGTTTAACGTAAACCACCTCTCAAGGAGGTAATTAGAACATCCTGGAGAAGGAACAATCGCTTAGGATCTCTAAAATATGCCTCGTCCGCGCACACCGATTGAGGGTAAGTGGCAAGCCTTTTCTCTTTATTTCGAAGATAATCTGTCTGTCAAATCATCGAACTGCCTGGACACCGTAGTTGCTGTCGGCAGGTGGAAACAAAACCAGAATGGCATTCGATAGTCTCGTTCCCAGGCGTCGGACAACATCAACAGCTGACTGTCTAATTGACCGTAAGTTACTCTGTATAGGCGGGTGATGTCGCCTAGACGAGACGTTGCGTATCAAATCGCTATGATACGTACTTATGAACAGGTATATGTGTCACATATATTTTTCCCAGAACATAAAACGAAGGATACTTCTACAACGAATAGGACGCAAGGCGGCCGCGACAGTTATAACAAACGGTGGTGGTGGCGGGGCCGCGTCAAGTGATTTGTCAGACCCATCGACATCGGCGAACTATCCAGGATTGTGAACACTTGGAGAGCGCCAAAGGAGTCTTTTGCGAGTGGCAGAGCTGAGAGTTTAGTTATGGCTGAGTTAATCTCAAGAATCGTTGAGGCGTAGCTAAATTCTCTGCATAAGCGGCCGCTGCTGCCGACACCATCAGCGCGCTGATCTTGAATAGCTGATATTTGCCTATTCAGCCTGCCTGTAACTTGATTGTATGCGTCGTGGCGTTTGTGTGTCGCCACGGCTTGCGTAGACGGCGACTCTCTACGCGCGTTTATCAGAGAGTTCTTTTGCACAGATTCGTCTTACGACACTGGCGATATGGCTGCTGCGGTTCCTCTTGTCGATGGCTGGTCCCACTTAGTCAGCATTCGTGGTACTGCCGAGGCTACTATGAAGCAGGGGCTTGGGGATCAACGGGGGATGTTATATAGAGAGTGTCGTGAGGGTTGTTATGATTTATGCCCTCGAAGAAGGCGGAGCCTGCGGCCGCTCCTGCTGCCGTCGCTGTCCAAAGCGTGCTTACTCGGCATCGTGCTTCCCAGGCGCTTCGTCGTCGAGACGAGGATGACATGAAATATTGCCAGATTCGCCATAACCGTTGGAATGGCTGGCAGGCGCCGGGTGCCTTCTTTGCAAACAAGACCCACACAACGTACAGGCCCAAACGGGCGCCCTACGGACACACAGACGAATATACCGACTGGCATATACGCATTGACACAGCAAAAGCTGGAGGACCTCGTAGCATCGGCTAGTGAAGCTGTGCACCCGGCGCGTACGGTAGCGCGCTGTCGCTAATGTCGATCTACTGTTATACCCTATACGCTCGGAGGATTCTGAGGCACGACGGTAAGATGCAGGGTCGTGTCGTCGTCATCGTTGTTGGTTGATTAAGAGCGCAGTATAGACTTCAAGGGAACCTTTTCTTATTTGCTGGCTACCGGTTTTAGTAGCAGGCACATTGAAGGATAGCATAAAAGGTGGGGTAAAATTAAGAACCGTTCTCTCTCGCGATATGAGTGATGTGAGTGCTGCCATATTGAAGCTCAGGCTATTACTATTGCTTTAACAGCAGCCATGAGGCGTCTAGATCCTCTATCACGTCCTACTTCGATCGAAGTGTACTCCATGATGAGCTTTCTTTCCATTGAGGGGGCCTACAAGTTGCTTAAATGACTATGACTATGACAGCTTCCGTGAGACAACTGTAGTAGCTGGAGAACTAAACTTATTCCATCGAGTCTTACAATCAATCTATGACGATATGGCATTGTAACTTGGACCCATATGGCACCACCACAGGCATAATACATGATAGATATGTTTCACATAGGAAGTAGATGGTGGCTACAGGTCGAGCAGATTTTCAATGCGCAATCCGGGCGGCGCCAAATGCACGTTATATTTGAGGACGCCGGAAAAATCGTCAAGAAAATTAACGCAGATCAAAATAGCCTTGTTCGACCACAAAATTATATAATATTTAGTTTTGCTGAGTTTTTTAAACAACAGATGATATATTGTGCTAATAAACTGTAAGAGATTACACCCCGTCGACATAGATGGATGAGTTGCATTACGGCAAAGTATTTCGAAAAGGCAAATTTATCGTGACGTGTATGCCGCGCTTGCTGAGCAATGACTTCTAGTGGCATTTTGGCTTCCTGTATCTAATGATTACTTTGCACTAAACTAGCACATGATTTAAAGGGTTTTTCTAATCTGGATCAACTATTTCTTATCACTGCAAAATATCCTAGAGCAAAGCCAAATACTTAAGACATAAAACTGCCTTCGGTTTTTATTAGTCTTGAAACAGTTTTTCCCATGTCTCAGTTTTCAAATAGTTCGGTAGGCGTAGTCCCATATTCTAGATGTATAGGTGTAGCTAAGTAGAGGCCAGGGAAAACACCTTTGCTTCGACTTATTAGGATTCGAGGCCTTTTATAATCGTTCCATCAAAATGTATGCTGCATTCTAAGTACTCGCCATTCCTATACATACAACAAAAAAGGAAATCGTTGAGACTTCTTTGAAGCACTGTCCTTTACGATATAGAATGTCTGATCAGGTCTCTTGTACGCTAGCCGGTAGTCATATGCTCATAGATATGATTTAACGCCTGTCAGACAGGACCAGCCAGTTGTCTTCGCATATCATTGAAAGCTGGGGAATTTCGTGTGGGGTGCGACGGGGAAACCGTACTTCTTTATTGTGCACATTTGTGCTACTCTCTGACTGCGAACGGAATTATAAGAGCTCCTAGATAGTCTGTAGCTAACGCACTGATGGTAAATAATGGTTGCTTAAGGTTTTACGGGAGAGAGGCGAAATATAAAAGCTTCTTATATGCACTGATTAGAGATGATTATACCGTCTTAAAATACAACGCTTACAAGGATTACGTATCTTATTGTACATGTATGTATGTTATTGTGGAAGAGCAATCTAATACCACTTGAATATCTACTTCTTTCTACTTATTCTTTCTTAGACGACTTTTAAAGATCGGCTTCGATAGCATTATTTGGATATTCAGAATGTCCAATGGATATTAGGAGATACAATAGTGTAAGAAAAAGATCAAATGTAAAATATCATTATTACAGATCTTCCACAAGGGCGTAGCAGGGTACCAAAGCATTACTAGTAACACAAGCTAAGAACAATCTGCTCCTTCATTCAGCATAGAATATGTGCTTCCACTATGTAGATTTGCAGAGGAATTCAATAGAATATACATAGTCCAACCAATAGATCAAGATAGGTGTGCGATTAGCTAGATGAAATACTGGTAAACGAAGATATAAAAGTTATCGAGCTATTTGAAATGTCCGAGAAACCATTACTGAAATTTCGAAGGGGCCGCACGACTTTCAACAAGATGTTTTTGGAGTAGCTAAAACTTTAGTTTAATACTGTTCGTGGACGCTAACGTCTCCTTTGAAAGCAGGCTATTTATAGCCGTTACGATTTTGTTTTCGTTTCATCGAGGACTTGAACCTGCAACCGTCGGCTTTTGACGTTACAGTCTCTGCTGGCAGTACGTCATTTTATTGTAATTTAATTGTAATTAAAAAAGATATGTTGTTAGTGTCAGTGCATCGTTTTGAATTGTTCAAAGTGCCTTTCTCTGAATCGAGGTGTAAACAGGTCGTAAAATGGACAGAAAATCCTTTTGTCGGCGTTTTTGACGTTGTGCGTGAGGATTTCGTGCCAGGCTTATCAGGTGGCTAACTTAATTAACAATGTGCCCAGTTTGCTTTATAATTAGGGTTATCCAGGCACTTAAGGTTTTGTTTCTATAATAAAAGTGATATGTTCTTATAATATTGATTCACGTTTTAGTTCCATCTAAGCAAAATAACCCACATAACACACCTTTTATCGTGCAAATTTTACAAAAAACTTAAACATTTTTACAAAATTTTACATTAGAACAATTTATTGGGACATTAGGACAAAAAATTACAGAATTTTAAATTTTAGTGTCCCTACTGCCCACAAAATGCGCAATGAAAATCCACAAAGTAAATAGTTTCCATAACCACATAGAACTAACAAAAATAGGTCCGATCTTGGGTCTATTTGAAGAATTTAAATATACTGATCTTATCTCATGATAATAGACTGTATACTACACTCTGGCGATATTTCAATGAATGATCTAATTCAAAGTATAGGTCTCCCCAATATGATCATAAATTTGCGTTCGTTGTTTTCTATAGCTGCTAGATACGAAGGAGGCTAATAATGCAGTAAGTGCTGCAATTTCACGACAATTTGAACCTCAGCGCTTCAGTTTTACTTTTAGATAGACCCCTGACTTTATAAGCGCTTCTATCGCTTTACTACGCCACTATTTTGGTAATAATAACGCAAACAAAATAACCTCAAAAACCTGAGCAAAACGTCGACCAGTGACAGAGTCTTCTATATGAGTACTTTAGCATCTTTTATAGCAAATAGTATAATATCCGAAATCTAAGCCTGGCCTATATCATTTTAAATGGAAACTTATATATTTATTGGCTTTAGACTCATCTTCTCAAATGATTTGTTTTATACTTTATATATATAACAGAGAGAAGTTTAAGATTATTCATTAAGGTACTTTTCTTTACAATTAAAATTTTTTGTCCATCTTGTAAGCCGTCCGTTTTATGAGCCCTTAGCTAAATAATCGATGGATGCAATTTTAGTTAAATGCGGATGGAATTTTAATTAAAACTCGCAGCGCAAATAAAACCACTCAATAATGATATCCGCTAACCAAGACAAGTTTATATCAAATAAATTGATCATGTAACCTTGATTTTTGCAGGTGAGCTTAATACTCCTTTGAATACTCCGGTGGTAGATTACGGCGATGGCGAAGATGAAGATGACACCGGCACGGCAACCTTCGACGCTTCCGATGATCCTGCAATTCATAACAGCGAGGTGGCGCGCAAAGATGCTGAACAGCGATATTCTGCTCCAGAGTCGAACCACGCTGAATCAACCAGTCAACAGATTAGGGCATCCACGACAGGGACAGATCCGACCACCGCTAACGCAGGTAATATGCGATTTCCTGATCAGCTGTGTTCATCCGCGGTGCGGCTCGAGGTACTTTCGAACTAGAATCCCTTGCAATAAAGGCATATAGCTAATTCATGTTTCCTTTTTTATAAACAGGGGTCCTACATATAACAGAGCAACTTGCGAACTCTGAACTTGTGAAATCATAAGCATTTCCATTTGGTGTCCTGAGCTGACAAATTATTGTACATGAGAGTCCGTTGGTGGTTGTTTTAACGATATAAAAATCCGTAGGACGTTTTAGTTATTGTTTGCTTTGCGCATTACTTTGGCTAATAAACAACAATGAAGTAAAAAGGACTTTAAAGATACATGGCATTCTATGGAACGTTTTCATATGAATCGTTGTTGTTTTTCATCTAGCAAGAGCACCGGAAATTCATTTTATCGAGATGGACCCACCCGCGGAGAAGCCCACATGCTTTGAAGATAGCGGAAAAGGTGAGTCGCCGAAAGCTTTATTTAAACCCTGTGGACTTTGTCATATACAGACTCTACTTGTAAAAAACCGAGGTTTAAGTTAGATTAACCCAGGTCAAATTCTAGTTAAAGCGTTATTGAGTGGCATAGACTAAGAACTGGCAGTCTGTTGAGTACTATTTTATTTAATTGTCTTGCTATCTAGGATTTGTTCGCAGTTTTTTGAACGCGAACGTATATAGTGACTACCAAAAAATGTTTGTTCTGTTCTAATGGGTATTTTATTGTGCGCTTGTTTGTTCACATAGAGTTAGAACTTGAAGATCTCATCGATGTTGTAACAGTTTTTCAATGTAAATTCTGCCGGTATAATTGTATAGAGAAAAGTCTCCTCGTTGCGCATATTAAATCCAATCACCAAGAAGACATTTCTAGAGGTAAGTGTGTAATGTTTTAGGCATATTTAGCGCCTTTTTTCGATAGAAATTGTGGGTGTTCGTTTTGAGTCGATACCCATTCTACCCCGAATCATCATATAAAATTACACTTGACTTTAGCGTGTCCATTCTACTAGTTCAAGCTTTGAACGCTTCCCGTAATTTAAACAGGTAAAGCTCGTGGAGTGACTATAGTTAACTTTGTAGTTTATTTTACCGTCATTACCACATTTGATAATCAAATAGGATACATTTAGAAATAACATTTAGTGTAAAACATCCATCTACGGTTTAGTAGATGTCAAGGTGGTACAGATGAAGATAAACGGTCGTAAAATCCTTTTTGAACTGCTCGCACTTTGAAATTAGTCTTATTGGTAGCTTTAACGACAAAGCTATCCGCGAGCGTTGCGGTACATTTGAAATTTCATCTTTTGTGAGTATCATGCACTGAATGATTTTTTTACGATACATACTCACCTTTCTTGGGCTTGTATAGCTAACAGAGAAGATTCAGCACCTGCCGAACGGGATTCCGCAGAAGTCTCTCGAGATCGCGATTCATCAACGAATTTCGCACCAAAGGAAGAGACTGAATTTGTGGAGCCGTCAACCGAAGCACGGGAGACTCATCGAGGGGATGAGCAGGCTAGTTGCTTCTGTTCCTTTACACATCTTTGTAACAATAGCGATGTCTTTTGAATCGAGTAATAATAATTGAATAATTTTCTTGATGGCCGCTATTCTTTGCCGTCTTTACGATGTCCACATGTGTTGAAGATCCTCAAAATCATTACAGTATGAGACAGTTGCGTGTTTTGATCCTATATCCTAGCCGCTACCTCAGTTTTTTTGGTTGCTACAAAACCGCTCTTGGGAAGAAACCCGAGGTCTTTTATCAGCTGTATAACTTGAGTCTAAGATAAATGATGAAACGTTTGGGGAATTCGATATTCTCAAAGCAAATGATCCAGCCAACATTATCATGTCATGACCTACCTTGGCGACAGCATTAGGAGATTAGAAGACATGTTGATTTATAAGAGCGGGGGATTTATTAAATTTAGACATTTCACTGCAGAGAGAAGCGGAGGGACAAATACAGCCATATCTGTAATTCTCGCTAGGGATTTTTTAAACGGGGAATTAATTTGTCTGTTGAAGGGAGCTGAGACACGCGCTGTCGAGTTAGGAAATCGAGTATTTATGAAGTGCATTCCAATGCTTTCTTTTTCGAATACACTAATACTTGTCGAGTCGCTGTTTCCGATCTCGCACATATTTGGTTGCATAGTGCATGCTATCCTATAGGCTATCTGTGAAAAGACATCAATGTGATATATTTACATAACTATCGACAGAATGGAACTTTTCTGGTTAAGATTGTTAATTTAAAAGCGCGTTCTGTGACGGACCAAATAGTGGAGCTATAATATTATTACCTAATGCATACACAGTTGGTTCTATGTATGTTCTCTATTAGCAGAACAGGCTCCGACGTACGTTTTCTAATAAACTAAAAGTAGCTGCTTCTAATATATAAAAAAGTTTGCTGCCTTTATTGGAAACAAAACTTACAATATCCATTTTGAAACGCCTGAGATGAAACGAAGTGGTCATTTAAACTAGTAAAACCCGCAATTCAAAAACAAGTGAAACTTTATAGCTTATAGGCGTTTAAGCTAACTAAAAATAAATAATCATGAACTAATTCTAGATTGTCAGTCTGTAAAAACGCTGACGGGTATGTAAACGCTAAAAGGCTGAAATAGACAGAATGCAGTTACCGATATAGCAGTTTTTTTGAACGCTTTCCATGGTACCTCTCATTTTAAATACATATAGGAATCATCGTGTGCCATGACTATCAGCTCAGTAGAGCACGTATCAAGAAGATACTGTGGGCAAAGCATCCCAGAAGAAGAAGAGCCCCCTGACCAACAAGAAGGCCCACAATCAATGCAAGAAGGCATTCAAGAAGATCCCGAAGACAATCAGTCCTACCAAGATCAACAACATTCGACTGATGTGGTTGACGCTGAAGACGGGACGTCCTCGGACTCCATCGATGAACCAGAAGAGACTCAAAGCGTATTCTTGTGCTCGCAGTGTAACACCACCTTTGAATTGTTTCAAGATTGTGAATTACACATGAAAACGGTTTGTCATTGAAAGAACTTTTTCGTTTCACGCAGATCCCATTCATTTTTATTTTCATGTAATTAGAATGCCTAGAGTCTCTAGCCTCTAAAGAGACTGCTAAGCCTTACTTTTCTCGACGTCAGGCAATCATGAAAAGCTAAAGTTAGCTGATCTTCAAAAATTTCATTTTCATACTATAATATTATACATTTTATTGTAGGAAGAAGATTGCCGCTGAACTAGCGGATAATGGATTGAAACCACAATAAAAATTGCTTGCAGTAGATTCTTGTGAGGTTGCGTCTTGGTATAAAGTTATTACGCCGAGTGAATAATCAGTTTCATGATTAGGCGAAAGGACAGCACTTTTTCGGTTCCTCTGAGACTAGCGTACAGATCTTCTTTAACAATGAGTCTTTAAAAAAAACAAATAAATTAGATTTAAGCCTCAACTTGGTCCGTTGATTCAATGGGACGAAAACCAACTTTTTTCATATGTATGCTTGTTTTTTGTTTGTGCACTATTTGGTAGTCTCATTACCCATTGTCTACTCCTGGTGTTTCTCCGCTGGACATCGAAACCGGTCAGACAACATTAGCTGTACCAGCTACGCCCACAGCCACTGTAACTAGCCCACATGGTGCAAATATCTTTGGTTTGTCCCACACGGCGAACGCCAACATCGATGGAACACCCGCAATTACTACTTACCACTTGGTGGATCCATCGGGCTGTGGAACTGGTGTCTCACAAACACTCTTCCACAGAGCACAAGGGGGATCGCCGTACATCTACGATTCCACTACAGCACCGTTGATAGTCCCTCCATTACCGCAAGTTAGTGAAATTAATACGAGATCAGGTTTTATCAAAAGAAATTCCTCCAAAGCTGCTATACAAACGATAATGTTCCTTGTGCATGGGCTAAGATTGAACAAAACACTTTCTACACCCCTCGATCGAGAATCGATACAAATTAGGGTATAGGTTATAAAACAAGTAGTTTTTTATTCGCGGCAGGTTGTTATGTATTTAGACGCTAAAACCGTTTCTAATCACTAGTAAAAATAATAGTGACAGTTATATGTCGTTGAGTCCAGTGCTTTGGTGCATGGTGTACATATCGTTACGGATGTCTGTGTGTAAACTCAGATGCCCCCCTTGGACACGATGGCGTCCCGACCCTATCGCTGTACGCAAAAGTTCTGCACTCAGAGATTTCGCAAGGTGGCAGCATTACAGTATCATCAGCAAAGCCATCTGGTTCACGCACTTCTCACTGAAGATGAGAAAGACCAAGAAGAAAATGAGTTCCAGAATCGCAATGATAAGGGTAACTAATAAAACAAATTATGAGCGCAACTTATTAGACAAAATGGCACGGAAACGCATATTGCATTTTTTTATGAACAACGAAGTTGAAATACGCGTTGAATATTCATGCAACTTGCATTTCTCGCCTTAACCTACGTTTGCTCTCGTAATACGTTTTCTTTTTATAGGGACCAATACAGATCCTCCTGCGGGGATTAATCAATTATATAAATGCCCCGAGTGTGGACTTCGCATCATCTCATGGAAGACGACCGTTCTCCATCTTTGGAAAGCCCACCAGATCGATTGCGATCTTTACACGTGTACTCTATGCGAGTATAAGACTACATCGTACTACAAACTGCTTAACCATAATGTCAGTCAATCCTGATATGAAGAAAATCTTAAGTGTGTTTTGAAATGTCTGGATCGCCTTCGTCCGTCATAGTATATTTATTTCGATATTCAAATTTCAGTATATATATATATATAAAATAGGTGATTAACATGGTGATGTTTGTTCTTCGGCATTTCAGCAAATCCACTCAAATCAACGAAATTACGTGTGCATGATTTGCGGAAAAGATTTTAAGCAAGTTGGCCAGCTGAGGAATCATATGGTGATTCATAAGGATAAAAACGCAGAAGAAGCCAAAAATCTCTGGTGGGTAATTTTAGGGATCCTGGTAATTTAGGAACTACGATTCGACTAAAGAAGTGTATGCTAATAGTTGAAATCTCGGCTAATGATATATGTTTATTAAGCTATATTTGTCCCAATAAAAGTTGTATACTCTAATGCTTGCAGTGCTTCTGTTGTAAGATGCAGACATTTACGGAGTTTAATACGATATTATACGGGCCGCGCTTATGGATTGACTTGCGCTCCAAAGGATCAAATATATGTATTTCTCTTTTTATCAGCCAATTATTTTATTCTTACAGGTACTCACCAAAAACATGTGATCTTTGTCAGCGGACGTTCTCGGATACAAAATGTTTGAAAAAACATATTGAGACGGTACACATGAAACTCAAAAAGTTCGAGTGCACCCTTTGCGGATATCAGGCTGCTAGACGAACCATGTTGAAAATCCATATGAGACAACATACTGGTAGGTTATTGTAACTAGCTAGATTACAAATGAAAGCAAACGCTTAGCACATTATTTTGCTTGTGAATAAAAATAAGTTCATATTTTTGGAAAAACTGTACTGTTCTATATGGTGCATTTTAGGTGAGAAGCCATACGTGTGCGATAGCGCAGGTTGCGGTTATCGAACATGCGACCATAATTCTCTGCGACGACACCGCATGAAACACTCAGGTGAAAGGCCCTACAAATGCCCTCACTGTGCGTACGCCTGCATACAAGCGGTATCATACAAACAGCATTTACTCAAGAAGCATCCTCAGCTGGAAAAGAATAACCTTTTCGAATGTGATCGGTGTAATTTTAAAACGGTATGTATAAAGAGGTGCGCAAACACATATGTTGGGTCATAGTGAACGTCGATGCTTTGTTAGGGTTGGCTGAATTTTGAAAAGTTGTATCTTAACTCCGCTGACATAATGTTTGGCACTTCCTCTATTAGTCTAAGCTGGCTAAACAATTTGATCATTTAAAAATAAATATTTTAAAATGTCAGTTTAATTTGACCACTTTTCGAACCATTATAGCCTACTAGACTGTTGAGTATGCAACACCTCGTAACGCTTGAGGCTGATAAAAAAAAAAATCGCCTTCACAGTTTGAATACTGTCTAACTGGTTAATCAATGATAGATAAATGAAGAAAAAATGACCGCTCATAAGGTCGACCATGATGAACGAGATCGTAAGAAGCAGCAGCAGCTGGAAGAAAACGCCAAAGAGGAAGAGATACGAAGAAAGATAGGGAAGCCCCTTCAAACCACTGCAGCCGTTTCGTCTATAAAGAACGCAATGACAACAAAAAAGCCATCGAATTCTGCATCGAGATGTAGCGCTAAAAGTTCGCCGACAGCATCTACAGTGACGATATCGACTACGTCCACGTCACCAAGCTGCATCAATAACTCAAATATCAGTACCTCGAAAGCCGTAACAACAACACCTTCACGAAATGCCAATACACAACAAGCGACGAGCCAGTCCTTACTACAACCACTACCGCAACTTCAACCCCAAAACCAAACGATTTTGCCTGTATCGCAAGGTGTTCATATTCCAGTGGGAAATATTATAGTGAATTCATTACCCATCGTAGTATCAATGGGAGCTACTTCATCCATTGTAAATAATGCTGGAGCTCACCAGCTAATATATACAACTCAACCACAAACAAGCGAACAACAGCAGCAAGCCACACAACAGGTAAGAAGACCACAGAAGTTAATGTACCAAATGGCATGTGCAACGAATTAATCCATTTATTCTAAATTTGCATGACAGGTTTGAAACCGCGACTGTCCAGGTTTGGCAGCGTGTAGTAGTATAGAGAGCTGCCGCCACACCGATGCTTAGCTCACAATGCGTGCCTAAACGAAATCGCACGAGGCGCTAACCTAAAGATTAAGATCGATCGGTGTGCTACTTTGTAACATGTCTGAGACTTCTGTGTGTAAAGTCGTTCCAGACTCCAGCCGTAACGATGATTGAGACGCTATCACAAGCACCGCACACTTCATGACGGCTAGCTGTTAAAGATAGCGGCCTGTCTTACTAGCAGTTTTTGTCCTTTAACGCCGGCCTATTAGTAACCTCTGGATACTGGAGAAGGAAGGCCAACAGGAGCGCATATCTAAATATCACGTCAATTCCACTTAAGCAGTAAGGAAGCCTACCTAATACCAGAAAACGTGTCAAACGCAACGAGTAACGATAATTGTAACAATGTATTATATATATACCTTTATATCCGTAAATATGACCTCAATAATCTTAACTTGTATAGAAGGGTGTGGTATAGGTTGTTGATTGAAGAACTTTCTGTACGTTTTACATACCATTCCATCGGACGGACATGAAGTTCGAGAACATGACGTCTTAGAACGGTCTCAAAAGCGAGTGAGCAGTACATGTTTGACATATCTTGATAGCTTGTCAAAACCTGCCATATTGATGCATTTGCACGAAATATTTTTGTAATCTTGTTTTGCAAAACAATTTAGATTATACATAATCGACATATGAAGTTGTAGATGCTTGGCCGTAAGTACATATTTTAAACACTTTCTGTTGCATGTTGAAGCGTGTATAACTTAAGGTTTGAACGATGGACTATGCGCTTTAGTTACCCAACGTTTGATCGTCAAGACAACCACGACGACGTACAAACTCAATTTTCTTTTTTGTTTGGGAAAACTAGAAAATAGGTAACAAGGCATATTTTCCTTTACCATCATATGCCCAACACGTGTGATATGGGCTCATGACAAGTAACTAAAAACGAAGTACATTTTCTATTGCGCTTCTCTTTCTTTCGCAGTATTTTGAAGACTTACGTGCTATTTAATATGATCTCATAAGATATGCTCCATACAATCGGGCAACAACTACTGGCCACTGCAGAGATCCATATTTCTATTCCTGAGCGTAGGGTTTTGCTGTCGCCTATGTAATTTATATGCCTCTCTCTTCGTCATGTTCAACATCATGCTAATGTTCTACAGGATTTTCTTGTCATTGAAATCACCATGAAAATGCCTACATCTTAGCTTTCTGCTTACTGTGTTACAGTTAACTGCATTACGAAATTGTCAAAAAAAGCGATAAAAGCGAGGTAAAAAATAACACTACGATGACGGGCATTCAGTCGTTGTTTGAATGAAACATAACGAATTCAGCTGTAAAACTAGTCAATTATATGCATATAAATACCCACAGGTGATACGCGAAGATGTATATATGTCTATATATATATATATATATACAATAATGTCTTTTTACTGATAAAAACAAAATCAACTATTAATCAACACAGTATGTTTTAGAACACGTTTGATAAGATGTTTGTGTATACAGAATAATATATGTTTTTAGTCATTAAAACAAATAACTACTCTCTTGCCGTAAAATCAGCAAACTTGAAAATTAACTGCCGCAACTTAGAACAGTCCCTTAAGCTGTCGGGCTAAACCGAATTGTTATTAATAAGACCCAATCTTGTTTCACTCAAGTTTTCGCTCTAAAATATTAAAGAATTTGAAGATAATTTAAATTTAGTAATAATGATTTAATTGCACGTTTTTAATGTAGGGATATGGATGAAAAATTTCGAATAAGGAGATGGTAGCAATAATAAGGCAAACAACAAATACTATTCTGAAGAATTATTCATAGAGAAGTTACTATTGTTAAAAAGATGTGTATCTGAGCGAAAATTACCGTAAACCTGTCACGCTGGTGAACCCTTTTACAACCACCTCTATTGGAAATTAAAAATGTCTGTATGCCGGTTATAGCAGATTCGTGGCCAAATAAACAAACAATTTTGTTAACAGACTAACAAATACCAGTTGAAAACGCAGTTCGCTAATTTTCTCTATGAATAAGTAGTGACAATAATGAAAAGTCTGCATGTTAATACCCGTCTATATTATGAATATTCTCACATATACATGAAATTGGTAAACAGAACACAAGCCCTTTACCCGTAAGGTCTTGCCTACATTGTTTTACATTTGAATATATATCTATAATAAACGAAGGCTAGCACAGCCAGCCTCTTGTCTTATCAGGAACAAGTGTATGATAATCTAAACAATGTTGAGTGGATCAGCAGCTGGTGCTTCCTGAACTAGCTGAGTAAGCAAATCAGATAGTTTTTTCTTTAGCTGTTTTACCCCGCTCATCACGATCGTTTCGGGTTTTAGTGCGCCAGATGACTCGACGTTGAAGAAAAACTTTGACGGTTTTCCTTCAGGATCATATTCGGCCTGGGCTGCAACGAAAGAAAAACAATATAGCCAGTGTAAATTGCACGAAGGCGAACTATGAGTGAAAACTACTAATTATGTGAAAAAAGATGAAAGAAGCACAAAAGAGGAGCAAACGTTTCTTCATTTCGGAAAACTCTCATGAGAAACTTTATCTATTTCGACATGCTGTCTTTCACAAATATTTCTGCAGTGGTAGAGTAAGTAGTTGTTATGCTAACAGGTGTTTTCATCCTCTGGAATCTCGGAGTATTCCGAACGGGGCCACTCATCTGGTTTTGGGTACGTCGTATGACGGAAGCGGTTATCTGGGTCGTACTCGAACGCAACTCCGCACGTGGGATTCCATTTGGCGTGCTCTTTACCGAAACCTTTGCGAGCATAACATGTGGCCTTCACCTCTTGGCCTTTTCGAAGCTTGACAATAAGGATATCTAAATTGCATAATTATAAGAGAAAAATAGAAATCAGTATGAACGCCACAATTTATTTTCAAGCAATTCTAGTACCAGCGCAGTTGGCGAAACGCTTACAACAGCAAATGTTCTGAGAAAAAACCGGCAAAGGTCGTCTACGTCACTTTGCAGGGTAGTGACGAAAAGCTGTCCTATAGGAATTTAATAGTGGGATTCAAAAAATATGCAAAGCAAAAGATTGGATAGAAATTTGAGGATATAAAAAGAAAAGTTTTCAATATAGGTGTTTAAATTTATTTTAAATTAAACAATAAATTCTTTCTGGATCATTTTTGTTAACAATGTACAATCCATGAAAGATCTCAATTATTTCAGATACATGGAGTTAGATGGGAACAGTTCATTTTCTAAAAATAGTTGGGTCAAAGCTCTCTTTGCGCACCTTCTTCCTGTCCATAATCAGCTGAATCATCCCGTCGTCGTGAGGTCACCGGAACACAACGGGCGTCGGCACTTTTCAGATCTGCCGTTGTTACGTGTCGGGTAGCGTCATCTGTACACTTCACATCGAGTAGGAACTCCACGCTGCATTCAGTGCAGAAGTCCACACATGAGCAGTCCCTATTGCGAAAAACATCCAAAACACAATGGAAATGTACATTATTATTTTATTAATATAAGTTTTAAAAAGCTAGACCTTCTAAGGGTTTTGCTCGAACTGCTAAGATTAGAGAAGCTATAGCAAGACATAGTCTTTAAGGAAATTTCCTTCGGTCTTTCAACGCAATGAGTGCTATGCTGAATATAGTCACCGCGGAAAATATGTAAAAGTCTATTTAATATTTTTACATAATGTTAACCACAAGTGATACATAAGAGAATAAACATTTTACCTGTTTTAAAACAAAACATTTTACTGAAAAGTTAAATTCGACTTCTCCATAAAAGTCTTTCTAATATCAACCTTTTTTAAATCCGTAATTTAAGAGAGATGCAGCGTAATAATTCGGAGCCGAATTTTGATTATTTTTAAAGTAAGTATATCGCTTCTCGATGATTTACAAGTTTTGCCTTGAAATATAAATTTTGCCGTCTACTGTATAACGAAAACGTTTTTCTTAAACATCGAATTGATTTGCAACCTTCTTCTTTTTTCTAGTGGTCTCGATCTCGAAAAATTGAGGAACTCTAATATTAGAGAATTTGAAAAATTTCCTATGTCTGTTGGGATAATAATGAACTGTAACTATAGCACAGATTATTTCTGAAGAACTTACTGAAATGAATCTTTGTTCTGAATTTCGTTTTAAAAGAAGATAGTTTAAGATATTCAGCTTATGATCTCTAATAACTTGAGACTACTATTAAACAAAAAAATGTCTAGTATAAAAAACGGTGCATGTCTGTTAGTTACCAGCTAACTTACCTGTCAAATTTAATCAAAAGTCAGTTTAAATTAGCTGCACAAAAAACATAATAGACGGGCTAGGACTCCTTTATGCTTTTGAATATGCGTAAGACTGCCTTGTTTCAGTAAAAAATAGACATAAATAGCACTTACAGTTACTTCTGAGGCGTCTATAATTTTTGCTCGGAGCAACAGACGTATTCTCGCTACTTCTTGCATATTATTCGATGTGGGTATATATATTTAACGTTAGTGATATAGCATCGTCATCATTTATTCTTACGGGCGACTACATTTGCACGAATAAGTATTAGAAAAAGGGAAAATTCACCCTCACCTGTTATACTGCATGTGTTCGACGATTTCTTCTGAAGTAAGCGGAATAAGGCCAAGCCGATGCGCTATAAATTCGTCATGAAGCACAGAAGAGTTAGCTTCGAGCTGGACCCAATCAATGGCCATTGTAGGAGTTTCTGCGATCATAACTCGACGTAAACTGTTTGCCACGCTGTTCGATCAAAGCAAAAAAATATCAGATTAAATTGGCTGATCTTTCATAGGTTAGCATAGCTTTCTTGATTCTGCAATTATCTAGAAGTATTTGCCACTCGCAAGTATACTCTAAGTGCTTGTTTTTCCATGTGAGAACTTTTTCATATAATACAGTTGACTGAATACCAAATCTGGATATAAGTCTAAATGTCGAGATTGTTGTTCGATCAATTTGCTAAGCTGTAAATCAAAAATAGAGTTACGATTAATTTTACTCGATTGCCTTATCTACAACGACTAATCATCAGGCCCCCGTTATAACTTGAATAAAAACATTTAACCCGATGTGTTCGGCATTGCAGAAACAAAAGTTCAAGCTTACCTAAGATCTGTGTCTTCAAGGACGAACTTTACATTTTCATTCGTCATATCTGTAATTGTAACCCGTGGCTGATTGGCGTAAGGCATATCCGCCTTAGTTCCACTGTCGACAGGACGATTATGTTCACTAAGCTGCCAAAAGCTGGCACTGTTCGTTGTGCTTCGTCTCTTAACAAAACAATCACGCACAAAGCATCACTCCCGGTCACTGATCATAGTTGAGAAATTCGATAACAAAACCAGTATATTATCATAACAAGCTATTCGAACACAACTTCGGCTGTGGTTTTACATGAATTGCCAGCAGCTTGTTCTCAGATCTTGAAGGCGTCTGAAAGTTTCCGAAGATTAGCGAAACTTTCCGTTGATTAGCGAGATTTCAAAAAAGCTACACGCAAGAGTTATATTTCGATTCTCATTCAGGTTTGATTGTTGGTAATTGTCGATCTCATGAAATTGCATAAATTGCCAAAATATTTAATTGGTAAGTCGATGTGAAATTTGCAAACTTAATTGCGCCATTATATACCAGCCGTATCAACTTCCGACGGCATCAGCGTGCAGCTTCCGAGGTTTGCTACAGAAGATCAGGGACCCCCACTATCCATTCTCTCTCCCCACAAGGCAGAGTGCGAAGAGCTAAAAAAAGAAGTTCAAATTCAATCTAGTTGGAAACTATCAAACGCAAAGTGGATATCGCTTGGTAAGTTGATCTTTGATGTACCACTGTGTATAGCCGAATATAAGTTTCATATTAAGAGTTGAAATAAAACAGCTGAGCGCATCAGCTGAATTTCACTCTCTTATACCCGGGCAGTTAACTGCAAGAAAATGGGTAGTCCTGTTCGTGCTTATTCGGAGAGCACCAATCCAGTTCAGTCCGATGTTAGCGAAAAACTCATCATTGACATCTCTTAAACTTACGTAATGATCCTCTACAGTCTGGCATTTACTTTAGATACAGATTTTATCTAAACAGTAGTATAGTTTATAAGCGTAAGAGATAAATATCTATATACACATACAGTTTGTGTAGATATTTCTGTATCTGTTTGACCTTCTGCTACCGTTGGCGTTTAATACCGTAGGTGGATTTGATGGATCTTGTACGAAGCCAGTACCACTAGAACATCTTGTATATGCTGTTGGTTTGAAATAGGGTAGTCGGCTAAGTAAACAGTAAACGTCGCGCGAAAAAACGCTTATTGCAATACTTTTTTGTATACATAGAAATTCGTTCCCTTGTATTCCTTTCTTCAGCTGGCATGGTGCTTCTGACGCTGGAACGCGGTGATTACGTGAAGCGCTACTACATTCGCTTTGTGTCGAATCGCGCAGTGTAAAAGAGCTGAATAGAATATGTTATAGAACGTTGGAATGTTCTAACAACTTCTAAAAGTTTTGATTTTTAGAACATAGAATTACATAACTAATTTACATGGCCAGCGAGGTATATAAACACTACAAATCAATGTGAAGGTTTGAAGAAGAGTGTGAACATTCTAGACATGCTGTATTTTTTTGTAATTAGAGTATCGATAAATATTAAATTACTTACTTAGAACTGCTATTGCTTCTGGTTAGCATAGCAGTTTACTATTTGCCTTGAAATGTCCACTACTGCACCAGTGCATGTATATGTGTATGTGTGTGTGTGTTATTATAGTGTACCACGTACAAACAGATGGTTATATCCAAAAATCATCGTCTGCAAAAGCTGAATTGTACAAAGGCAAAGCAGTTCGGCGAACCAGTAGTAGTGCTTTAACGTAAAAGAAGTTTTCATTTACAAAAGGTAAAATCAAACTTCGGCTCATGCGTTGGGTAATTTCCAAATGGGTTTTTTTTATAACGTCCCATTTCAATAATACAAAGCTAAAAAAAGCTCTAAAAAGCTCTAAAATACCATCAATGTATTTGTCTATTAAAAAAAACGTGCAGATCGTTCCAATGAGAAGCAAAGAACATATTGGAATTATGACGAAAAAAAACAAAAAATAGAGGCATAAGCATATAAAACAATACATTCATTAATGTAATTTAGCGTAATATTGTTTAACAAAAATATTGCTATTAGTGTTATAACATTATATTATCACAACAGGCATTTGTCGTTGCTCGCTACATCATTATTTCGACAAGCTTCGTGGCTGGGAATTTTAAAGGAATGCAAATTTTACTGGCATCACAAGAAGTATAGTCAGTATAATTGTGTAATGCCGTGAATTGCATAACCTAATCCGTAGATGAAAATAGGCTAAGAAAAAAAAAATGGGCTGTATCTGTAGTTTCAAAACGAAATCGATGTAAGTAAAGAAATCTTCCGCTTAGCTTTACAGAATAGAAATAATTGACATATCCTGTCGTATTTTGTTTCCTTATCCAAATTGCAAAAAAAAGCTCACGTATCAAATAACGGTAACATAGATCATCATTGATGTTATTGCTCATGTTATGACTATGTAATCACATGTACGTTTCATATCATCATATATATCTACATATATGTTTATATACGACAGATATTTTCGAGCACGATTTCAATAGCCGACGCTGTGACGTAATTTCGTTTTTCCCTAAAAAATAAATATTATAGCCAGGAGCTTCTATATAAAGTTCGGGTATAGTCTGTGTTTATAAAACATATCTACTCCACTCTTACGCATTAAGGGGCGATATTTAGCTTGGCCTTCTTTCCGGATATCGTGACGGCTCGTGTTCATCATACGTTTTGAATAGTTCAAGTAGGCCGTGTTTCATTGCGTTAAATAACAGGCCCAAATGATGAGGCGTCATTAGCAATGGCTGGTGTTAGTGCCATTTCACCTGTTTGATTCATTGGAACAAATTAGATTATTGCAATTATCGCATTGTCCTGTATGTCTAATATTACTGCTGTCGCAACGCTATCGGCACATTCAAAACCGTCGAATCTTGCGCCTTATTGCATACGTTGCAATTAGCCATAGATAAGAAAGTAAACATGATCGTCGCAGATGGGGCACAATTACTTGAAAACGAACGCCCCACCCAGTCTGTTGGGCCACTTTGAAATATCGCTCCAGAATTAACTACCCTTGGTTGGATAGATTTCCCTTCCGTTATGTCGGTAATAACAGTGATATCAACGAGCTCTATGGCATTCAAACCCTAAACTATCCATTCGCAATCGTCTCAATAACTTGTGCGAAAATAGTAAGTATATTCGTAAACTGTCTTAGGCACTTCTAAGGCATCGGCTTATTAGCATTGTATACCCAAGGTTCGAGTATTTCGTATTTCTTTTCTTGTGCACGGATATTACAAACTTTATGGGATATTGTCAGGGGAGAGAGGTGGATACAGAAACCATTCACGTATTTTCGCGCTTACGATGAAGTTGCTACCCTGAAAAAATAATGCTGCAGTAAACAATTTGATTAGAAGAGCCAGATATAATTAAACTTGCCGTGAGGATGGTTTACCTAAAATATTCGGTAATTTATAAAAAAAATATCAAGTCTAAAGACTGAAATTTAGTTAGGTAAACTAGGTAGCTGCTCGTTAATGCACCATTAGTTCCAATATCGACTGTTCTAGATCGTTGACTTAAGGAGGCGTGTTATATGAATTTAAAACGTTTTCTTTTATTGTGAGACGTACGCATTATGGTATGTTGTATGCATTTAGAGAAATGCATTTCCGAACAACCAACAATTGAATAGGTTTAACAAGTCGAAGCGTATTAGCCGACTCATGAAATGTATTGTAATAGTGCATCGTATCATTAATAAGCTTCAAGCTAGAAATCAAACTTCAAATCAGACTGTACGGCTGTCCTCTAATTCTTTTGTGTTAAATGGATATACGGAAAGCCGATTTGTTGTTGGTTCTGTGGCTATTGCTTACTGGTAAGGTGTGAAGTCAATGGGGTTTTCAAACGAAGTTCTCAACTTCCTCATTATTATTCTACTTTGCTGTCTGTTGTAACAGAAGGCATTTTTCTTTTTCCTACTCTGCAATGTTTACGTTTCAGCTATACTAATACGTTGCTTTGAAAAGGGTACTCGAGGGAAATGATTTACCTATCATGGCGGTAGCGTGCGCAGTCAAGAACGGTGAGTACTTCCTACTAAAATAAAAACATAATAAAAGTGTTTCTGCTCCTTTTTTTATCGAGAGACCGCTATGCTTTCTTGGCGTATACTAATCCCGTCTATTATTACAAGTTTAGAATATTGTTGTGTATTATATTGATATATATTATATATAAAAAAGTATTATTATATTGATAACCAATCAATAAGCTCCTCATTTTTTTCGATTTTGTCGTAATTTTACTAAGCATGAGAAGTTTATGACACCCTTATTTATTCATTATGTTTGTTCGTAGTTTAATGAGTTGTTCAACGAAGCCCAGCCCGCCAGTGATGCTAGCTACGTGCGAAGCGGCATACACGAACGGGGACACCTGGGACAATGGGTCTTCCTCGCCAGAACCCGAGCCAGATGCGTTTGAAGTTGAAGACCACGACGAAACTTACTCGGATGATTTCGCTGCGACTGATGACCAGATTTTGGGTGGCGGCGAAAACGAGCCATCTCAGGTAAACACAACATTTTTTGTTGTACCAATTTTTTTTCTTTGTTCCTAAGCTACCATTTTATTTAACAGCGAACAAAGGAAGAAACAAAGAAAAAAAAAAAAAGAAGAACAAAGAAACAAAGAAAAAAAGGAGTTTGTCCTTATCCTCCTGGATTAATGCATCATCTACTTATCGAACGAATATGTAAAAGTTGTGCATCGGGAACAATTAAACAGTCTTACCTTATTCTTAGTCTAGTGTTTATCAAAGCTTACGTCATGTGCCGATCCCACAATAATAAAACAGTGATGAAATCGATGATAATGGTACAGCCCAAATGAAAGCTCCATAAAGTTGACTCGTTTTTGCTGAACATACAGTTCTATATGAACCTCTAGTCCGATTCCATTCAGGTTCCAACGTTCCTGAATAGAATTCGAAAGGAAAATTGTTTCACTACTCTAATATATACGTTGTTTGTATTTGTCAGGATGAGCCCGCTGTGATAGTGGTTTCAGCTCCACCGCCGAGGTCGTTGCTCAATCCCAGGGTTCATCTGAATACGGAGAGACCCCTTCAAGCAGACGATATCACATCATCTATGCTAGCGGAAGAATGTCCTCGCTTTGCTTTGCTGTTACAAGCACAGCCGGATTGCGTACTGGCACCATTGATCCAGGAAGCCCGTTGGTGGTGGCCATCGAAAGAGGAAGTTCACGGGGATCGAGCCACAATTGCATGCGCAGATGACATCGAAAGGTATACAAGCCTTTTATTTGTGCCCCTAACCCTAAACGGCATATGAAAATTAAACATTGACCTAAGCATACAATGTTTCAATATCTATCAGTTTATGTAGAAGATAGTTTATTGGTTTGCGTGGCGTCAGCTCGAAAGTATCTTTGCGTGTCGTTTATTCGATACCCGTTTGCAAACTAGATTTCACCAGCTTTTTAACAGACTTCACCATGTTTCAGGTGTCGTCTTTGCATTCAACACGCACTCTGTCGAAGCCTTCCTGCAATAATCCGTGAAAAATACACACGGCATGACCATACCTATTGTGAATATGACCATGACGCAAGTGGGACTTCAATTATTGAAAGTGTGGTACAAGACTTAATTGAGAAAAAATATGCAGAAAGCTTAGCTAAACTTTGGCAACGTTCTACAGTCAAAAGCAATCTATTCCCAAATCACACGCCACAATCCGAATTGAAGGGCTCTCCTATGGAAACGATAGACGATATGAATTTTCAAATAGAAGACATGGAAACGACCCATTCCAGTAGAACAGCGAAGTTCGAGGAAGTCGAAGTGGCCTCAGATGTTGGCACAGACGAGGGAACATGTACCGTTTTCGATAGTGCAGCTGGATCTGGAGAAATTGTCGACCTGCCCGTGTTGCATGAGATTCAGCACCAAGCAGCTATTGCCAAAGCAGAACCTGCGGAAGAAGATGAGGTTATGTTTGTAGTTAAAGCTACAACAGACAAAGCCGGCAAATGTTCGAAGACGGATATTATTATTGAAAAGCATTTCGTATTTAAAGCAAACGACGGTTCTCTTGACTTTGTTTCAAGCGCGTCTTCACATGATCTCAAAAGAGCGGAAACGTTTTTGACCGATAATCCAGGTGCACAATTTTGTGAAATGATCATTGACGAACAATTCTGTCAGCAACAATCGGCAGTTTATGAAGACGATAATGATATATTGGAAACTTGTATGGAGGTACTCAACGGCATAGTGCAAAGGACTCATGATCAAGTTGAATCTAGCAGAAACAAATCGCTAGATAAGGGAGTTTCTAAAAAAAAGATTCACTCCGTCAGCCGTTCGAGAGATTTAACAGCTGCATCGGTCGGCAGCTTAGCTCGACATACTAAGGGGGTTTCGGAAAGGCGAACGACTCGAGGTTTAAAAATAGACTTCGTAAAATTGGACTCGTATGGTGTTAAACGCAATGAGCGTGTTGCCAACGACGATATGAATTTACGCGGAACTGACGCTCGGTTCTCAGCCAACGCTTACAAAGGAGTAAGTTGTGGGAGGAAAAGGAAAGGCAAAGCACTCCGTCCGGTTATTCCAAGCAAGTGGACCCGTCGTGAGAACACCAGTGCCGATTGCGCAGCCGAAAGTGACACGGAAGATTTAGTTGAGTGTACTAACATTGAATATAGCGGTGAAGCGGCATATTTCTTCAATCAGTACCCAGACTTTCGGCCAGAGATGCTTGAGGAAGTGACTGATAGAACGACCTGCTCATGTGTCTCATGCGACCCCAGGATGACCCTACTGAGGCAGCAGGAGAACTACCTTAGCGAGTCAGACTTTTTCAAGACGGCGCGCTTCGTTAACCGGCTGAGCGCTCTGCAGGATGAAGAGATAGAAGATCAACAGGAAGCGTCTTCTACCAGTTCTAGCAGCTCGTCAGATGAGGACTCAATAAATTCACCCTTTTCATTAACTGAGTCATTGTCGTGCAATGGTCCCGACCCATGTAATATGAGCAGATCAAAATTGGCGCCAAAAGACACTTCACAAATGCAGGTCCATGACTGTCCTTTTTGCGATCAAAAATATTACTCCGCAGATGATTTACAACGTCATCTTTCGGTTCACGAATTTAAAGGCGGTAAAGGACCGATCTCATCTAGGTACGTAGCGAAAGCTTCAATTTTGTCTGAAAAAAAAATTGCGTAATTTCGCATTACTCAGATGTTAAATTTTTTATTACTCTTTCTTTAGAAATGTTTTTACAGAACAATTTACATATACTAACGTTGTATACTGTACAGATTTAATGAGATCATAGGTTAGGGATCAACCACTGAGCAGTGAAAGCCTCTTGTTTCATTACAAAGATGTGTTTGCAACTCACAAACTGAGAAATATTCAACCTTGCAGGTGTTCTGTGTGTGATATTGTCTTTCGGGATCTCCGTGTTATGAACGGCGTGCTGTACCATAGGTCCGGGGAATCTCACTCAGCACGACGGGATCAGCATGAGCGACGACATAGACCTAACGCGCTCAATTGCGTCTATCCTCAATGCCGCAATTACGTCTTCGGTAGCCGGCAACGTTTAGGTGTTCATATGGAGCTACATCGACAATGTGTTGTAGCTGGGGGTGTCGAACAATGGGAATCACAAGAGCGTAAAGATGCCCTTAAAGATCAACTGGGTCAACCACATATTTCTTGCGAGTTCTGTCAGGCTGAATTCAACTGGCGAACTCGCACTAGTGGGATGTGTACACACGTTGAACGCTTCACGAGACATCGAGAGAGGCATATGCATTACGAAATGCTCGGAGAGCCGTTTCACTGCGCAATCGAAGGTTGTCAAAGTTCGTTTAGCGAGCAGGCTGATCTTGAAGAGCACATGTGGCTCCAGCATGCTGTCAGTTGCTACTGCGTAACATGCGACTGGATCGTATGGGGCGATCCTTCAGATACTCAGGTGCACCGGAAAAACTGTAAAGGTTTATTGCCTACCTTGGGTTGTTCGGAGTCGTTTGCCAAAAAAGATCCCGTTCTTTTGATTAATTCTAATAATAAGGTATTAGTTAAGGCCATTAAAGGTCTAAATCTCAACGTGAATGACAAGGCGTCACAACAAGCAACGACAACATTTATTTTGCGGTCGAATTTGCCTCGTGTTAGCACCATTAATGAGCAAACACAGAATGAACTTCATCGTCCACCGATATCATTAACCTCGAACACTCTTACTAATCAGTCAGGAGCCTCATTCGACGTACCGGTTGTCAAGCCACGAGGTCGGCCAAAGCTCCTGAAGAATTTCTTCCCAAAAGCTAGTATCGTTCGTGACAGTAACTCTGCGGCATCGGCTGTACATCTTATGAATTTTAGTTTCTATTGCGATTTTTGCGGGGCACCATTCCGACGTCACCACGCAAAACAGCATCAGTCACACGTCGAAAGTCACATGCCCGACCGGGAACTAACCTGCGTTTTCGACGATTGCGGAATTAAGTTTGAAAGGCGGGAAGAACTGCATGCGCACGTCAAAACCAAACTGAGCACGTGTCGTTATTGTGGCTGCGTTCTGTTCGAAGGTTACAAGAAGCACATTTCGGCATGCCGTACGCTGCATGAAATGGAGAAACAGAGATCATATCGCGAAAAGATAGCCGAAGTTGATCAAGCACCTGGTAGTCAACGTCGTGATCTCCGTTGGGGAGATAACGGCCAATTACTAGCAACCAACGGTGTCCTAAAGCCTGATGAAGCTCAGATGGAATTCCTTCGAAACGTTGGCCTAGCAAAAGGAAGCTTGGAGACGATCCGAGAGAAGGAACGAATCCGCGAAAAGCTCCGAAGTCAAACGCATGTCGCGAACGGCAAAGGCCGACGATCCTGCACGCTCAGTGTGTCCTGCTCACATTGCGGACATGTGTTTCGCAATTCGTTGAATCTCAAGCAGCATCTAAGAGAGTACCATGACGACGTTAGTAATCGGTAGTTGACCTGGAAAACACTCGGCAAAAATATTTTTAACGAGAATTTCGATTAAGATGCTAGGGGATTTAGACCTTGTGTGTAAAAGACAATCAACTAAAGTAGACTTACAAGGTTCCGGGCAGTCACAGGCAAACAGCACAATGCATTGTGAAAGTAAACAGTGCGCCTTCATGCCGGTTGTGCAGCCCATAGCGATTCACTTATTGTATATATGCAACGTAATAGAACACGACTAAACACGTAAGCCGTTATGCGAGTCTTCTCAGACCTGGTCCTAGCTTCCCAGTCGAAATATAGAATGCGGTTTCAAAGCTACAAGTCACCAAACGCTGAGATTAGCAGTTTGTGGATAATGACCTATCTGTGGATGTTGTCGTAATTTTTTATAGAAAAAGTAGTCCTTTTTCCGGATTAAAAGTAGGAGTGATTCCGGATCGAAAGCTCAGTATACGTTTATCTTATCGGTATATATCTAAGACCCTCAACCTTGGGTAACAAAATCGTGGTAAAGAACACTTGGTTGCGAATATGAGCTATTGTACATTCGGTCTTTGATTTACTCGTTATGCATCGTAGTACCAGTTAGAATGGTAGTTAGTATGATTATTGTCATTATTATTAAAGGCAGGTGTTGCCACTTTGAACATACTGCTCACTGTTGTACCAGCTTATATATATATATGTTATATATATATATACATATATATATTAGGTAATTTTGTGCAATTAAAATAAGAAAAATCCGTTGTACGTTGATGCAAACATTTTACGGTGTTTTTTATTTGCTTTGATATTCGTTTGTTTAACTTTAACTAAATTTGGAAGCGATTACGATGAAGGTGCAAACAGCTGATTTTTTCGAAACATAAAAATCAAAGTAGAAACGGCCTTAGCTTGTGGTCGCAGTTTTTAAACAAATCATGGATATTGGTCTACGCTAGAGATTGCGTTACTTTCATCATGTATTGCTTCCTTCCTTAAACTTAAACAATGTTTGTCTTTTAGATCCCTAGTGAACTCACTTCGTTGACCACTTATGTATTGTTATTGGATATTTATACGCCCTGATACATTCACTAAGAGCTTTTTGCAATTACTACGTGACTAATTATGGCCTCTTATTGCATCCTCCAGGCGATATGACGTATGAAATATTCGCTGACCAGATCAAATAATTCATACTATATACAATTTGCCAAAATCTTTATATATATATATATATAATAGTATTAGTGAAGTTACCAATATCATTTAATAAAACTCTGCTAAATGTTTTACTTAGGTGCTTAATTAGGCAAAGGGATTCAATCGCTGGGAGAAATACGGTTAGTGGTAATAATGCGTGCACCTTGTGGTTATTTGTGGTGAATGTGCTAATGAAAAATTCCACTCAAATTCCGAGCTATTCAAAATATGGTAATATAAATCTATTATAGCTATACTTAGCATAAAGTCATCAGCTTTGACATTAAGAGTGCATTGCGATGCTTATCGAACCCTTAACATTGTGAATATTAGATGATAATTTGGATCTAATTTTTAACCCTCTCAATCCATGCTGTCGTTCGCATCTCGAGAGAAACAACCACGTACATTCAAAAATTATTTTTATTAGTAGCTAGCAATAAATGACTCGCACACTAATGTTACGACTCCCAGGCGATAGTAAAAAGACGAATGATAAAAAAAATATATAGGAAAGACTGGGGCTATATGGGCTAAACCTGCTGAACACTCAAGCAAGTTAAACACCAAGCGCCAAGTTAAACAGTCCAAAGGTGAGGATCTGCCTACCGTAGGCCCACTTGAAGTTCTGTGCGGAGCTGATTTTTGAATTGTCTAGGTAGTAGCACATCTACCAACGCGTTTGGTTTGAGAAGGCACAAAGAACAGTTACAATCTACGTATAGGTATCTCAATCCAACTTGAGCAGACCGTATAACTATCATGACTATGCGTGAATTTAATATATATAGTTATTTACAATTAATTCTGATCTATGATCGTGACTACGCGCAATGTGGTGTATATGTCGACAATACTGTTTCATCCGAATAATGCGCTGTGCCACTAAAATCGTTACTGTTTATTTAAAAAACAAGCGTGCTCATGCCACATGTCGTTGTTGTCAACGGCGATGCCTCAGTTTGACGCACACATTACGCATTCACACAGAGCACAGCTATGCTTTGAGGCCATTTACTTATTTAAATTTTTCTTCAAATTAACACTGATGGCACATAGTTTCATAAATGCTCAAAATGCAGCCTGGCCCAGATAGTCCCAACGTGATTTAATGTAGGTCAATATAATGACTTTTATAAAAAAAAAGTTTACTTGCTTTCAGTTTATCTTTGATAATCTAGCTTTGAAACAGGCGAAACTGCGATAGAAGCTCTAGCTGGTTATTTTGTTTTCTTTATCGTTCAACTAAGGTTCGATAGAATGCGAAAAAAATACTTAGCTGTCCGATATAATTTTACCTTTCAAGATTTATTCAAACAAGGATCCAGTAATGCAAATAGCACTAAATTCCTGACCGTGTGCATCTTGAAAGTTCCGGAACATGAATAGTATCCAATTCTTAAATCAACGTGCCCTTGCTTGAAAAAGCAGACTGGCCCAGACGGCTCTTGTCCCATATAGCCCCATTTTCCCGTATATATATATATACATCGGTCTAAAACTTGCTAAAAGTCGCTGCTGAAGCATAGCAGTAATAACACAGCTATATTATTCTCATTAACTCATCGCCCGTGCGCATTTTTCATTCGGTTTATTACCATCATCTTCGTCGTCCGTCATAGACTTAAACTGTTCCATTCAACATTTGCCATAACTTCTCTTCGCTTTGAAACAATCATTCAACGTAACTGTTCTCATCTTACGTCTTTTTATACTATCGATATTCACGAATCATGAATGTTTCTATAGAAAGTTGCTCTTGCTATTGCTGTTGGTTTCAAGTATATATTTATATATATATGTTGAGTATAGCTAGAAGTCGGTGTCCATTACTTCTGTTCTATCTAATGCAACAAGTCCCTCCTACTAACATAGCAAATTTTAAATTTCTTTTTTAAGTAGTTTTCCTCAACTGGTATATTTCCGTCGCTATCAGTCATATGATATAATATCACTTTTTCTCGTATCATTTATATTCTTATTATCTCTACCTAGAATAGTATTCGCAATGTTACACTATATAGCAAGCAGCTAAATCACGTGCCTGATTAAACACATTGTTGTTATTTTTTGTATGATTATCCACGACCTCTGCTATATTTATATCAATATATGGCGTTTTTTTTACTGAGATATATATTTTAGCACATACCTCAGCTGCTAATTATTACTATTTTATTATTGTTTCACCGTCGTCTTCTGTTTCATTATTGCTGGCGCTGCCTCTCTCTCATTGTGTGGGGAAGTAGTTGCTTTCCTCCACTTCTTTCACACGTAACGGACATATGACGATGCAAACTTCCGGCGAGAAGCTCTGTAAACTTCTTTCTGCCTAAGCAGTCCGTTTCTTGTTCGACGCTACCAACAAGCAATCGATCGTTCTTTACCACTCGTTGCCACTTTTTCGCCCTTTCCAGAATCGTGCTACATTTCTGTCAGTCTGTACGTCCGTGCGTTTGCTTATAGCCTACTCGTACGATAGTTTTCCGTTCACCAAAGGGCCATCAAGACTATGCTTCGCTTCGTTCCTCATTTACCAGACTCGACCCGACACAGAAACATATTCCCATTTCTCTCCCCATAATCTATTTTCGATGGTCTTTACGTTTTGTGACATCTGCAAATCGTTAACTTAATCATTGGCTCTCGCGAGTGACTTCTCGATCAGTCGTTGCTTAAATAACTAACTAACCACCAATCTATCTGCAAAACAACTACACCGATAATCATTCATCCACTTGATTCAAATCAGCCATATCCATTGATGCTAACATCATCATCACCATCATTGCAAGGTACCATCAATTTTTTTCTATATTTGTCTCAGTTCTTCCTCTTTCCTTCTTATCATTCAACACACGACAAGCTTATTTGCATATATATCTATATATATATAATTCGAGACTAGCTCAAAAAAGGAGACGTTTAGTTTTTGGCTTTCTCCATTATATTTTTCACGCAAATACGAAATAAATATTCCAATAAAAAAACAATTATCGCTTTCTCAACAATGCTAATTTCAGCATAAATATATAGGAAATCGATCGTCGACGATTTCCGAAAGTATGCTACTGAGTGTGTATGCTTTAAGATCCCATAACTTTACCTGCTCAGATAATCATTATCCTTCTCTTACATACTTTAGCCTACTCCAATCCTCTGTGAGGCTTTTAGTTTAAATCTCGATGTAAATATTCACAATAGATCTTTCTCTATGTCCATTAAGAATAATCTACCACTGCGATTCGTACAGCAATAGGTCCTGCTAAGTCACGTGTTCGCGGTTCGTCTCCTCTTTAGACAGATAAGATCATAGCAAGTGCTGGTGCTGCAGTTTTGGTCTTTCATAGTTTTTTCTCTTCTTTAGACCAAATTTAGATACTAGATAGGTAGCTCGAGAAGCTGTTGCGTTTGTTGTCATCTAGGTTTTATTGTTGTGATATTTCTACCAGATAGCCTTCCTAAGGCAATAATTTCCATCAACCGTATTGGACTATTGCTTGCGATGCTACTCTTTCATTTGTTGTCTCTAATTGGCATCCGCTTGCAGGTGCACAATGACCAGTTAGGCGAAATCGTGGGGCCTACAGAACTCGTTGCTTCGATCAGAGGTCACGTACGGGACTTAAGTTGATTCATACGGATAGCGTCTGACTGTTGATAGGTTACGCAGAAGCAAATTTCCAACGCTTCACTATGCCTTATAATATTTATTACTGAGTCATATATCGGTGTGTGGTGGGATGATGTTTGATGTTTGCCTGAAGCCACCTTTGTACGCCAGTAAGGGCGGTTATTGAAGAACATGAGACGGCCAAGACCCTTGAAATGGCCTGAAAAGACGAGTGAAATTACTTATGCCGTTTTGCAAAACACACCACCTAGGTACTTTTAAAGCAAGTGCTTCCGGTTTAGGGGACTGTGTTCTATGTAGCTAACAGTCCTGCACCTTTCGATGGGTCTAGATGCTTTAGCAGTTCAGAAAGGGTTTCTATAGCGACGCTAGAAGTGCTCTCAGTTTCGGCAGCCTGAGACTGGTGCAGCCCTTTTCGCGAGCCTGTCAGATTTTAAAACGACAGGTAGATTATGGATTAAAGGTATCCTTTGTTGTCCAGTGAGCTGCTTTAGTAGCCATAACGTTCGCGTACGTTGTTAATGAGCCTCACACATTTGTCGAATTTGCCGTCGTGGTGCCATTAGCGTTGCTAACTGTTCCTTCCGTACTGTCCACCAGAACCAGTGACCCCTTACGGACCTAGAAATAAAAAAGCATCAAGAAACTATAATTGCAATAGGTCTGGTATCCAAAATAAGGTAGTATATATTAAATTGTGCATACTACGCCTTATTGAGGCGATGTGTTGAAGGATGAGGAACCTGGACATTAATCGGACTTTAGTAGTGAATGAGGTAGGCACGAGTAGAATTTTTTTCTACAGACCACTATACGTAGGAAATATTTACGAGAGTAGCAGATAAGCAAGGACATGGTTTAGAATAGCTCTTGTTAAGAGAACAATGTCTGAAATGGGTCTACAATAATTTAAAGAAAGAGGACAGCCTAATAGTGGTTTCTAAAGAAATTTGCTAAATAATCATCTGTTTAATTTATTTTTCAATCTTTAACATGTTTTCTAAATACATCTAAAAATGTCAGCATGGCACCTATCTCTACTGAAACCTCCTTTCCTGCTTTGCGTTTACTATCGCAATCTTGCGTTCGTGGACTCTTAGGACAGCACCCCCAAGGACAAGGCTTAGCTCGCATAAATGTGCTTCCTAAAATACCAACTTGTTCGCTCTGTTGCCTCGTCAGCACATACTTGCAATTCCCGATATCGGCTTCTCTTTTCCCTCAATGCCATGATAGTATTCAATATTCATTCCCCTTCCTTTATTCTTACCACGCCTCTAGCGGCTGTCGACGTGTTCGTGCGAACTCTTGCGTGTCCTCACCTGCTTTGCTTTCTGAGCACTTGTACGGTACTACAAAAGCTACACGGATTCCTACTCTGCAATGCTAGCACTATGTTGCGTAAAAACACGTTCATAGCTTTGAGTATCGCCGTTGGCTGGGGGTAAGCTTAGGCTAACACCTGTTTCGAATTAACCTCAACGTAGCGCTTATCATCTTACATCTATCAAAGTAGTAGCAAAGTAAGATATATATATATATATATATATATAGCGTATACCAATTTACTGCAGTATCGAAGGAGCAACATACCTTTCCTGATGAAGTAGAGTTGCTTTTATGGATTCCGACACTCGAACCTTCAGTATCTATGTGTACCTATAATAAAGAGCACAAAGTCACGTTAAATAATTACTCGAATTTTTCTTGTATGTAACATACCATACACTCGTCTACCTAGTTAGATCACTGTAGCAGTATGAAACAAAGAATATGCTGATGGTCAACAAAACAGGAATGCCTAAGTGAGCTTTACCAGATTCATGTTATACTATACGTAACGGTTCACGAATTTTTTCATGGAAAATCTGTCATTAAAGTTTGCAATTCCATCTCTCAAGAAAATAACGTCTGTATAACAAAAGCTCTAACTAAATTTCGTAACTAGTCTCTACATACTACGCGCCATTTAGGCCGATTGGAGATATCGTTATATATCTTGAACATATATAGACACCTTTCCTAGCCCCAAAAAATACGGAAAGTTGAGAGAACATACTTCTCACAGTACATAGTTACTTAGCTAGCGTCTACAACATGTCCTGATAGACGTGCGATGTGGGTCTTTCAAAGTGTATTTAGAAATCCCCGAAGTATCTGGACATCTGCTGGTTGAAATATCGTCATAACACGCAAACAGTAAACTGAACGAAGAGCGATATCGCGAAATTATAAGCATTAGCTGGGCAACATTGTCCAGGTAAGTTTATGTTGACCATGTAGCGTAAAACATTTGTCGATTTATTAGACGGCCATAGGTTTCAAATAAAAGGTTTGTATCTACCTGCACTTGAAGAGATGGCCAAAATACAGTACATTATCGATGTTAAAATATAGTAGAGTTTGACAAAGGGATTAGTATGAACCGCAGTTGTCCTTTATACGCACGGTCTACCACAGTTCATGTTGGCTTAGTGAAACTTTGGATATGACCACGTCTTTTATGCTCTGGTAATATAGAACGGTTTAAGAATTCGTACACTAATCCGGTCTGATCCCGGCGAGAAACAGCACATAAATGTTTGCAGGGTTATTGACTGGCCAGCTGAAGAACCTAGTAAGCCCGTACGTAAGTATACCGCGCGTCAAAATTTGCAACATTATGTTACAGGCTTCTCTTTGGAATTGGTGCAGGATATCTATGGCCATTTCGCGTGTATTGGTTGTAAGGTGTTAATTTCAATATTTACATATCGAAGGTGTCTTCACTGTTAACTCGTGTTTAACCCAACTTTCGGAAACAACATTCTGCTGATAGCAATTCATGAACTATATAATTCAATTTAATTAATGATAAAACCATTCAGCAATTTTGTCGAGTTAGTTAATTTAGATCAGAAACCAGATCAGGATTGTTGAATTTAGAAGTACCTCTAATGACAAAAAAATTAACACTTGACATAAAGCCGTCATTTCCTTAGACGAAAAACCACAATGGTGGCTTGTGCTTCGTGAATCATAGGCATAGAAGCAAAATAAGTCGCCAACAAACGCAATAACAAAAAAAAATGATTAAATTATTTGAAGGCGACGGAGGACGTAATGGGCTAGTAATGCTTAAAATTTCGCACAACTTGTTTTAGCACATACTTCGAACGCGATGCATATTGGTTATGCCGCAACTGGTTGAAGGGTTTGGTATAGATTTCACAAACCAAAGTCTGAAACAAGTGCTTAGGGGATATTAGTTCCTCCGTAAACTCTTGCAAGAGAAGTTTGAAAAACCTGAATTTATAAGGCTCTTTGCTTGGGAAGCCGTTTGCGTACTACAGAAACGTTAGCAGTTCCTATCTTTCTAATATGTAAACAAAAAATAGCAAAATTCAGACTATAAAATAATTTCCTTTTTATAAAAATTGGCGCTATGCCATATCATACCTATTCAATGCAGTCGGACTTGCGTTGATGAAATTTCCAGTTGCCATTAATGCATATCCTTAAACGTACCTTTTTAACTCGTTTGGATTAACCGTTGTTTGAAGGTGTTACACTACGTATTTTGACACGATGACCTGGAGGGGAAGAACTCTGGTCGAAAGAAACCATGCGATTGCTGCTTCTATTCCCGCCACTTACATAAAAGTACCATACAATTTTTATGAATAAAAAGAGCTACTTTTTGTACTCGCGCGGGTACTGCTGGCACCACGAAACAAAGGCCGCTCAGTAAAGACATTCATAAGTTACACGTGAAAACTAGACGATTGCCAATACGAACGCTTATTCCAACATTTAAATGATTCTTCTGGACTTTCAAATTATTTCGAGAACTTAAAATTGTCCGTAAATTCATACAGCGACGTGTGGTTGCAAACTGGATAAACTATTTCAATGCAAGATCTCGCCCGAGTTATGGAAATAAAACCTCTTTAATATTCAATGTTAATGCTTAAACTATAAACTGGTATAGTTCAATTAATATATATAAAGTTCTGCAAAGAAATTGACAACTTGAAGGGAAATGAGTTCAGAAGAAAGCACGTTTTTTAGTCTCAAAAGTCATGATCAAGTTTTTGTTCCTTGAAGGTCACAGCGCCCTGAAAATTTATCGAAGGTTGGTGATAATAATGTCTACCGCCAATCCAGAGTAGGACCAGGTATCGCCCTGGAGAGAAACCTGTAGGTTTGTAAGATGACAATAGTATCTTAAATGCACATCAAAGGGCATCTATTACTATGAGATACTTGCCGAAAGTAATACAAATAATGCAGCGCGCGAGTTCGTCAAGACACTCATGTGCTGCTCGCGCAACAATTGAAAGCAGATAGTCGGACCGCCTGACGACAATGTCAGACATCATCGCCAGGGCTCAATTGCTTCCAGGATTGAGCAAAGATATATCCAAGATCTATCAACGTCGAATATTCTTCAAGAAATTTATTAGGAATAAGCAGGTTGAAGCCGTTTGTGCTACATCTGTAATCCTAGCCTTTCATGGCCTAGAAAAGGCGCCTGGTGGGCAAGCATGGTTGACCATCGATTTACTTCCGAGAATCCATAGGTCCACAGTTAAATTGCATATAAGAACGCAAACGCTGGTATATAGGTATCCACAATCTGCCAAAGCGCTATGATGCGCGTGCGAAAAATAAAAGAGTACTTCTAATACATATTAAAAAAATCATCATTTAAATTCAACTAATTTAGAAATGATCCAGTTTCAGACATAGTCTACCGTTAACACGAATTTTAGGGTTAATGAGAACATCCGCCGTCGAATAGTTTGGTTGAAAGTGCTGGTCTGCGCGACCTAGAGAGACTTGATATGATCGTTCTCACATCATAAGCGCGCTTAAATTTAATCACACCACCACGCGCACACACCGCGGTAACCTGGTCCGTCGGTGGGCTTCCACTTGGGCAAAGTAGCGCTCGTCGGTAAATTACTGAATACATATTTAAAGCGATGCCTTTGTTCACTGCTCACTACCACCATGTTTAAAAGGTAGCACACACGATACTGGACCTCCTCAAGAGATAGTATTCTCTGAATGTATGATTAAATTACCCACACGCTGTAAGCTTGAAGGTCCTGGTCCACGTAAAGCGTACGCGTAGTGTGCATTTTTTGTGTATTGTAATAGCTAACCGCTGAATTTATGTATCCCTGCAAATAGTCAACTGGTCAAGAACTATTAACCTGAAGCAAGGCCATATGTCTTATGTGACTCGATGATGACTAAAATCTATGCATAGCAACTAGACAAGAAAAAAATCTAGTCTAAAAGCCAGCATCATACCCTTCGCAGGTTAAATTCGAAATTAAACAGAGTCTAGAAACGGCCACAGATTTACATTAAAATAAGCATCTAATTTAAATCAAAGCTGACCCAATAAGAAATTCTTCATTTGTCTAGTTACCCCACATATGAATTAAATCTATATATAGCATAAAAAGTAGACGGCATTAATTATGCATGTTAACCGAAAAAAATAAATAATTAAGACATTGCAACATTGATTATCCAAAGAACAGTTTGAGCGCATTACAACTGATTGCATAGTTAGTCATTAGCACGAGAAACCGTCGTCCAGTACCGCTATCGGGTGGATATCTTTTCCTATGGTTGTGCGATGGATTGTATTGATCGTTCGCTCGAGTGCACGAACCTGTGAAATCTCGATGCTTTCGTCGATGGAGCCGAGGGTTTCGTGTAACTGCGCCTTATACGCCTCACGCTTTGATACGCCGACTGCGCCGGCACCAGAGGCTGCTCTTATGGCCGCACCGCCTGGTACCTCCTCTTCCTGAAATCAGAAAAAAAGGACAATTCTCTAGTAGATCAAGAGTAACGGTAAATCTCAAACACAACTATAAGTTTGACGAAACGACCCTCACAAGCATCTTGGTAATCATAAACGGGGCTTTATGTTGCCGCTAATTTGAAAACCATTGAAAAAATAGCTATTATTTATCACGAATTTTTGAATGTTAACGAAATCGATGCATATTAGTTTTGACTACGACGTCTATTGAAGAGACTGATTTATATCTCTGGTTAAATCCGAATCAGCTGAGCCCCAAAAAAAGTCAAATTTGAATTGGCGATTGGAAGGACGAGAAATTAACTAGGAAATGTACGGATCTTCAAAACTACAAAAGAACATGGGATAGTTTGTGAGTGTATAATGTAACACCGCAGAGTGTAATAGGTGTTCACAGTCGAACACGCTACGATGATCAGAGAAGAAGCGGGTACCGAAAGTAATCTGCTGTATATTTCGAATACGTTTACTAATTATTCTCGACCGAGCGATTGTTGTTACAGAAAATGAAGTTGTCTAAGAAAGGACATCTTATCCTCTTTCGACAGATAACTAATGCACAGATAAATAAAAGTCTCGATCAGTAGAGCAATATTGCATTGATTCGCCCATATAAGAGTATTTATCTTGTAAGTATTGCGTAGTAACATGCGTCCTAGCAAGTTTTTGTTTCAGTTTAACTCTATCAACCCACCACCTGCGATAGAGACACATTGAGAAGCCGGACCTAACAACCCGTTTTGTGCATGTAGCTAGTCGCCGGAAGCCATGTTTAACGTTAGGACTGGTCGTGAATCTCGGCACATCTAATCACTTGGGCGACGGCTATGTTAAACAACGAAACGGGGCTGGACCAGTGGCCTTAAGTCTAGCAGTTTAAAACCACACTACATCGGTTGAAGTTACAGCAGCGATGGTACACATGCGTCTTTCTTAACGTCTAAATTGAGTGACGAAGTATTACATAAAACACGCGTTCGATAAAATTCACCTTGTTGTAGGCAAATGCAAAAAAGTAGAGGAAATCGATTTAGTTATTGATACACTGATGATTTCAGCGAACTTTGAACAAAGTTGAAGGCGTGCACTTACACATCGTATGACTACCTCGTTATAGGTGTGAGGCGGATTGAGTCACCATAAAAATATGTTTATACTTGGGCTATCAATTTTCGGGTCACAGAAAGATGACCACTGTCTTCGACCACTGAAATAGACATTCGGCTGGACTTTCGATAACTATATGCTTTGAGGCCGATACTATCTTAGTTTAGCACCCAGACGACTGGCGCCAAACACGAAATAAACTGGGTTTGCGCCCTGCTCTTAACATAAATTACTTTGCCGTCACGCAGGCCGCTAAGACAGACAGTTGGACATGGACCAAGCTTTCGAGTGTAGAAGTTTTCGCCAAATTGCCAGCAATAATAAAACGTAAGAGAAGTGATTTTCCCAACCGAAAGCATACCAAGCTGAAATCATTATTTTCGTTATGTACAACAGTTTGAAATTTAATCTAGTTTGCACAGATCATCGCCAACGTAGAACCTTCTCCAACACCGCCAATATTAGTTATCGATACGAGCAGTAGCCGCTAAAAGTTTCATTTGAATGGTAGTGTCATAAAAAATCAAATGGAAGACGGGGGAGCCTTATCTGCTCACGCTTGCTTTTCGTCTAGGTGTCGTTTTGAATTCTAGGCGATATCGCAGCTTACTGGGCAAAGAAAATTGAAGAGGTTTTTTGAGCCTTTGACAACACATAGCTTTATCACCGCATGTCGCAATTACAGCAATGACCGCTGTTTCGGAACGACGTGCTAGTGCATTCCGCACCACCTATATAAGCTATTTAAAAAGAAAAACTATGTTGATGTTATTTTGTTTCTGCAGAACACCTGTTTGCAAAGCACGCTTAGAGATAACTTTGAGACTAGGCAAAAACTTAGTTCGACATTGATGATGTGATTTAGAAGTGATCATTCCAATCTAACCAATCGAATAAAGGTCGCCTAAAGAATCAGTTCTATATAATAGGTAGTAAGCCATTGTTCTAACTGGCGCACAAGGAGTAAAAATCAATCAAGTATTGATTAGCGGTTCAACCCACCGGTATCTATAGTATTTTACGATAAATAGTAAAACTAATCTCAACCATTCTATTAACGGTGAAAATCTATCGTTATCTGTCATCTCCGTTGGGTTGTAGTGTTCTACAAATGCAATTCGCTCATAAATTCGGTTCGATTTGCCGCCTCGAGCCCTGAAAGGCTTGTCTTGCGCTAAACCCACTCAGGCCAAAGGAGTGGGCAACGGTTGAGCAATGGAACTGAATAGAATATTCTTTACTCGGAGAGCAAGGTTTCACAAAGTGATTGAGAAGAGCTTCAGCTTCCTTCGCGTTTTTAAAATATATGCATTTATATATATGTCATGAACAACAAAGATTGAAAGATAGCTAGAAAAGAATACGACCATATGGAAGTTACTGCGCACCAAGCGAAATTCGAACGAAAATCAGAAGGATTCTACCAGATCCACTCGTTTTCTTGACCCGTAATAACGCGACATTTTTAGTACATATTGCTTTCGGAATAAAAGCAACGTGCCAAAGAAAAATATATTGAACTATCTCAATATGGGATATTAGGGGTAGAGAAATACTTATTCGTTTCTCTCGAAGTAGAGATTGTCGAAAAACGATTGACTTTCGAGCTGTCTTATTTCGAAATTGTCTAAGTGTACCTTGAATTTTTCTGCTGTGCATTATTTTGTCAGAGCATATCGGTTAGATTTTCAATCCTATTTGACTGAATCGTTGTAAGTGCTACAATTTTCCCACACCGAATCCTAAACATGCTCGTATACACACATGTATACACATGAGTAGCATGCGCTGTTAGTGTCGTTTCTGTTGGCTTTGTTATTCTTAGAGCTATTTAAAAAGAAAAAACTACATTGATGTTACTTTGTTACTGCTGAACACCTATTTGCAAAGCACGCTTAGAGATAACTTCATTTTTGCCACATTAACTTTGTTCTCTGTATCATCTGCCAAATCGTCTTTACTCTGCGCGGTCCCTTGCCGCATAGACACCTCTGAAAACTATACCCCCAGCCTCTTGTCTTTGCTCGTTTCGTTGCCCTTTTTATCATTTGCCTCCGCGACAGATTCATCCCACTCGGTTTTCGAATTATCGTTCGTAAGCAATGTGCTCAAAACCGTGTTTTAGTTGACACTTCAACTCTCTCTGTTGATGTTTTTTCCTTTTTTCCAATGATTCATTCAACATAATTAAGATTCGTGTACGCAAATGCCAAAGAGGCGAACGCACTTCTGCTACGCTTGTTCACGCTTTGTCCTTATCCTTGTCGTCCATAATTTCAATTCTTACAGTATCTTTTCTTTGCCTTTAGCTAATTTACTTTACATTTAAGTGTGTTCCGCCCTAAAAATCGCTTCAAACCTTCGCTATTCCTCGTACTGCTGATGTGCCCGCATACAGTTTTTGTGGTCTATCACCCTTATTTTTAGGGTGATAGACGACAAAAATTCTCAGTTTTACGTTAGAGTTTTACGGATAGCTTTTCGTCTTCAATTTCTGCCAAGTCGTCTCTATATTAATACTCCCGGCCCAGCTCTGCTCTTTTCACGTACTTACAAACATCGGAAGAACATCTCAGTAGCGTCCAGCTCCCCCACTGTGAATCACCCCAATTTCTCATAACTAACATCCTTTCTCATCAATAACGTCCTTCGAGATTTATCAACCTAATAAACTTTTATCCATTTGTCTACTGTTACTGTTGTAGGCCGACAAAGACTCACTCTCGTTTTTCTCTATCTTTTTGAAATGCTGCCTTTTCCGAAATCTTTTCTCTAGTGCTTTCTACTTTTTCTCATGGGTGTCCTACTTCGCTTTCTCATTTGGCGTTGCTGCCATATTTCCCAAGACCTGAGTAGTCTATGTGTCTTTCATGGTACAATGCCTTTGCCATGTTATTTTCTGCATATTTGGACCCTGGTGTTGCATTTCTATTTTAGGTTGAGCTTGTTCGGATTTTCCCAGTTAGACGATGGCCTTTGATAGGTAGAAGGGTAGAATGTGATATGTGAACACATGAACCATTTCACCAATTAAGTTACGCTGTCACATCCGTGCCTACGCAGCGAATAAAACTTAGTCGTGTGCATCGTTTCTCTAACACAGTATACACGACAGTTACATTATAATCTCCGGATAGACCTACCTCGCTCTCTTCTAAATAATGCCTCGCGGAGCGGAATGGTCGTTGGCGGTTAATGCGCATCCGTTTGAGTGCGTGGTCATAGTAATCATGGTAAGAACAAAAGGCATTCAGCTACGTTGGTTCAAATTTTAGCCTTGGCAAAGCTATCACAACAGTAGCACCACGGAGTATCATTAACATAGAAAGATATTGGGTTAATAGCTGTAAAAAGGGTTATTTGTATGTCACGTTTTTCACAGATGTGTTGGACACCCACCCCAGTCATCTTTTCCAATGAGTTATGCTGTTACAGTGAGTGATGCCGAGCATTCGTTCGTACAGATAGGATAGTGGGAGAGTAAAATTGTTTACGGCGACAAAAATGTCATGCACAACTTAGGCATTTACTTAAGTTTGGTTAGCTGAATACACACCTTTATTGTTTTCGCCCGTAAAATATTGGTCCGTTCCTTTTTTCACGTGGATTCTACGTATTTTGTGCAAATTTGAACGATAAACAAATATACTACAGAATATTGTATCCTTCAACAACATCATCGGAAACAAAATACCCTTTTCGATATAGAAGAATAACTCAAAGTAAATACTAGTTGTACATGTCGATACGGCAATTACGGTAAAGGAGTACCCGTTTCTTGGAACCCATGTTGCCCCAAACTCGTCGAAACGCTCTAGACGATCGACCCAAACAGAAAAGACGGGCCTAGTTCAGGCAATCGTGAGAAAATGCTTGCCCATTATGCACATCTTCATGCTGCAATTTGAAGAACTTCATTGGTGTTCTCAAACACTCATCGTAATGCTTGGGAATAATGCGTCACCCTCAACCAGTCCACTCGTTATAAAAACTACAAGAAAAACCGTCGAGATGATAAAGGCACTTTACGCAGTTTCAGTCACAGCTACTAGATGTACCCTTTTCCGGTTCTACAATGATTACGCGAGTGATGCGAAAAGATGAATGTGAGAATGCTCGAATACTAACAAATAAGTAGCTGTCATAAAGTGATGGACACATGCAACGACAATAGGTCCTGATTGTTTAATTAGGTTATCAAGGAGGAAATGCCCACTCATAGGTTTAACAATAATTGAAGCGTTACATTTGAATTTTGGAAACATATTACGTTCTTGCCCTAATTCTCTATGGCCTTCTCTTTCGTATCTCAATTGGCAATTCCGTCGCGCAATCGATGTTTAGGCCTAATACTGAATAGCTCGTTCGGCCATTTTTTCGAAATGGAGTTCTATTCATTATCAAGTGTGCTGTTAGGGATTGAATTTCACAGTTATTGGTAAGGTTGTAATTTGTCGGCACGAGATCTGGCGCATACGGTAAGTGCGGAAGGCTCTCTCATTCAAGCTCTTATACAGGATATTTGGCAATATTTGTCATCCGTTGTATTGCGGTGAAGAACAATAACTTTGCCCTTCCTGTCAGCTTAGCGTATTTGGAACCTGTTTGGAATGAAATTTTGATTTGCCATACAATGAGATCATCACGGATGGAAACAAGGCGGTTTTGGATGGTATCCCGAAATAAGCTATTATCTTCACACTTTCAGCAGACTAACACGTAACGGTCTTTGAACATATTTGTCTTTGGAGAAACGTCTGTCATTTGCTAATGCGGTCCTTTCATGGACACTTATCCAAACCTAATCGGGTCATCATCACCATCTTGGTAAGACACGCTGAGTCCTACTTATAATAACAAATATATAATTAACGCCCCTTACTCATATCGATTTTACAATAATAATAAACGTAGTGTCGTAATGAGAAATGGCTCTTTTTTACATTGTGCCTTCTTCTGTTTTGCCTGCCGCATTCAACGGCTACCTCGTTTGACGTTATCATGTATTACAAGATAGGTTTATCCAGCGGACGTTCTGACCAGTCGATGTTTCTTAAAGCAGCAGCAGCAGCAGCGGAAGCCGAAATGATACCCGACCGAGAAAGGCTGGGACACTCTTGGCGTTGCATCAACAAGCACAGATGGGATCGTTCCGGCCAGACACGTTACGGACACTATCTGACCTAGAAGAAGACCGAAGAATGCCAAAAGCCTTATAGCTTCTTTTTGCAGCGGCGGAGCACTGGCAGTACCTTTAGTTATAACTAATGGCACCCCTTTACTGCATGTTCTATTTTCCTTTAGCACAATTCACGTTTACCTTCTCATGGAAGTTTGTTGGTAGTCCTTACGTCGGCGTCATCCCCCTGGACACTCTTCTTCCGCTTAGGTTGCTACAACCGACCCCCCCCCCCCCAGTAATTGAGAACCGCGAACGTGACATAATATTCTCCAAGCCACGCACTTAGCCGTATCGTGTCTCTACTATACGCTGTTACCTCGTACCAGACTCACTTCTCGCACTAATCATACATATGAGCATAATTAATTTATTCGTTTGTTCACACATACCTACACAACGTACGTGAAGGTTGAAAAGCATGCAACATGCCGTGACCTTTTTCTTTCTAACAACTTCAGTTCTAAAATATGCTATTTGTATTGTACTGACTTTTGTTTTATGTTGAAGGTCAAAACGTGTTTGCAGCAAAGAACAAAAATCCTAGGCATATTGGGCACGCGATTTCAAAGCGCTAGTAATGAAATAATAATACATTGTTTACATTCGTTTCCCAAATCATATATATAACGTGTGTGTGTGTGTATGCATACTTGAACGTACAAAGCTCCAATAGCATACAAATGCGTTAATATCTTAATGGACTGATTCTACAACGGAAAACGTCTCCTCAATTCTATAATTTAATGAATAAAAATTACACATCAGTAAAAAAAGTTAATCTTTTTTAGTGCTATAAATGAATTCAAATTGACATTGCAACGGTTCTAGTATCTAACATATTGGTTTATGCGGCTCAGGTAGGCTCTCGTTAACGTCAATTCCATCATCCCACTAATTGGTTTGTTATCTGACAAACCCATCTTTATTGATCTATTCTGTTCTGCATATTATCCCTCTTTTTATGGATTGTGTTCCTCAAGGCTGGTTACTCATTTATCATAGCAGCAGCGCCATTCAGAGACTCGTTCATTTGTACTGGGCGAGCAGAAAACAAAGCGTAACGGGAAACGTCACGAGCAGTAGCCTTCTGTGTGTATCACTATACTCGCTCGTTCCTAAAGCAAAAAAAAAAAACAAAAACGATAGTCCGTTACTGGCTTAACCGCCGCTGTTGGAACCCACAATCAACGCCAACAATAATAATCGCACTGCTGTTCCTAGCTTCCAGTCTTCCCACATTTCAAGTGTCTCTTGTTGTTTCGCGTGGAACAACAGTTACGATGGAACTATGGATGTCTGCTACTACTGGTGAGATAGCGGCCGTATGGAAAATAACATGGATAACAGCGACAAAAACACTGCCGCGAAGCGAATGAAGATCGACTCGTCGTCATTACAACCTCTATATTGCGAATGTTACGTTCCGTAGCGTATTTAATTAGATGACTGGGGCACACGACATATGCCTAGGATTGGTAAGCAAGCTACCACAGAGCCATTAGAACCTTTAGCAACTGCTGCGCGAATATGCTATCCTCTGTGCTACGCTAGTCATTCGTGCTCTTCATTCGTTATCGTCTCTATGTGTCTCCACCCCTACATGCACTCGTTGTTATTCATTGAGCATACGTCACATGTTGTTGTTGTTGTGCATATTCTTTTTCTCAATTGTCTGCTCATTCGTTCATCGCCTATTAGCGCTTGATACGCTCTATGACACACTGCATAATGTGATAGACTACGGACCTTCCGTTCATGTCGCACATACAAGATGTTCCTGCATCAGCGTTAGATCGTTCCAGCTCAACATCATAGTACTATTCAATGTGTTATGCAAGTTTACTGGGAAAGAGAGGATTTTAGGGGGAGACTGCTCCGTCTGTTTTTCAACAGACAGAGAAGGCAATCGCTGAACAGGCCAAGTGCTCGATTTGTTCTTCTTGCTATGCTACAAGAAAGTGCTACAGCTTTAGAACAAACGGATCTTACTTTTGGAGAATAGAACATTAGTGAATCTATAAAAATAGAAGCGACAGTAGGAAAAATTATACCACTGCGCTGCTGTACACGATAGGTAGACTTTAGAAAAAAAATTAGTGTACATGTTATCATACTTGTAGTATAATAACAAGAGTACTTAATTTTTTCTTGTTTCAATTCAATAAAAAAAATAATTTTAATAACAAGCCTACAACACTAGGTGGCCAATCTAGCTAAGTCAGTGACGAGTGAACGATTTCAAAACCCAAAAATGGACTCCTTCTTAAACGAGCAAATCTTCTCATTGATCAAAAATGATGAAACTATCAATAACCACCGCGTCGACTGGGTGCTATGATATGTACGGGTTTGCGTCTGGGTGCAATAAGGAGGCAACGCCGGAAACAATGATGTGAACTCTGTAGGACATTTTTATCGGCACAACTTCAAGGCAATCACCTTAGTTCGAAATAGCAGCAAGAAAAAGAAAAAACGTCAAATAGGACAAATCAAGAAGGAAAGCAAAAATGAAAGGGAATAACAAACCGCGGTGTAAAGTTATTTCGTTAAAGTCGGTCTCTCACTTTTCGGGATTATTGTTTCAGATACTCGACATGCCTGAAGTCCTTTTTCGTATAAACTCTCTAGCCTGTCCTTTCTCTCGTGATGCTACCAAGCATGTCGAACCAACAACAAGACCAAATATAATACATATATATATATATGCAATACAACACATCCATAAATTTACCGTGGCTAATCCACACCTGACATACGAAAACTACGCCCGTAGCTCCAAAGGCTACGATACGCATATGCTTCATATTGTTATCATTAGTTATCTATCACAGCCACTACGTATCAAACATGTATCAAACAAAACCATGCATAATGGAATTTCGCCGATCTAGCAACGTTATTTGTAGTAGACATTGTATCATCTCTGAAACGAGTGGTTTATGCCCCGACAAGCTCATGACACAGTTCATAAATTTTCAAGGTGTTTTCTATATACAATCTGCGTGCAGATTGTAAGTTTAACTGGTACCACAGACAAGATACGATTCGTTATATGTGGGTGTAAATTTAAAATGCCTACTGCATTTGCCTTGAATGAGTCAGTGATGGAGTTTGTTCAGGACATAGCCAATTTAGCGTTTTTCTTCGTTGTGCTAACGAATCCAATGAACTCTCACTTGGTAAAGCCGTCTCAGCGATCAAAATTAATCATCCTTGCGTACCCTGTAATAGTATTGGAAACATTTCACCTACCCCAGCAGACTCATCACTGAGTTTTCGTGTGCGAAAAGAAGCATTGGTGAGCACGTTCTTGGTAAGGTTCTTGAAACTTGAATTGACAGTGACTCGGATGCCCATGGGCTGCTGAGTCGATTTGGCGCTGTCCTTTGAGTCCAAAAGACTCTGACGCATGGCATTAGCCACTAAACACACCTCAGCTAGCAGACTTTGCCTCGCCCGAGTCCGAATCAGCGACACTGTTTCGTTGCCTGCGAATGATAGGTGTAAAGCAGAAAAGATTAGTGGGAAAATCCGTGTGAGGACACGATCTATCGAAATCGCGTATATAGTTCTTATTCACATGAGAATGAGATTTATTTGAAACGATAGAAACGTGTCGAACGTATGAGACACGGCTGAAACAGTCATGCTCAACCTCGTCCTCTAGCCACTCCAACAATCAATGCTTGTGGCAGACTTAGCTTATACTTTTATTGGCATAATTATGGCGGGCATATGTTTAGTTTTGTAATAGTTAGCCTGAGTTCTGGAGAAGCATGGGTACGAGGAAGAATTCGCCCTAGTTATATCTGTACAATATGAACAGCTACACGCAAAGGCTATTCCACAGAAGGATGTAGAACTCTTAAAATTGAAATCGCAACGGCTGTTTCAAATGACGCAAAGTGAAAAAACGGCTCTTAATACACTCGATCGTGTTATTCGCTCGTGCTACTCCGTGGTCTGTGAACTATTATATAGTCCAATCCGCTTTCTTGTCTTATAAGAGAGCAGATTGAACTATCTAATATCTTCTTATCTAATAAAAAAAAAAAACTGTGACTCAACTTTGTAGAAAGCCAATTTGTATATTAGTTCCCTACTTAAAATGTATCACAACATAGCGGTAACGCAACCGAATTTCCGCGATCGATTGGCGAATTTCCGCAAAGAAGAGCTGTCTGCTAGAGACAAAAACCTTTTAGTGCAATCCTTAATACGTGTTCTTTCGATAAATTCACATTTTATGTTTTGTAATATGATTAGACGGCACTTTTTCGTGAATACATTTGTGAATACACTTGGCCAACTAAAAATGTTGACTTGAGAATCCGTTTTGTATTTCGAGTGGCATGCGCCATGCCCTGTTAGGAGGAGGTCTTTTCAATAGAGTAAAGCTCAATGGCAGTGCCAAACGTGGAACGGAAAGCATGCATTTCGTCACGCTGGAATAGGATCTTACTTTACTTCGAAAAGTAGTCAGTAGGAAGCGTATCCGTACACATACATGCATAACTCTCTAAGCACCGTGAAACCTCTTCCATTTGCTATATCGACTGCAATGATCCGATCAGCAGTAGAGGCAATCCTTTTGAAAAGATAAGTAATTTGTCTCTGAATGATGAATATAATAGCGTGGAAACAGATAGAAACGGACAAACTAGGCTACTGCCTTGTAAAGGAACGTATCATATCTGAAACGGTTTTCCATCACGCTAAACGTATACATATATACCTCTATATCCATTGGCATCCTAATCGAAAATGTTATTATTCGTACGCTAAAAGTCTTGGGCTAGTTTCGTTTAGTTAAAGTAGCCTAAAGGATATTGATATATAAATTGGCTGAACAGCATTAGTATTTAATAGGTTTCATTTAGAGCGGAACCTCACAGGCTTTTAGTTCTTAACTAAGAAGCAATCGAAAACGAGTGTTTTCGAATAAAAATGTTATCAACTGCGTAGATTTGTCAGAGGCTGAGAACAGCATGGTATGATGGATATCCTGCTTCATAACGTTTCCGTGTTATCTCGCTAAAGACATGGCCCCTCAACTAAACCAGGAACGGTATCATCTCTAATATTTTTAGAGCTACTACGAAAATAAGTTTATACGAAAACTCGTCATGTGATAACTTTTTTTTTTAAATCTGCCTGATAATACACATTTTATATCTTGTATACCTTGGGTGAACACATTTTACCGAGTTGTAATGGAAATTACTAGCCAATAAGGTTTACTATACAATTTACGATCTTTTGAGTCGCTTTGACGCTATGAAGCTCTGAACTTCTGACACGTAGACATTCGTTATTCTGCCTCAACGTGTTAGTCAATACACTTCAATACCAACGCGGATGTTATTATTTGTATTTGAAACCATTCATAATTTTTCTCCGTATTATTTTTGTCGCTCATTGTTGGTTGAGATCGGCTGAGCACAATGGTTAAAGATAAGCCAGGCAATCGAATAGCTTCAAATAAAGAAAATCAGCACAGTATCTGAAATAAATATCTGATTTTAAAATGATGTAACTATTGCAGTGAATGGATGTGATAAAGTAGAGCCGCAAGTGCTCCAAAATTATCAAGACAGCCAAAAACGCCGTTGCGCAAGTGTACAAGCCTTTCATATGCAGGATAAAAAAGAACATCATTAAAAACTTTTATATGATTTATAGTTTACAATGTATTTGATTTCAATGCGTTTTCGTCTAGCAAATGTTCATATATATAT